GAACAAAAGGACTTCAGTTCATTCTCTTCGCACTTTGTGCTCTTCCCACCCCCAACATCGCCGCACAGTTGAATGTGACTGGGATGATAGTGTGTATATATCTTGATAGTAAAAATTATGATGAAATCCTTGTGCATTTTATGGGGCTGATTATTTTCTCTCGCATGTTCTTGAGATAAATTCAGAAACCCCGAGTGATTCTTCTGCCATTGTTCCATTTGAATAATCTTTATTCCTCGGCAGAATCACTGTTTTCCACCACTCGCTCGCTGTGAGCTTTTTTCCCCCTCACACACACACACCCCCAAACTCAAATGGCAAAAGTGCACGCAAACTTTTTACCACGAGCTTTGGTCTGTCGCTCTTGAGCGAAAAGCAAATGACAGTTGGTTTCTAATACAATAGTTTTTATGGATGTTTTTTCTGCCACTCTCCCACCCTCCGCCGCAATGGTGAGCGCACATGGCGTAATTTTTTATCACGCCTCCCACACCGCCCCCCGAAATGAAACTACAAGTTGGATCCCTCCCCATATATGACACATAAAGTTCACCCCATTTTCCGCCCGGGGTGCCGAGGGGGGGTGGCTGATGCGCGCGGGGGCAAACGCGGCGTACGCATCAAAGTGGCGACATTGTGACGCCATCAAAAACACACTCGTCTTGTTTATTTGTGAATTTATTGGACTTGTCTACTTTTGAAAATGTTGCTCCATTCACAACAATTTCGCACACACACCCCCAAATTACACATCCCTTCAATTTCAATTTGCTCACGAGGCACACTCAGAGGAAACGTATGACGGAGTTTGGCGAAAGACGAGTGGGGGTGCCCTTTATTGTATCTTCACCCCATTTTGAATCAATAATCATCATTTAGTCCCTCACCACTCGCGCCACATTAGGAGCACAGCGCGCCACCCACACGCTCAAGCACCCTCTCATACATATTTTCCGCGAAATTCCCCGCCACCCGTGCGGATGGGTGGGAAAAACAACTTGTTTGTTCGACACAAACGTCCAACAGTGGGAAAGTGCTGTCGTGTCGATTTCTGCCATGAAGGGAAACAACTTGAAAGCTTGACATCCACCCCCGCCGCACATTCACATAAAATTCATTGATTCGGGGGCCATTCCCTGGCAAAATCCAAACTCTCTCTGTCTCCCCACCCCCCAATGAGGGGAGAGAGAGTGAGAATGGAAATAAAAACTAATTTGAGCAATAATGAAAATTCTAATTATCCCAAATGGTTGTGGGAAAACGACATTCTTCTCACGATGTGATCCTAAACACTTCTCTTGGTCTTTCGCCACTCATCGAGGGGGTTGATCAGTGGCACAAAATGCGTGCATTGACTTTCCGGGAATTTATTGATATTTACCCATTTGAATAGCACACACAGAGATGGCATTTCAGGTACTCATATTGACTCTTGATCTTTCCGCTTCGTAATTGGCGGCAATTTGCCATTGTTTCTATTATTCCACAATGAGATATATGAAATATACTGTGTTTGCCCAAAACATCCAAACTCACCGCAAACACTTGCGAATGGTGGAAATTTGTGGGCTGAAATATGGAAAACAATAGTGGATACGTGGGTAGATTTTAAATACGAGTAATGATGTATTAAATGCCTTGGCGAAGCTTTAGAGCTTTACTCTAATATTGATTAATTCGGGGAAAAGAGAGATCTTTCAGCTGAATTGCAGAGAGATCACGAGCATATTCGCCTAGTGAGCCACCCTTAACCCTCAATCCAGCGTCGAAGAGTGGAGCCCGTAAAACCAAATTACACATTCCATTCGCCAATGTTATTCTCCCATCTGAGCTGGAGAATGAGCGAGAAAGAGCAAATGTTATGCGAATCCGTGTAGCAAGGATGATTTTCTCCTGTGCACGTCCTCCTGTGTTGTGCAGGGCTGAAAATAGGGTTGAGCGCGTGGGAATGGGTGTGAGAAAAGTGGTTTTTACACTGTATTAACTTTCCACAGATTCCCAAAGACCACCCCATACAGTGAGGGCATTTAAGTGTGTATAGAGTATTTGTGTGGGTTTTCAATTGAGTGCCACTTTTATGATTTCCCGCCACAGAAGGGACTCTGATAACCGGCATTTACAGATACAAACGAATACCCAAAGACCACCCGCACACTTTCCACAATACATACTTTTTTTTTCTTCCCACCCTCAATGCCGCGCCGTTCTGCTGATACAAGTTTCGATGGAGGGAAAAAAATATTTGCTCTATTTTGCGCCTCCATTGGCATCTTTCGCCCAAGCTTGCGCTCCATATTTTCCCAAAAAGGCTCATTTTAAGTATTATGTAAATTATATGAAGCTGTTTTAACCTCCGAAATGATTTACAGTTGCCCTTCTCGGTGGAAAAAAAAGCCACCCACGCTGAGGCACTCCAGAAGAAAACACCCCGCTGTGATATGGAAAATTGATGAAAGTGCATGAATATGTATATTGGAATTTTCACTCGCAGGGCGCACAAAATTGTCTTACAATTCCCATCAACTCCCTTGTGGTCTCTCGCTCGCCATGGCAGCTGAGCAAGAGGAAGAAGTTTGGGAGACTTGTGAAACTTTTCGAAATATTTCGATTCAAATAGATTGAAACTATCTACCCCAAGGTTTGTACAATTTTCTCCCCCAGTTTATAGAGAGTTTTAACTCATGTAAGAATGAAATCTTATTGCTCCGGAAGTTAAACTTGCTCCCGGAAAACTTTTCTGGACTTCAACTTAATTTGATGGACACCTTCTCATGTCATGAGAGGATGAAAAGGAAAATATGCAGTCAGAATCAGAAGGTATAAACATTTTCATGCTCTTCCATCTCTCACATCCATTTTCCCATCTTCTTAATATGTACGTATGCTGATGAAGCGAGAGCATCTTTTAAAAATCAACAGTGGAATCATGAGCATTTACTCAGCTCACTCGTGCTCCTTTATGGCATCGTTGATGTACTTTATGATGTGCACTTTCGCTGAAAATGACCCCATATCTCGAGTGCTTATGATCAATTGACTGCTCAATGAATCGATCAATTGCGTCCTGCAAAGAGGTTTGCTTTCTCCCACAATCTATCCACCACACTATCATTAATTAATGGATATTTTCCACAACTTTCACATGCGCTTCAGCAAAAATTATCTCATTAGTTATGGAGTTTTGCTTGAGGAGCAAAAACTTGCATGGCTGCAGAAAACAGCTCTAAGCACGTCTTCTTCAGTGTGACTTTTTACATGCTGCCGAGGAGATGTTGTTATGGCCTGAAATATTTAATCGCATATTTTCATACAAAATTCTTGATGTAGAAAATTCTATTAAGCACTAAGAGAGAGAGAGAGAGAGGGAAATTTTGCAAAAATTGCTGAAGAGAGGCGGTGAAAAAAGCTCTCAGCTTTAGCATGTAAATATGTGAAGAATTTTCTCTGTTCGCTTTCGTTTTTCGTGAGGTGTGCGAGCGAATTGGACTGGATGGCGCTTTTAATGTGGGAAATCTCGAGCACTGCGACCTGAAGAGGAGCCACTGTGACATCCTCTGCGCCACTCCAGGAGCCGCTCAAGCAGAAGCACGTGTCATGGTGAGAGCCAAGGAGTTCGGTATCTGAACGAGACTGCGGCTTGTTTACAACTAAACGCTGCTCTGGGGTGGAATAAGTGCGCTCCTCAATTGCCACTGAGTGCGCCTGCGATGGGATCGCGGAGTTGGGATGTGATCCTGCGCCGTGCCGGCTGTTATATTGGCACTTCCCCTGTGCGAAAAATCCGCGAGTGGGATGGAAAATTGAGTGCTGTGCCGAAAGTGGGTCTGATTGGGATTGAGATTAGAGACAATTGGTTTGTACCATGGCACATTGGAGGGTTTGCCCCCAACACGGCTCCACATATTGCACAACCCATGAACAAGTGAAACCCATATCATTATTCAGGAGACACAGACAGCCCATGCTAAATGCCGGGGATTGTCGTGAGGCAGAGAGGCTCATCCCAGTGCACCTGATGGTGCCAAATTGAAAACTTAAACACTCCGCCTCGTCGTGAGATGTTGAGAGAGCGAAAAGTTGCACCAATGAACTTTGTTATTTCTCGATAAATGCCTTTCTTTTTTTTTTACTTGCAATCTTAATTAGAAAAGTTCACCCGTGCCTCAGAAGTGGGGCGCGCGGCGCCTCCCCGAGGAATAAAATTAATTAGGAATTTATTCAATTGAAAGAAAATGTACATAAACTTTTTCGGACTCGGCCCCAAAGCATGGCTCGGGGGTGGTGAGATTAACAGTGGACGGAGTGGGCGGTGATGACATCCACCCACTGGAAAGCCCGGGGCAGCGAGGGATTCCTCTGTCCGGGTGGGACGGAAGTGCTTGAGCGCTTGGAGAAAAATCACTGCAGAAACTTTAAATTTTTTAATAGTTTCTTCAAAGTCTCAAGCATTCTCTCGAAGCTCCTCCACTTCATGGAATCACTAATTGAGGATTAAAGTTGCGCTATGCACTCGACTTGAGATGTGAAATGAGCAAGAGAAGAGAGATTGCGAGCTCGTGGAGGAAACTTGTCGAGATTCCTGACCGTGAAAGACATACGCAACTTATAGCAACGATCCTGGGCTGAGGGAATTTATGCCACGAAGCGTAGTTTGACAGGAGTTCTCAAGTATGAGAACCACGTATAGAATTATAGTGCGATTGTGCATTTGCAGAGAAGAATTAATGAGATTCCTTTAAGATGTCAGTTTGCTTGACGATTGAAGTCTTCAGAGAGCGATAAACTTTTTCCGCTCAAAGTGCCCTTAATTCCCCCATTTACCTGCCTTATACGTGCACATGCCCATTCACTGGGGGTAGTCTTAGCAACCACCCTGGAAAATTCCTAACAAAAATTTTCCGCAAAGCAGTGAAAATTGTGACTTTGTGCTCTCCCCCAATTTTTTTTGTAACAAAAAAGTATTCTTGTCGAGAAGAAAAATCCCTTTGTGCGTGGCAAAAATGTCTCGGAACATTCCCCGCTCCTCGCGATCCACACGAAGAGCCACCAAGAAGTCTTCCAGGGCAACGTCCGTGGCCAGCGGCGGCGGTGGCAGAGGACTGCACAGATACAGGGCCGAGAGTGAGGAATCGGACTCGACGGAGAAGGAGTCTTCGTCGGACGAGGAGGACCGCTGGAAGGACACCAATCGAGCCAATGATCTGCCCTCGGAGTATTGGCACATCCAGAAGCTGGTGAAGTACATCAAGGCGGGCAATCAAACGGCCACCATCGTCGCTCTGTGCTGCCTCAAGGACTACGATCTCACCACGCAGATCAACCAGCTGGCCATCCAAGACATTGGCGGCCTGGAAGTGCTTGTGAACCTGCTGGAGAGCAATGACATCAAGTGTCGCCTTGGCTCTTTGACTGTCCTCTCGGAGATTTCCCTGAACACCGACATCCGGCGGACTATTGTGGATCTGGGCGGCATTCCTCTGCTCATTCACATCCTCAACGAACCCATGCGAGACCTCAAGACGATGGCCGCAGAGACAATAGCCAATGTGGCGAAGGTGAGACTGGCCAGGAAACTGGTCAGGAAGTGCGACGGAATCCCTCCGCTGGTGGATCTCTTGGATGTGCCCATGAAGTGTCTGAAGAGCGCCTGGGAGAACCTCAATGAGGATGAGAGAGCTGTGCTGACCATGGCAAAGGCTGGAGCCAGAGCTCTCTGGTCGCTGTCGGAATCGCGCCACAACAAGGAACTCATGAGGCGCTTCGGGCTCGTTCCACTGATGGGAAAGCTCCTCAAGAGTGACCACATAGACATCGTGGTGCCTATCATGGGCACTGTTCAGCAGTGCGCTTCTCAGGTAAGAATCATCAATCATTGCCAATCTGCTGCAGCTGGCAAAGAATCCTTGTTGGAGAAAGCTAATTACAGAATCACGTATGAATTCTCAGTTCCGTTTTAGAGAATGTTTCTTGCAAATGTTCGAAATATTCTCCCACATACGACATTCCAATGATAAACGTTGGCTGAGTAAATGCAAAGAACACACAAATTAACGTGTCATTCTTGAAATTGCTGCAATTGAGAGTGAAAAGCAGAACTCCCTGAATGCTTTTTCAGCATGGGGTAAAAAAAAACTATACACGAAAACCCTTAATAATCATAAAAATTTATGCACTCACAACCGCTGAAACTTTGCAAATGCTGCACACCACAGTGAACTTTCAAAAGTCATGCTAATTAATGAGTACAATTATTGCCACCAGAGTGTGGACAAAAGAGAAGTTTGGCAAATATTGTAGTTTAACATGAAAGTTCTCTTGCAGCCCAGCTATCAACTTGCCATTACGACCGAGGGAATGATTTCGGATATCGTGAGCAATCTCAATTCGCAGAATCTCGAGCTGAAAATGCAGTGCAGCTCGGCGATTTTCAAGTGCGCCAGTGACAAAGTGGCCAGAGATATGGTGAGAGAGGCTGGCGGTCTGGATCCGCTCGTGTCCATCCTGAAGGACAAGAATGTGAGGGAGAATAAGCCTCTTCTGGCTGCCGCCACGGGAGCGATTTGGAAGTGTGCCGGATCGGATGCGAACATGAAGCGCCTGGATCAGCTGAAGACCATCACGATTCTCGTGCAACTGCTGACGGACGAGAATGACGATGTCCTGACAAATGCTGTGGGAGGAATTGCAGAGTGCGTGAAGTTCCCCAATAATCGTGAGACTCTGAGGACTTCCGGAGGATTGCCTTTGCTGGTGGACTTGCTGAATGCCACCCACCCACCGATGCTGGAGAATGTGGCGAAAGTGCTGAGAGAATGCGCCCAAGAGCCTGAAAGTATGAAGATTCTGGAGGAACTGGACGCCATAAGATTGCTGTGGTCTCTGCTGAAGAATCCCAATCCCTATGTGCAGGCCTACGCGGCCTGGGCAATGTGTCCGTGCATTGAGAATGCCCACGAATCCGGAGAACTGGTGAGGAGTTTTGTAGGCGCGCTGGAACTGGTTGTGGGACTTCTCAAGTCAAAGGACAATCTCGTCTTATCCGCCGTTTGTGCTGCCATCGCCACAATTGCCAAGGATAAGGACAACCTGGCGGTTCTTTCGGATCACAAAGTGATTTATATGCTGGCAGAATTAGTGCACACGACAGATGATATGCTGAGGGAGAATCTCGCCGCTGCCATCGCCAGCTGTGCTCCGTATGGAAACAACACTCACGAGTTGGGGCGGTTGAAGACTGTGACGCCAATTGTGGGTTACATGGTCAGCGCCAGTCCCAAAGTGCATCGCACCACGGCAATGGCGCTGGAGAAACTCTCTGAAGATCCCCAGAATTGCATCACGATGCACCAAAGCGGTGTTGTGCCATTCCTGCTGGAAACCGTCGGCTCGCGGGATCGTGTTCTCCAGGAAGCCTCCGCGGGATGCTTGCAGAACATCAGGAAACTCGCGCTCAGGGCTCAGGAGCATCTGCTGCGCATCGAGCTGTGAAAAGGGCGGGAAAGTGGGTGTCTGTCTCGACTAGAAATGTGGCGCAAAATTTTGCTACAGTGTCAACAGACAAAATATATATATTTTACTAATACTCTTCCTCTCAACATCAAAACACTCAACATCCTTCTTATATCCATGAACACGGGAATTACAGTAGAAATATGTTATGTATCCATAGTGATAATAAGCTTATCTTTTCCCCTTTAGTTTGATTTATTCATACAAGCGAGTGAAAACGCGATGGAAATTGTCACAGAGCATATGCGTCACAGCAAATGCACTCTGCTCACTTGAAGTCACCCACAAAAAACACTCCTTCAAATTGTACTCAAACGGTCAAAATAAAAGTTACTCACTATTCTGGGATAAGTGTTGTCTTAACAGTAGTTATAATACTTCCTTGAGTTCATTTAGTGACCATCAGAATTTACGGCGTTCACTTTTCAGTGAAAGGCTCTTCAAATCAACCCTCAAGCGGCTCAAGAATTCCCCCCCTAGAAATGTGGGGTGGTGAACATGTCTATGCTCTCTGCTGGGATTAATAACTGGAATTGGTGTTCGTGCCACGCAGCGAGATGCTCATGCGGCGCTCGCTGCGTGCATGTGGGGTCAAGGAACCGCTTCCGGAGGTCGTGGGCGGTGGGAAGCGCCATCGGCGGGGGCGCGAGAGGAGGGTGCCGTCGGTGGAGGCGCGCTCCCGGAATGGGCCGTTCTGCTTCGTGTCAGCCTCTTGGGACTGCAGCTCCTCGTTCTCATCGGGGCTGCTCTCGGCCCAGAGGCGACCGAAGAAGAGCATCGACATTCGCTTCTCACTCTTCACCGTCGGCGTCGTGGCGGTGGGCGTGCAGGTGCCGTCATTGGGCAGCAGGCAGGGAGTTAGGGTGTCTGGACTCACGACCAGTTCGCTGGCGGTCTCGCTCGTGGAGCGCTTCAGCTTGGGCGACTTGCTGAGGACGCGCCAGTAGCGCGTGGCGTCGCGGAAGACCGCCATGACCTGATCGGCGCTCTCGCGGGCTGAGATCTCGTGGAAGCACACGCAGCTGATCTCCTTGGAGCGCCGGTAGCCCTCCTCGTTGGACACCATGCGATCGCCCCACTGGTCGTTCTTGTTCCCCACCAGAATCACAGGCACGTCCAGCAGACTCTCCTGGCAAAAGAGAATTGAGTGTGAGATCCTTCTGCAGGAGTGGTTTCATATTTTATTTTTGTCAGTCGCTTAATGGTGAAAAATGCGCGCAATTTGTCCCTGCCAAGCAGTCTGTCCTCGTCTCCCCAGGAGTGGCACCAGATACCCACTGTCACCGTCAATTATTTCTCACGAGGCGCACGATGATGAAGGATTGCGTCTCTTTGTTGTAATATCATCATCGACATTGGCATTGGGTGGGAAAGGAATCGAATCAATCACGCGACGCCTCGTCCTTATTACCTTGTTTGTGAGTTTGCGTCGCCTCTTGTTGTAATTTATGAGAAATTTGAGGCGATTGCACTCATCGAAGCTGCACTTGTCCGTGACAGAGTAGACAAGGATGAAGGCGTCTGCCCATCTGCACTGCGTCTCCAAGTCCAGAGCCTTTCGCTCTGCGCTCTTGTACTTGTCCAAGTCTGTCGTCTGCAAAGACAAATCCTTATTGACCAATCTCGCAACAAAATCATATGAAAACCAGCTCAATGAAAGCGAAAGTCTTACATTGAAGTGTCCCGGTCGGTCTGCAATGTCGAAGGCGACAATTTCATTATCAATCACAGTTGTATAGGAGTAAATCTTCTCGTCACTGCTGTCGTAGCTGCCGATGAATCTCTTCGTGATGAACCTCACCACCATGGCTGTTCGCAGATTTCGGGGTGTCGAGAAAGAAAAAAACGGCTCAGGAATTTCAGTGTACAAGAAGTGACGAATCATCATGAATTTGACACGAAATTGGAGGCCTCCTTTTACGAGAGCCACACACACACTCGAAAGCATGTCAGTGCGGCAAAAGGGATGAAAATGGGTTCGATTTCCCACCCACTCGAGACCCATAAATTTTTACATAACTCCACGCATATTTCTATGTCTGAGCACTGCTTTCGCATCCCCTTTTTAACTATGTATACCATGCTGACACTCTCCAGAGGCAATCCCTCGTAAGCATTATCTTTGAGGGGGGCAAAAGTCTCTCGTAATAGTAAGTCATTCGGAAAAATGTGATTACTTCCATTGAAGAGCAATTTTCGGGGAAGAAGAAATCCGCCCTGTGGCACTCACATTTCCATTGCGAGAAAGAATGTCCGAACGAGTGAATAGTCGAGAATTAATTGCTCAAATTACAGTAAATACTTAATTAAAATTTTATTGCACTTGTAGGTGTGTTACTGGATGACTCAATCCATTTGACCCGTGTCTTCTCCACTTCATTGCCACTTCATCAGCCCCGTGCGAGGGTTACATTAAAACCCTGTGCCAGAGGGTAAATTAAGCGCATAAAAACGCTCCCCGTAAACTTGAGAATCCTGCACGTCTGCCGTGATTTCTGAGCTGCGAGACGCCGAAGGTGGGCACCGTTTTTCTTCTTTCCACCTTTTGTGTGCTTGGGCACATTATTCTTCCTTATCCCCAGCCCAAGACGTTCTTCTCTGGCTTTCATTGAAGCATGAATTCAAGAGAGGGCGAGCAGAAAAAAAACGGTGAATCTTGGAATGTTGTGAAAATTATTAGTTCATGCGGCACCGCTGAGAATCTTCTCCCTTTATTGAAAAAGTTTCCCTCGAGTGCCACGCCATCATAAACGTTCATTACATACATATTTTTCCCCACTTGTTCACAATGCGGTGTTACGTGTGTGTGAGAAAAAGATGATATCTAACTCATTTTTTATCATTTCACCCCCAACTCTTCCGCCTTTGGGCGATATATCATTTCAAATTCCGCGAAATACACGCCACAAAAGAGGGTGGGAATACGCTACAATCAATTGTGTCTGAATGAGCAGAATGATTTTCGAGTCATTTAAGGGTATTTTGTGCGTAAAAGCGACCCACGTCGTGCGTTTTCCCTCCAAAATCCACCACGTGCCGGACTTCAATGGCACGACAGCGTGAGTAAATCCAGATGCCATGCAGAAAAGGGAGAAGAACTCATGTGAAAGATCGTATCGACTTTGGGAAATTGGTCGTAGATAACACAAAGCACTTCATTTATGGCCAATTGGGATCGTTAGCGTAATGTTGTCAGCATAACTTTGCCGCATAACTGCTCGTGACAATGCGCTATGACACGTAATTGTAATTGATTAGGACATCTCGGCCAACTCAGGCTACCCGCACGGCCACGTCTTCATCACGACGACCCTCGAGAGGGATGTTTGACCTGGGCGAAAGATGGTATTAATTGCGTCTCGGAATCATCATTGAAAAAGAAAAGTGGCGAAGGAGACGCAATCAGAAGTATTTGTGCCATGAAATTGATGTCACCCAATCACTCGAAATCACTGAGAAACCCATGAGAAGGTGATAAGGGAAATGGGGAAAAATATAGACAGAAGGGAGAGCGCAAAAAAAATCGAATCAAGATTTACTTCCACCCCAGATTTACCCTCCGCACCCTACTTTATGTTATTATCTTTCCCCTCATATCGTCGAGACGCCGTGGGAGCACTCCTACTACCTGTTGATTTGGAGATTAAAGCAGCCAAAGAGAGAGAGAAAGAGAATGCGAGACACGCAAAAAGATCTCGTCAATCATAACTTTGAGATTCCGGTGTGGGAAGAAAGGTTTAGGACTTTTTCCTCCACGTCTGCACACGAACAGCGGATAAATTTTCCTAGAGACGTATTTATTGTTAATGCTGCAGCTTTTTCCTACCACGCACACTTTGTGTGCACCAACCAAGAGGTGAATGATTTGCCGAAAGCGAGATTAGGGCGACAAAAAGCCACCCTTCGCTCGTAACTTCCACTTCAGCAGCCATCGTCGGGCCACATCAAAATTATCAAGTCATTAAGACGCAGACTTGACTCCCCAGTCAACCCAAATCAATAGCTAATTACATGCAGAAGTAACACCTTCTTTCGCGTAAAGTGGAAAATAATGTTGAGCTCTTGGGCGCTTTGAGTTTACAATCGACGAATCTGGGAAAAACAACATCACAAAAAAGCTCAAATCTCTCCTTTTTTCCTTCGTAATTAACTCAAATCTTCTGTTGCCATGATGAAAAATCACCTCAATTGCTTTTGGTGCACGAGTAAATTTATATATTTGATTGAATTTACCCTTTCGCACCGTGTTTGCTAATTGAATCGACTGCGTAAAGGTTTCCTCAAAGATTTTACACGCGCTTCCCTCAAAATTGAAATTGTCAAGGGTAAAAATTAAATGAAGCGATTAGAGATGGTCTTTCGCTTTTCCATCATTTAACGACGCCATTTCTCAGCCACAACACCCCCGTTGAGATTAGTTTCCTCCCCCCCATCCAGAGGCTCAATTGTTGCCTCCAACACCAGTGGGTGTGAGTTTATTCAGCGACAATTCCCCACACCACCTGACAAAATGTCAGTTCCATCATTTTGGGCGCCAGGTAAACAAAAAATAATATGAAGCGCCGTGTGAATTTCGCATTGACACAGACTTGCTGGTAAATTTGCTCTTTCACTCTGCTATTCCTCCTCTATTTACCCCCAATATAATTCCCTTTGAGCGTCTATTTCGCACATTTCCAGCGTGAAAGTGGGTGAATGACCTAAAAGAGTGAGAAGACTTCAATCAACCCCTGTCCGATAACTTATGGAAGAACGGGGGCGTCTTCGCTTCACCTCTTTTCCGCGCCAAAAAACCGAAGGCGGCGAGCAAACCTTTCTCTCACCCTGAAAGCCGTGACTGGAAGTAACCCCCATTTGTCATTTTGTTTACCATTCGCATTCAACATCATTTCCGGACATTCAATACAGAGGCAGACGAGCCCCACTCCGCTGGCAGAGGCGAATGGCGTGCTTGGATCAGACCTGAGTGATTCTCAAGACGTGTCGGTCGAACCACTTGTCACACAGGCCTTGTGTTGGACCACGCCAGAGACATTCTGGGAATCCAAATTGCACACTGACTTTGCGACATCGTCGGAATATCTTTTGGCCACATTGGCGAAACGATTTCACACAGAACTGCTTGGCAAAAATCTATAAATTATGCCTATTTCTTAAAGTCATGCTTCAAATTCTGCTTTAAGTTATTAATCACTCAATTCAACAGTATTACTGAAAGCTTTATGTACTTCTGAGAATTGAATGCGTAAATGCGTATTAAAGGGATGTAAATAAACTTTTTCGGTGCAATGAAAATTCAATCTCTGACCCAAAATGCCTCCAACTTTAAAGTTCCTCTTCATGACTTATCACTTTATCTGATTTCTCCCTTTGCTTCCAGCAAAATCTGTCCTTTTCTGTATCAAATCCAAATATTTGTAGGAAAATCTCTTTTTTTTCAATTTCACTATCATGACTAGGCCAAAGGCCTGAAAGTGTGAATAACATCCCTATTCAGACCTTTTTCGCGTCATTTCTCTCCCTGTCCAGAGACACCTTCTGGGTGGGTGGTGTGTTTTTCTTCTCCGGCTGGGAGGATTCCTCTCGTGTTGATTTAGGCAATACACCTCAAATTGTCTCAGGCAATGAAACAGAAGTGTGTGTGGCCGATTAAGTCCCATTAGGGGGCCCCGATTTGGGTTCAGGAAAAAGCACGGCGAGGTAAATCAACCCTTCAAGCATCATTAAATCCACCCAATCCTCGAGAGTTTGCGGAGAGTAACCTAATCCCTCTGCAGAGATCACTCATGGCGAGATGTAATTGTTTTATGGAAATTTACACAGTGTATTCCCTATTTAGCACGTTCTAGAATCAGTGTCTCTGAATTTTTCATTAGTTTCCTCAGTAGGATGTCACGATCCGCATTGCTGGGTGGCATTTATTGGCGATACGGAAGTGTTGGAGGAGTCATTTTTATGACATGTCAAATACTATAAAAATTATATTGCAGAAAGACACGAGATAGCAGCTGAAACACTCGGTCGAGTGATTACAATTTTGCGAGGAAGTTTGGGGTGTAGCTTTATTGAAAAGATATGGAGCGCAGTTGCTTCCGGAAGTTAATTTTAAGGGTGAACAGTCAAGCAACATTAAGAAAAGCCATTGAGGGAAGGTTTGAGACATTCAGAGTTGGTTGATTCCCAACAAAGGGATTAACTTCATGGCAATTTGCAAGCATTGCGCGTGGAGAAGCTTAAGCAGAAGATACAAGAAATGAGTTATCTTAATTATATGCAATGCTCTCATTAATAAATATAGTTTTCTTCCTTAACGGCAAAGTGCGAAGGCCAAATTCGCCAGTCGGTAAACATTTGCAGGAATTGCGAGGACATTCTTGTGATTATTCTGCCATTCGTAAATCCATCACTGTGATTCTCATTTTATCATTTTGCAAATCTAGCAAGAATTCGGGCAGACAGTCTTCCATCAAGATTACGCCAGTGTCGCTTCTGTTGACCAGACATTGGATCATCCATCGTGTTTACAGCAATACTGCGGGTTGATTGTTTAGGGGCGGCGTGGAGAGTGAATTTTATCGCGATTCCCAGAACATTTCCCTCATTCGTGAGTCAGGAGCAAATGCGACATTTCCCACGTTATTGAATTCTATCTTATCACCTCTTTCTCGCCCTCCCGCGCATTGTCCTTAATTCGAAATTACAGCAATCAACCTGTATTTGCCGTGGCGCGCGGACGAGGTGGAGTAACAAAAAAAAAGGTATTTTCAAATCAAACAGAAATTTAATTGAGAGACACGGAATGAAATTTGAACTGCGCATTGTTCGTCATACGTGGAAACCGCAAACTACATCGACACCACCTGAAATCACATGACATTGAGCAGCACAGAAGCTGTATTTGCTTTCTTTAATACATTTTGCAGCTCTTGGGACTCTTATAAGACATAATATTTAATGAATTTTATGTGTGTTCAGTATTTTCCTGCGAAACGTCGGTGATTCAACATAGTTTTGAGAGGGATACTCTGATGAGTTTGTGTGGTTTAAGTGCATTCAAATTATAAGCAGACGAGTTTTCATAGGAATGCAGAGGAAATTAACATTTCCTCCTCACAATGAGAGTCAGTATATGATTTGATATGAAAGTGAGAGACGAAACGAAAGCACTTTAATATCAAATGCAAATATAGTGCTCTCATTTACGGATTGTGTTCATGAACACACCCAACACTCGATGGAGATTAGTTTTCATGAAACTATTTGAATATTTCACTGAGATATTCAGGATGTGGCACAGAAGTTTTCACGCAACACTCGATATTTCAATTTTCCCAGGGAAATTAACGAATGTTGATGCATTTGGAGGCAGTTTACCTGTCTTCCCGACTCCACTGTGGCCAATAATGAGGACTTTGAAGGACTTGCTCTTGTTGGAGTGCAATCCAAGTTTCGCGAGTGAGGACTTTGGTGAAGTGCTCATCATTTTCACAACTCCGACGTTATAGATCTTCGACACTGATCCACTGTGTCACTCAATGGAGAAATATTTAATACAATATACATAAATGTCTCAATGCGTTTATAATTAAAACACTGTCTCGACGTATTTAGGAAATTATTTCTGGCTCAGAATTGTTTCACTCGGCAGCTAACTTTGGCTGAGCGCGGTGTGGGTGATTTGACTGTTGTATGAATTTTCTTTTCTTATATTCCTAATTGTGAAGCTGTAGAATCTCTCCTTTGGGGTTGAAATTTCGCGTATGCAAAGGGCAGAAGAGAGAGAGAAAGAGTCTTCATCCCCTGAGAACTTTGTGATTTTCCACCTGTTTTCCAATGCCGCACATTTCATCTGCTCTGTGGCATTGTTATTGTGAAATTCTTAAGAAAATTTTCACATTTTCCCTCTCTTTTGCAATGAGACTGTTTTTAATGACATCACTCAACATTTCGCTTTTCTGTGCCACACAAAGTCTTCTCACACTCTCAAGCGAGAGATTCCCTGTTATTTATACGCTATTTCTTCAATTTTTCTTTTTATTTATAATTAAAATCACATCCAAACAGAGTCTGTCTTGACGCAATATTTTAAATACATAATCACACTCATGCGATTTTTTCCTCTGCACTAAATACACTTTTCAAAGTCAATTGGCGAACAGAAGGCAATTTGTACAGAGATGAAATGTATTTCTGTTCACTGATAAATTCGTTGTTCTCTCTCTGTCTCAGAGATATTTCTCTGAACCGTGAAAACGTCTTTTCCACGCTCACTCAAAATCACAATAACTTTCGTTGGAGGACAGGTATTGTCAATGAGAGCTTCCTCGAGTGATTTTCCCAGTTGCCAGCGACCAACTGTTGGGAAAATTCTACGCGCCACAGCATATAAAGCACTTTGAGTGGAGATTTCTTTTGCGTGGAGACGACTGGCGCAGATGGAGAGTCTGTGTGGGAAAACCATGTGAAGCTCTCGCGCCATACCTTCTGTGATGTTTTACTCCACACATTTTCCCCGCACACACTATTGACAGTTTTTTTTTTCCTCCTCCACACGTGTCTGGCAATCTTTGAGGAAATTAAGAGTTATTTATTTAATTTATCCCAAGCTTAAACACCATTAAATTGAGTTCCGATCGTTGCGATTGATCAGAATTCACTGCGACACGCAATGTCTTTGTGGTTCATTTTAACAGAAATATTTCTTCCATTGACCTTTGCACACAATCTAAGTTCAATTCTACTTTAATAGTTGAATGATTTTGTGCACTTTTGTGTCGTCATTTGGAAAATGAGGCAAGAAATTCATTAAATTAAATTCTACCTGCAGAGACACTCAGTTCAGACCACGTCAATTTACTTCCCTAACTTATTATTTTCACTACACAATTTACCCTGACCTTATTTCTGCCCATTGGAAGGCGCTGCCGTTATAATTGACACACTTAAGATTCATCTTCGCAATATTTGCCAGAAGCAGGCGAGCATCTCACACCCACGATGGCAATGATAAGGATCATGGAGATGGCCTGATCGACAGGCATTGTGGGTGGGAAAAAATGTAGTTAATTTAAGTTTTCCCGCCTCACCGGAATGTTCGTTATTGCATTCTTGTGCTGTCGTTAGACAGATTTCATGGCATTTCCGCACTTCCTTTTCCTCAATAAAACGCTCTCCTCGTCGTGCTCATAACTGCGTTGCAGAGGCACTGCGACAATACGCATTGGGACAATGGCAAATTTGCCTCTCAGCCCAATGTCTCATGATTCTGTGGCTGCTCTCGTCAGGCACTCTCGCCTGGATGCTCATCATTACAGAATGATGACGTTCTATATTTACATTCGCCTTTTGATTTAACACAATTATTTGTGCAGAGACAAACACACAGAGAAGCAACTTTGAGCGCCCGTGAGAGGAAAGATGTGTGTGGGAATGAGAGGGACAGCATTTTGGGAAGAGAGATTGAGAAATGGATTACACAAAGCGTGTCACAATCGTATATAAAGTGATTAGTAACTTGTGTTCAGAAAACTATTCGTCTCTCACTCTCGGACGCGATAACAACCGCTCAGACAAGCGACGGTGTCGTTGAAAGGCCAGGAAGAGACCTTGCATTTCCCGCGCTTTTCCTCATCTCTCTCTCTGTGTTTTTCCTGTGGCCTGTGAGAAATCGTGCTGTGGACTAAAGTGTAATTTTATTGCGTAAAAGGTGAATTTTCCACACCCTCGAGCAACAAACCGCTCAATGTTGAGCATATCAGCTGAACTTTTCTCTTTGCACTTGAGCTGCAAGTGTCGATTTGAACCGCAAATAACGCTTCATTTCTTTTCCCACTGCGCGCATTACTATCTGATAAGATTATTTACACTTGACGTACACAAGAATATTTTTGCCTCTCCCACAAAGCGGAACACATCGCTTTCCCATCTACAAATACGAGAAACGCCACATCGGATTTGGGCCAAGTTCAAGGCACGCAGAATTGATCTCTGGAAAATTCTGCAAATTTCCATTCAACCGTGGCAATTGCGTTCAATGGAATGTTCAAGAAATTTCCTATAGTGTTTTCGTGAGACTCCATTGAAATTGTCGGTGGGCGCTTTAAGGTCTTCTATTGTCGTGATTTTGCATAGTGACGTATGGATTTGTGGTGAGAAATTTCACCCGGAATAAGCATATTGGCGCCAAAAATATTTCGGATCCAAGCGAAGGGAAGGCAAGTAGTGCCTTTTTAAGTACACTCTCTGTGCACTGATTTCTACTGTGTCGTGCAACTGATTACTTAACCACCCCTGGAAAGTTTCTCGCATATTTATAACACTTGACGTGATCGGCGCTACCTACAGGACGCGTTAATGCGTCGTGGGCGCTTGGAAGCTCCCCCATGTCACCCCCACATGTCACAAAGCATCGCGGTGCGTCCTCAAGCGTTCCATGTGAATTAACTCAAACTGGATTTTGAGCGCCAATCTGCATAATGGCATCGATTCCGCGAAAATAGCAAGAGTTGATACACAAGGACAAGGCGAGAATTCCTCTTCGGACCGCTTATTTTATTGCACAACAACGCTTATCAGTCGGCTCTTACGATGTTCTTTGACAAAACTTTTCCATCGCCACGATCGGTGAAAGGTCAGCTGATAAATTTATAGTCAACGAAATTAATGAAAGCCAGTGGAATTTCGCTGCTCATTCATTCGCTCATTCGGAAAAATGCAGTCACGAAAGACAAGTGCACAGCAAAGGCAAAGAAGCTCTCAATCTCAACTAATTCGAGTGTTTTGTTCCAGAACTTCTTCTGCTCTTCCTGCTGGTTCTCTCTTCTGTCCAAGGTGAACTCGAGCGTCCGGAAACAATGCCTGTGGGAAATCTGATAACACTCCGCAATGACGAGGACTTCAACAAAACCCTCAGCGAGTTTGCATCCAGCCAGAAGACTTTGACCGTTCTTCTGGACTACGACGGAACTCTGGCGCCAATCGCTGCCCATCCGAACGACACAAAAATTCCTCAGGAAACCGAAGAGCATCTCAGAGATCTCGTGAATCGGAAAGATGTGTTTGTGGCTGTTATCTCTGGTCGCGGTGTTGACGATGTGCGCACGAAAGTGAGTAACAGATGAAGCAATAATCATTGCAATCACTTCAATGAGCAAAGTGTTTTCCAGGTCAGCATCGACAATGTGACGTTCGCGGGTAATCACGGCCTGGAAATCCTCTATCCGGACGGCTCGAGATTCAACTATCCCATTCCCGAGGATCTCCAGGCCAACTACACCACAATGGTCAACACTCTCAATGAGAAGTTCACGAGTGATGGCGCGTGGGTGGAAAACAAGAAGGCTTCTCTCACATTCCACTATCGCAACGTTCCTGCCAATCTGCACGGCGCCCTGAAGGAGGACGTGCGAAAGACCGTGGAGAGTTTCGGCTTCCGGGCGAATCAGGCTCACATGGCCATCGAGGCCAAGCCGCCGGTTGAGTGGAACAAGGGCAAGGCAGCTCTGTACATCCTGCAGAACAAGTTCGGCAACGACTGGGCCAGCAAAGCGAAGGTGTTCTTCGCCGGCGACGACACCACCGATGAGGATGCCATGATGGTGCTCAAGGGCCAGGGCAAGAGCTTCAGGATCTCGGACGACGACCAGATCCAAACGTACGCTGACTACAGGCTAGACTCGCCGTTCGCCGTGGGAAAACTCCTCAAGTGGCTGGCGCACAAGTGAATCAATTTTCGCCAGGATTTGCGCCAAAGCAATCGAATAAAATTCTGCATTTAATGGGGGTTCATATGATAGATCAAATTTTTGCAAGTAAATGTGATTTTTATACGAATAAATATTACTGTGTTCAATGTACTGATTCTTCTGCCTGTAACTGTAGATTGCCTTCAAATCTCTACCTCACTTCCCAGTCACTAGATGACTCCTCGGGCGGCGCAATGACAGTCAGTGAATGACATTTATTTGTTTTTGTGGCATTTTTCCCTGAAAAGTTGTTGCATTTTCCTCGAAAATAGCTGAAATTGGCGCAAAATGGACACAAAACTGGAGGTGGGTGGCACTCTAACACCCTTTATTTGCGATTGTCATCAAAATTTTGCCATTCCCTGTGCGGATAATTGCAGATGTTCGACGATGTTCCGGGCGTGGATGTGGAGGGCGAGATGACAATTCCAGCAAACAAGCGAACGTCTGGGAGCACTTCAAAGGCCGGGCCTCCGGACTTTGACACACTGGATGAGCCCATAAAAGACACAATAGTGAGATGAGACGAGAGGCGAGGAAGAGGCTGCGAAGCTGACATTCCCTTGTCTTTTTGCAGCTGCGCGACATTCGGGCAGTCGGCGTGAAGTTCTTTCATGTGCTGTATCCCAAAGAGAAGGCGACTCTGCTGAGAGACTGGGACTTGTGGGGACCGCTGGTCCTCTGCACATTCATGGCCACAATCCTGCACGGCTCGGCGGACAGCGAGACAGAAGGCGGACCGGAATTTGCACAGGTTTTTGTGATCGTCTGGATTGGCGCGATGATCGTCACGCTAAATTCCAAATTGCTGGGCGGAAACATGTGAGTTTGCAAGGAATTCCCACGATCCTAGGGAACTGGATATAATCGTTCGTGTGAGCAAGTTCCGGCTGACTTGGTATTTATACCTTTTGCAGCTCCTTCTTCCAGTCAGTCTGCGTCTTGGGCTACTGCCTCACACCTGTCGCCGTGTCACTTATCGTTTGCCAAGTGATTCTCCTTGCCGCCGTCCAAACGAAATTGCTATTCTTTATCAGGCTACTGACGACAATTGGTGGCTTCGTGTGGGCCACTTATGGTAATTTATTAGAGGCAATTTGCCACTACAGTTTCCACCGTCAGCACTAACGCATCCATTGTCTCTCCCGCAGCATCATTCATATTCCTCGGCGACAGTCAGCCGGCCAACCGCAAGCCATTGGCCGTCTATCCGATATTCCTCTTCTACTTCATTATCTCGTGGCTCGTGATATCCGATTCCAATATGTAAGTGATTAGAGTGTATTCAAATAAACCACTCCATGTGAGATGTCAATCAATTGTGCGTCCTATCGCCGAAATCCAGACAGTCTGCATCGTTAAAGCGTCACTAAAGAGTTAATTATACAGTCTGGAGCTGAAACAGGAATTGCATGGAAAGTATGTTGCGAATAACCTGAGAATGGACAAGGACGCATTCCTGTGAGCAGATTTAACACAATGTGATAGAGTGTGAATGGCAAGAAGAACGTGATAATGTGTCTTGATCATCTGTAGACATCGTGACGCTTTAGTCAAATTCTCACGCTGTAATTGAATTTAAGTCTCGTTGATTAATGTACAGCGTGGAAAATTTTTGGAGCGCCAAAGCGCGCTCAATTCATTGCGTAAAGCACAATATCAAGGCTCACATTTCTGCAATGGTGGCGTGCAATTATATCGAAGAGTCACTGCGCTCACCTCTGATAACGCCGCGTGAGAGCGCGCGACGCGAGCGCGGGGATTAGAAGTGAGAAAAACAAGAAAATATGCTGCATTTTGTGGCATAGCAGAAATGCCACCCAGATCATGCGCCACACAGATGATCCCCCGAAACAATCAAACAGTTCAGTTTGTTTCTCGTTCTCTCCACACTTTTGCAATATTTACTTGGACTCGTCGCGATAATCCCCAACTTCTTGACTCGCTCCACTACTTTCTGCTTGCCACTCTGAGCCGGAAAGGCGAAGCACACTGTCAGGTGCTTTTTCAAGTTCAAACATGTGACTTAATTTCACTTTGAATTTCCCCCTCGAGGTCACACGACGCTCTTTGTTATGCTGACGCCCGATATTGAGGATGATTTTCGGCGGACGGGTTTTGGCAGAGATGTTATGCAATTGGCAGAGGGACGATTGCTAAAGTTGTTGTGGAAGGTTAGGCACCAGTCGCGTGCAGAGACACCAAAACAGTCTCGAAAGGTTTCTCTCTTCTTCCCTAATTGCACGGTTTTTGTTGTTACTTCCGAGGGAGGGAAAATAGCACATTCTCGAGAGAATTATCAGTTCTAGAGGTTACGGAAGATCACAGCTTGGCATCAGATAATTTGTTTAATAATGTTTTCTATTTAGTCGATCACAACATAGACAGACGAGTCATTAGCAATGGAATGCATCCTTTGCAAAAATAGCGCCTTAGTATGAATTAGTATTCAAAAATAGCCGTGAAAATAAAAATCTGCGACAGTCGAATGAATGTAATAACAATTTTAATGAGTTGTGCATACAATCTCTGAAAATTTTACGCTGATTAGAGACCGTGAGTAAACATGAGGCGGGGATGAAATGATAAATAAAAAAAAAACGGCGGAAAATTCCGGAGCGACTTCTTAATTTGTCAGTTTATCTTGAGTGATTTTTTCGGCTTTGCAATTGTTGTACAACCATATATTGAGAAAGCCAATTGGCTCTTCAGCAATCGCCACAGTCATTCATGAGCGCGACAAAATGCAATGCAATTTTTGCTGAGATTAAAAGAAGAATCTTGGCGAATTACTAAGGACAAAGCAAATGCTTAATTTGTTATAGAATGCACAAATAATGCTGACAAGATTTTGCTCTAATCGCTCGTCTCTCTCTCTCCCTTTGTAATAAAATGTACTATGAGACAATTTCTTAATGAAAAGCGCCAGAGGATGATCTCTCCAATTCTGTTGTTCAACAATTCACGAGCGGAGCGGAGGAATAAAAAAACGGATGAAAAATTAAGAGTGAAACACTTCCGATAACCCCATGGACTTTTCCCGCTCTCTTTCTCCCCGACACTTTGTGTTCTCTCTGTGTGTGATTTTGAGTATCGCACGATGGTTTTGTGGGCCCTTGGGGACAATCTTCTGGGGCAGTTTTGGCTTCATGTGCGCAAAATGGAATTGGCTGCATCGCCAGAGGAAATGATCACCTCAAGTGATCTGTAATTGTTGTTTACTGTGGCAGATTAACGGGCGCAAAAAGACACGGAATTGCTTCGAGTGTTACTTAATTAAATCTTGCGTCAATATTTGCTGAAGAATTAAAGTGGGAGAAACAGGAGAAGATTGATAAATGCAAGGACTTTGATTCACTGGTCGTTATCTCTGTTGAATTCAATCAATAAATCGTCAGTTATGCATTTCCTCATCCCATGAAGTTCTGGACACTCAGACAAAACAAGGAATTAATTCAAATCACTGATTAGATTGCGAAATTTTTATTTTATCAACATGCAATTTGGATTTTGGACAAGTACAAAAAAAAGAATGATGAAAGAACTCCCGATAAGATGGCTATAAATGGAAAATTTATTTAGAAAAAAAACATTCCTTTTTGATCAAAATATCCTTCTTCGGAGATATTTAGAGACTTTGAAGATCAGACAATAAAGAAATTGAGTAAAAGAAGCGGTAAAGTATTTATTTTGAGCCCTCAAAAGTGCTCAATTGCACAGTAGAGATGGAAAATTCCCTCGGGCGCTGCTTTCCCCCCTCGAAAGCCCCACAATTCACCGCTGTGTTCGCATTTGTTGGAGTGTAATTAAGCGACGTGAACACACATCGTTCTGAGAGTGTTCGAATGGGACACAGAAAGTGGATGAGAGGCAGGCAAAAAAAGGCAGAAATCGTTCAGTGGTGGAGAGATAACTCTCGTAATAATAATAATAATATTGTGTATATTATACAGTAATTCGTGGTGCTATTTGTGATGATTTTTCGAAAAACGTTTAATGTCCTTAAGTTGAATAAGTGAATCAGTTGTGTTTCATCTGGCATCGAATTAACATCTCTGTTTCTCGCAGCGTGGATCGTTCGTCTCTGTTTGGTGGCTTGTTTTGTGAGCACATTAACTCAGTGCGAAAGTGGAAGCTTTCTTAGCCAAAAATTGCAAATAATAGCAAAAAAAAGAACTACTGAACTACTGAACTGCTGGAGAGTTTCATCAATTTCTGTTCTTCTCTTCTTTTTAATTCGGCATTTCCAATTGGAAAAGTGTGTGGCCAAAGTGTCGTCGTTGTGTGTTTCCACCCCGTTTTCCGGCGCGCCCCGTTTGCATACACCGTGAAGGTGATTGAGACAGAGATTTGACGACAGGAAGGGAGATGCCCGAGTTGAGCCCAGAAGTGTTTGTGACGGACACGGCGTCCACGAAGAACAGTTTAATCGTCGTGTCAAATCGATTGCCGTTCGTGCTAAAGACCAATCCGGAAACCAAAGCTCTCGAGCGGAAGGCAAGGTGAGCATTTTTCTCGTCTCTTTTTGGGCGGTAAACGCGTGATGCTGAGGAATCTTCTTTGCAGCGCCGGCGGCCTCGTGACGGCCGTCTGTCCGGTGGTGATCAACGGCAATGGACTGTGGGTGGGATGGTCCGGGATGCACACGAAGGACGAGAATCTCGTCATCCCAGAGTCAGATCCCAACGATCACACGCCAACGGCCGGCCTGAAGTCCTCCCAGGTCAGTGAAAGTCGCTTCCGTGCACGCTCACACGCTGTGATCGCCGAGATCCTCACACGATCACGCCGTGTGATCTGCCGCTGTATTTTCCCAATACTTTTCCTGTGCGCGCGCGCGCCCTCATCGTTGCGTTTGTAGTTTTTGCTGGTCGCACAGCGGACGATAAAGGGGGCTTTTCAATGTGTTGTGGCAATAACAGTTCTTGTTTGCTGAGCATCGCATATTAGACAGTCAATGCAGTGATAAGAGCTTTTTGAGACAGACAAGAAAAATTTTAAATATTTACCCACACTCGAGAATTAATCCCTCTGCTTGATAATGAAGTTATAGTTTCAACAATATTTTCCGCTCACTATTGACTTGTTGCCACACTTTTCACTCCTTTAAGTGCATCTATTTTTAACTACCCTTCACTATGTGCAACTTATGCTCAAGGTCACTTTGACGAGGGGAGACGCGAGAGGGTGTGTTTTCTCACCTAGAATTTCATCACATGCGCGCGCGAAAGGTGAATGTGGAATATTCCAGCAACAATAGAAATGTAATTTTAGAAAAAAGAAGATAAAATTCTATTTTTTCGTCGTGCTTCTCTCCTTTCTGGACTATCTCTGCTTTATCACGTGAAGAATATTCTCAGAATTTATAGCGCATTAAGAGGAATTTGATAACACATTTATGTATTTTGAACTCTCTTTTATTTGTGACCACAACAATTTGGGAGTTCATTGAGTAGATTACGCGGAGAGCATTGAATAGAAGCGAGCCTTTGGATGTTAGAGAAATAAACAACAATTCCACAATCGAACGTGATGTCTGTCGGGAGTTGAGAAAACCCTTAAGAATTTTCCACTCTCACCTGATAACTTATCAGCGGGTTGTTTTTTTTTTTTGGGGGGCTACTGAAATCATGAGATTAATTCGCGAGTAATGGCATCGAAAATTGACGCTAATTTTGGCCAGAGATTTTCCCAATCGTGCGATATCTTGGTCGAGGTAACTGAAACCGTGACATTGAAGTGCGACGTTTTGTATTTGCGCTTGTATTTAGCCGGCCAATTTTGTTCGTTATATGCCAAATTGATTATCTCCGTCCACATGGAGTTGGAGAATTGTGTCTCCTAATGAGTGTTGATCGCTCTTCTGAGAGCTTCCTCTGCCCAATTTGCGTCTCAGGCCCAAAATGTGCATTGATGAGAATGAATTGCCAATGAGTCACTGCGTATTTTCATTAACACATCCCCCCAAATTGCGTCACTGCAGGCTTTCTTTTCTCAGCTCTCTGGAGGGGAGGAAAAAATTCTCGTACGCACAACGTAGGCAAAATCTCAATTGAATTTTCTCCAGAACGTAAATATTTGAGTATGTGAGAAGATGGGGAAAAAAAATCATACATGCGTGACGTAGATTCCGCTTTTTACACTCAATTAGGAAAATACTATCATCCAATTGCTCTTGTTATTTCTTTTCTCGAGCATAATGGCCTGGATAAGGAGTGCTTTGTGCCAATTTTTTTTTGCTCTCCCAGTTGTGACCGGAATGTTTTGCAAAAAATTGCCACGCGTCGTTTGAATCAAGGTTCGATGACATATTTAGAGAGAGAGAGATATTACTTGTGAGTAATTATACTTAGGACTTAGTCTACGTGCTGAGCGAATTACGGCAGAGGCGCTTATCTCGGCACTAGACACACATTTTGGCCGGTTAAATAATTATCTTGCACAATGAGTTAATACGTAAATAAGTGGGCTAAATATAAGTGCGCAAGATACTGGAAATCTTGCGGGCACAGCCAGAGACCTCAGATCTGATCTTGAGATGTCCACACAATTCGCAGGTCGTTTGCGTGGACATGGATCCGCTCATTTTCGATTCCTACTACAACGGATGCTGCAACGGCACCTTCTGGCCCCTGTTCCACTCCATGCCGGGCAGGGCCATCTTCAGCTCGGACCACTGGCGCAGCTACGTGCAGACGAACAAGGTGTTCGCGCGGCGCACCATCGAGGCCCTGGAGAGGTGCCACGAGAATCTCCGGGAGAATGCGGGGACACCGATTGTCTGGATCCACGACTACCATCTCATGCTGGCGGCCAATTGGGTGCGCGAAGCGGCCGAGGAGAAGGGCCTCGCCTTCCAGCTGGCCTTCTTCCTCCACATCCCCTTCCCGCCGTGGGACATCTTCCGTCTGCTGCCGTGGTCGGACGAGATCCTGCAGGGCATGCTGGGCTGTGACATGGTCGGCTTCCACATCCGCGACTACTGTCTCAACTTTGTCGACTGCTGCCAGCGCAGCCTGGGCTGTCGCGTGGACAGGAAGAACTTGCTGGTGGAGCACGGCGGGCGATCCGTGAGGATCCGTCCGCTGCCCATCGGGATTCCCTTTGAGCGCTTCGTCGAGTTGTCCATCTGCGCCAAGCGCGTGATCAAGACCAAGCAGCAGATCATCCTGGGCGTCGATCGTCTGGACTACACCAAAGGCCTGGTGAATCGCCTAAAGGTAAGATCCGCTCTCGCCTCATTCCATTCCCTTTTACACGCGAACCACTAACTTGCAGGCATTCGAGCTCCTGCTGGAGAAGCATCCCGAGCACCTGGGAAATGTGAATCTCCTGCAAATCTCCGTGCCCTCGCGCACTGATGTGCGGGAGTACCAGGAACTGAAGGAGGAGATGGATCAGTTGGTGGGCAGGATAAATGGGCGCTTCACCACGGCCAACTGGTCGCCGATTCGGTACATCTACGGATGCGTGAGCCAGGACGAGCTGGCTGCCTTCTATCGCGATGCTTCCGTGGCTCTGGTCACGCCTCTGCGCGATGGCATGAACCTCGTGGCCAAGGAGTTTGTCGCGTGTCAGATCAACGACTCTCCGGGCGTGCTGATCGTCTCGCCGTTCGCCGGCGCTGGCGAGATGATGCACGAGGCGCTGCTCTGCAATCCCTACGAGATCGATGACGCCGCCGAGGTGATCCACAGGGCGCTGACGATGCCCGAGGACGAGCGCAAGCTGAGAATGAGTCGCCTGAGGCGGCGAGAGATGGAGAACGATGTCAATCACTGGATGAGGTGCTTCCTGAAGGCGATGGGATCCTTGGAGGAGGACGACATCGGCACCACTTCAATGCAGCCTGTGTCCATTGATGACTTCGACGAGTACCTCCTCAACTACATCGGCTACAACCACAAGCTGGCGCTCCTGCTCGACTATGACGGCACTCTGGCGCCCATTGCGCCGCATCCCGACCTCGCCATTCTGCCGCCCGAGACCAAGAACGTCCTGCTGCGCCTGTCCAATCACTCGGACGTGCACATCGCCATCGTGTCCGGCCGGAATGTGGACAACGTGCGGCAGATGGTGGGCATCGACGGCATCACCTACGCGGGCAGTCACGGTCTGGAGATCATTCATCCCGATGGCAGCAAGTTCGTGCATCCGATGCCCATTGAATTTGAGGACAAAGTCAGCCTCCTGCTCAAGGAGCTCCAGGATTCCGTGAGTATGACTTTAATTGCACTTTGGGAGACTTTGGACACAAGGAAATCCAATCAGTGGATGTTTTCGAAGTGCCCTTCTGATGGGTTCACGCCAATGCCATTGATAAGCATTGACGTCGGCAGAGGCAGAAAAATGTCGTTGTCCTAGAAGATGAAGCGAGTTTCTATCCAGAATATTCAGGAATGTCGCGAGCGCGCGCGAGATTTGCATAATTTTCTTTTTAGAGATAGTGAGAAAATAAAGCTGGAGATATTGTCGTTGGCGCGCAGACAAAACATCGCGAGACGGCAAAGATAGCAGCGATGAAGCGGACTCGAAAGTCCATGTGTTAGAGATCTTGTTTGTCTTGTAGGTTTGCGGAGATGGTGCCTGGGTGGAGAACAAAGGTGCCCTCTTGACATTCCACTATCGTGAGACTCCTGTCGATCTGAGGTCAACGATGGTGGAGAAGGCGCGACAGATTATCAAGAAGTTCGGCTTCCTCGCGCACGACGCCCATTGCGCCCTCGAGGCGAAGCCGCCCGTGCAGTGGAACAAGGGCCGCGCCTCCATCTACATCCTGAGGACGGCCTTCGGCGTGGACTGGACCGAGCGCATGAAGATCATCTACGCCGGCGATGACGCCACCGACGAGGACGCCATGCAGGTGACACTCCCTCTCGCCCTCTCGCCGCGGCAAATCCGCCAATCTCTCTCTGACTCTTGCAGGCTCTCAAGGGTATCGCGATGACCTTCCGCGTCACCTCGTCGCACATCGTGAAGACATCAGCCCAGAGACGCCTGCCCTCCACGGACTCCGTGCTCACGATGCTCAAGTGGGTGGAGCGTCACTTCATGCGGCGCAAGCCCCGCGCGAACTCGCTCACGTACAAGAGCCGCAGGAAAGACGGACTGAAGATGCAAATGTGCTTCGACCTGTCGTCGCCAAATACTCAAACGAGCAGCTCGGATGAGCACCACGAGTAGCCAAGGGGCTCCGGGGGCCGTCCGGGTCCTCTGAGGTGTATAATCAACTCTATCTTTGGGATTTACTACAATCAGTCGCATGTTATCATGATTTTTATAAAGAAACACCTTATTTGTGTATTAAAATGCCATTTTTACCAACCAACGTGTTGCTTTCCGTTGATGAGCTTTTATTTCAAGTCACAAGCTTTGCTAACTTCACAGCTTTGGCAGAGGCGCCAAATCTCCGATTAATCGCTGTGTGGAGAGCTTTTGATTGGCTGCAGTGCGAAATCATCTGTTTTTGACACGTCGAATGTTGTGCGGAGTTTGGAGAATTGTGTGAAAATCTCGGGGAAAGAGCCATGCTGAAGGCTGTAATCTTGATTGGGGGTCCCCAGAAGGGGACCAGGTTTCGACCTCTGTCGCTGGACGTGCCGAAACCCCTGTTCCCCATCGTGGGCCGCCCGATTATCCAGCATCACATCGAAGCCTGCATCTCCATGAAGGACGTCAAGGAGATTCTCATCATCGGCTACTATCCCACTGCCCAGATGTCCCACTTCATCAATGACATGCAGAGTCTGTACGAGATCAACATCCGCTACTTGCAGGAGTTCACGGCTCTCGGCACAGCCGGCGGAATGTATCATTTTCGCGACCAGATTCGGGCGGGGAATCCCACGGCGTTCTTCGTGCTGAACGGGGATGTGTGCGCAGATTTCCCCCTGCAGGAGCTCTATGACTTCCACAAGAGCCGCGGGGCGGACGCCCTCATCAGCATCATGAGCACAGAGGCCACGAAGCAGCAAAGCTTGCACTACGGATGCCTTGTCCTGGACAAGCAAACGGGCGTGGTTAATCACTATGTGGAGAAGCCGAGCTCCTTCATATCCTCGTTTATCAACTGCGGCGTCTACATCTGCACCACGGACGTCTTTCCCATGATGGCCACGATCTTCCACTCGAAGCAGCAAGACTACGCCGGAGGGTGAGTTTCCCGCGATCCTGCCCAGAATATCGCGTTAAACTTGCCAATTTCCCTCCATAGTTTGAACAACGGCTCGAATAAGGATCAGGGACACATTCAGTGGGAACAGGAAATCCTGAATCCTCTCGCCGGCACTGGGAAACTCTTCGCTCTGCCGGTGAACAACTGGTGGTCGCAGATCAAGACAGCCGGTTCTGCCATCTACGCCAATCGCCACTATCTGGAATTGTACAGAAACACGAGGCCAGAGCGCCTGGCCAACAGTGATCTCAAGACCGTCAACGGAAGCGTTTCCTGCACAATCTACCCGGATGTCTTCATCCACCCCAGCGCGTCTGTCCATCCAGACGCCATCCTCGGCCCCAATGTGTCCATCGGCGCCGGAGTGACGATCGGAGCTGGCGTGAGAATCCGGGAGTCAATCATCCTGGACAACGCCGTCGTGAACGATCACACGCTCATCCTGCACAGCATCATTGGACGGGGATCTGTGGTGGGCGCTTGGGCGAGAGTCGAGGGCACTCCATCTGATCCGGATCCCAACAAACCCTTCGCCAAGATGGACAATTTGCCGCTGTTCAACAACGACGGGCGACTGAATCCCTCAATAACCATCCTCGGATGCTGTGTCACTGTTCCCGCGGAGATGATTCTGCTCAATTCGATAGTTCTGCCGCACAAGGAGCTCAACAGGAGCTTCAAGAACGAGATAATCTTGTAATGCAGAGTGAATCAGCCAAATAAACACTAATTTTTCACGGAATTAATCGATTTTTATCGCAAACCCGCGCATATCGTCGATATTTCACTCGTATGACACACAACAGACACGTCAACAAGTGAAAGGCACAGAAGTCGCCTTGCTTCCAGATTTTCGTGAAAATCCCTAGATTTCCTGACGATGAGTAGTGTCCAGGAGCTGCAGGATAAGGTGGCCCATCTGGAGAGTGAGCTGCAGCGATATAAGAATGCAGGAGTGCGGGAAAAGATCGATAAGATGTCAGCAGAAGTTGTGGACTCGAATCCCTACAGTCGGTAAGATTTTCCCACCCGGCAAGTGATCAAGGAGTGACTGTACATCTCTTCCTAGGCTCATGGCCCTGCAGAGGATGGGAATCGTGACGGACTATGAGAGGATTCGGGGCAAGAGTGTGGCTATTGTGGGCGTTGGCGGAGTCGGAAGTGTCACGGCGGACATGCTGACCAGATGCGGCGTGGGAAAGCTGATCCTCTTCGACTATGACAAGGTGGAGCTGGCCAACATGAACAGACTCTTCTACACACCAGATCAGGCGGGCCTCAGCAAGGTGGAAGCAGCCGCACGGACGCTGAGCTTCATCAATCCGGACGTTGAGATCCTGACAAATAACTACAATATCACACTCGTGGAGGAGTTCGACAGATTCATGGGCACCATCAACACGGGTGGAATGGACGGCAAGAGTCCTGTGGATCTGGTTCTGAGCTGCGTGGACAACTTCGAGGCGCGGATGGCCATCAACACGGCGTGCAACGAGTTGAATCTCAACTGGTACGAATCCGGAGTGTCTGAGAACGCTGTTTCTGGACACATTCAGTTCATTCGTCCAGGAGAGACTGCCTGCTTCGCCTGTGCTCCTCCACTGATCGTGGCAGAGAACATCGACGAGAAGACTCTGAAGAGGGACGGAGTTTGTGCCGCCAGTTTGCCGACGACAATGGGAATTGTGGCTGGAATGCTGGTTCAGAACACCCTGAAGTACCTGCTGGGCTTTGGCGAGGCTTCTGACTATCTTGGCTACAGCGCTCTCAATGACTTCTTCCCCAAAATCACGCTCAGACCCAATCAGACCTGCGATGATCGCTTCTGTGTCCAGAGACAGCAAGAATTCGCTCTCAAGCCAAAACCCGAGGCTCCACAAGAGACTGAACAGAGTGACGAGCCTCTGCATGAGGACAATGAGTTTGGAATTGAACTAGTTAGTGAATCTGTGGAGGTGAAAGCTCCGGAGAAGAGCAATCAAGGACTCAAGTTCGCCTATGAGAGTGGCGATAAACATTCCGAGCCGCATTCTCAGAGTCAATCAGCCTCAGATGATGTGAGTCTTGAGGATTTGATGGCGCAGATGAAGACAATGTAATAAATACAGCCTGAAATACAGTATCTTTTGTGAGAATGGTGAGAATTCAATGGATTTTCTTGAGATTCTTATCAGTTGTGCGCCAAATTTCTCGATATATATCGATCAAGCGCATTAGAACTGTCCCACGATACTCCGTGGGACGGCTCTTGAAGGTCTCTTGTCGGGCCATCGTGACGTGATCTGTCAAAATTATCAACACGGAGAATTTTATTTGGTTGAAATTTATCAAATAATCGTAGAAAATTGATGTAATTTCCCGTGGTTTTCTTCAATTTCTGTTATGAGGTGAGTCTGTGCGCGATATTTGACTGCGGATTGTGCGAAATTCCTCGCGAAATGGCGTGAAAAGCGTGAGAAAAGTGACCTCCCGCGATGGGGGCAGAGAAATGGATCATTTTTGTCATTCGGGCACATCGCGCGAAACTATGCATAAATTATTCCGTTCCGTGAACGGGAAGAATGCACGCAATTTGTCGTGAATAGCATTAACCCCGTGCTTGATTTGCAGGAATGGAAAGTGACAAGTATGAGCAGAAGCTTTATCAGATGTTCAGTAGTCACGACCGCGAGGAGAGGAGCACGCTGAACAGGGAGGAGTTGGCCAAGCTCTGCATCTCGCTGGAGCTGAGAGATGCTGGCGCCGCCCTGATCGCCGATCTGTTCGCCGGCGTGACGTCCAAGGAGCGGCGGGTGTCGTATCAGGAGTTCAAGGAGGCGCTCCTCAAGTTCCTGGGCAGTGAAATGCCAGCAAACTCCTATGAATCAGGTGAGAAGAGAGATTTCACCCCTTTCTTTGCTCTCTCTCCGCTAATCCGGATGTGCTTTGCAGAGACAACCAATGATTCACATGAAGTGGAAACCTCCAGCAGCAGTATTCCTCTGTCGCCGGGCAGAGAAGTCTCGCCCAAGTGCATCGTCGGGACGAAGAAGTACGGCCGAAGATCGCGACCAACCAGTGCTAATCTGTCCTCTTCCTCGCTGTCTGAGTCAGACAATGAGGCAACAGCAGAGGCTGACAAAGGGTCGAAGGTCAAAGAGGTACTTCTTATCTGTGCTTGCGCTCTGAAAGATTCTCCGAATTATTATCCCAACTCTGCCTCCGCAGGTACAGAAATCCGCCTCCCAGAGCGACGTGCACAGCTACAAGCGAGTGATCGGGTCGAAGCTGAAGCGCTGCGCCTCCCTTCCTGCCCAGCGGAATCGCCACGAGCACACCAAATCCCTGCAGACGCAGCTGGAAGTCGTCCAGTCCGTCGGTAAGTCATCCCAACGCCCATTATTTTCCACGCTTTATTGCCGGCGCGTCATTGAATATATTTATAAAGGCGCATCGCACATAAATTCACTATGCGAATGATTAATCGACTTTCATTGTAGAAAGTTGGTCAAGAAAACCAATAGAGTTTGTTGGTGGATATTTTTCAGTCTCGCGCCGCGTATAACGAAGGAATATCCAACATTTACACAACACAGAAACGGTATTGATTCGGAGGGAAAACCACTGAGGTTTTCACTCTCGGCAGTTCACTTGGATACCTGTACGCAAGAAAATACCACAACAATAGACTCTGGGGCTTCCTCTAAAGTGCGCCGCGCGCTCTCATAAAAAATGCCTCTTTATTGCATTTAAAAGATACAGAAATCTCTGCGTGAAGTGCATTCAAAAGTGAGTGATAATTGGGAAAATTCAACAAAAGAACGAGTATATTTTGCACAAAGTGGCAATAATTGTGGAATGTGAATTCTTCCCACATAAAGAGCCGTCATTCGTGTGTGTGTTTGTGTTGATGCAGATTAAATTTAACTGTTTCAAGAAGTCCATAATATGTCTCATTAGATTGTTTCTCTTATAATGCTAATCGTGAGATTCTCTCGTGGAGTGTCGAGAAGCAAGAAGAAGCCTTGAATGGAGTGATTTTCCAAAAGAGAAACTCCAAAAATTGCTTTTCTATTTCTTGTTTTCTTACAACCAATTTCACCTTGAACTCCTCCTCAAGAGGAGTTTGATGAATATTCTGCTCAATTCTTTGTCTTTCTACTCGTCACATGACACTTTATTATGCCTCAAATTGTGAAGGGGGTCAAAGAGATATGATAAGGCAAAAGTAGGGGAAAATTTCGTAATAAAATGTAATAATCAAGAGTGGGTTGAATTGAATATTCTCCAGCGATAATTGGGGAAAGCGGGGCTTCTTTGAACACTGTGTTTTCCTCATTAATTTGCTGTTTTATTGCTAGAATATGAATTGTGTCTCAACTCTTGTTCACATTTGACTCTATTTTAGAGGTCATTTCAGAGATTTTCTCAATAAACTAAGACAATAACTTCTCCTTAGACTTTGATTAAATGCTTGGTTTCAAAGGGTTAAAAGCTAATGACAGTGGCGCAATTGGAACGTGATTTTCCACACACTACTGAAGGTGGTTTTGTGTAGTGAAAGAATGTTTTTCATTGGCATTTTCTGTCTCATTATTAAAATAATTGAAAGACTGCGGATGAACTCGTGACGAACCTTGAAGATAAAGTGTAATTGCTCAATGACTAATTTCAGTATATTTCATTCCTCTCTTCACGAGAACACAAACACACGGCGAAGTAATCGAAGATAGAAGTCTTAATGTAAAGTTTGATAAGTGGAATTTGATGCATGTTTCATGCCTTAGTTTCCGATTCACTTGCATTTATCATCTTCTCAGTTCTTGTATAACAATCAGCCACTATAAATAAGTCATGATTACAACACCTAATCGACGCATTGGACGCATTATGCAGGAGTAACTGACTTGTGTTTTGAGTCTATGTAATTAATGCGCGTGAACCGGGCTGAAATGCTGCCAGGCAGAAACTTCTTTATTACTGGGCTTAATCGGCTGTTGGCTCCCTGTCTTTCCAGATTTCTCACCCGAGTCAGATGTTGTGCCATTCGATGTGATTGTGGACATGTGGGAGAACGCTGGTGTGCTCCAGGCATCCAATTTGCTGGCAAATCTCGGCTTCAGCGGCCGCCAGATCAACATCAGCGACTTGTCGGCCTCCATTGACCACGAGCTGCAGGTGATGAGGGAGAACGCGGCCGCAATTCCTCTGCTGAGGGCTTCTCTGGTGCTGCACAAGGCGGAAGTCAATGGGTTGCAAGTGGCGCTGCGCCAGCTGGCGTCGGAGAATCAGAAACTCCACTCGGACAATCAGAGTGCGAATCAGCGTGCCGTGCTGCTGGCCCAGGAAATCGACGAGAGGCACGCCAATATTGAAAACTCCACTCGGTCTGAGGTAAAAAAATTGCTTTTTTTGTGCTGCACGAAATTGCAAAAAATGCGCAGAGGCAGAGAAAAAAAGTGCGTGTGCTTTTCCTTTGCAGATTCGTGCCTTGGAGCAACGCCATGCGGACGCCGTTCGTGAGCTCACCGTTCAGATGACGAAGGATCGAGAGCAGCTGGCGGCACTCAATGGGAAGCTGGAGGAGCGAATAAAGCTGCTGGAGACGGAACAGGTGCGCCTGAAGAGTGACAATGCGCAGCTGAGGAGTGAAAATAGTGCCTTCGAGAGTGAACAGACAAAGTTTCAGGGTGTGATTGCCGATCTCACGGCCACAAATCAGAGGTTGAACACGGAGATTGCCGAGCTGGGCAGTCGGCAGGATCAGAGTGAGGCGGAGTGCGAGGAGATGCAGCTGCTGATGCAGAAGATCAGTCTGGTGCAGAAGGAGAATGTGGGCCTCAGGGATAAGAATGATGAGTTGTGTGCGGAGATCGAGAGTGTTTCCATGGAGCTGAAGAAGATGCGCACAGTCAAGGGGAGTTCCAAGTCGCCGGGAAACTCAGAGTATGGCGACGATGTGGCGGGTGAGTGTGAGGATGTGGAGCTGAATGTGGCGAACACGCTGGCGATCAAGAGGCGCGGCGACTCGCCCAGCAAGAGGATCAACGAGGAGAGTCCGCGCCTGGGGAAGTTCCGCAAGTACAGCGACGATTCGGCGGATTTGTCGGACAATCCGGCCGAATGGGCGGCTCTGAACATGGAACTGGAGCAGGCGGAGAGGAAGTCAGAGCCCAAGACTGCCGATGAAGTGCCTGAGGAGACGCCGAAGGTGGCGACTGACACGGACGATGTGGAGAAGCTGCGCGAGAGAGTGAATGAACTGGAGGCGAGCCTGGAGATGATGCGGAAGGAGTTTGACGACTGCGAGGACTACTGGCAGTCGAAGTTGAACACGGAGAGGCGGATGTTCGAGGAGGAGCAGAGCCAGTGCGACGAGAAGCTGTCGGAGTTGCTGCAGAAGATGATGGAGTATGAGGAGCAGTTCAAGACAGAGAAGTCAAGTGGTCGACTGACGCCAATTCAGGAGAAGGACAACCTCGAGCAGCAATATGCTGAGCTCGAGTCGGAGATTTGTGAGCTGAAGGAGAAGAACTCCTCGATGCTGGTGGAGAAGAGTGAGGAGATTGCCGAGCTGAAGGGTCAGATTAAGGCGCTGATGGAGGGAAGTCAGAGCCAATTGGCGTGGAATGACGACGCGAGTTCGGCGAGTTCACCCATGAATTACCTCTGGAATCAGAGCACAATTCATGCCCCGGCGAGAGATTATCACAATCCGAATTGGCAGCAGGAGGGCGAGCGCAAGAAGAGCCCGCCCACGGGAATTGAGTGCCTGACAACCACGGAGACGTCCACGTGGGCCTTTTCACCAGAGAAAGTGCCTGCCATTTCGCCTATTCAGAAGCCCAAGCGCCACACGGACGCGGAAGACGCCGGCAAGAAGCCGGAAGATGAGGGCAGCGCGTCCGTGAAGAGCGCTGGAGGATCATCTCACAGTGGAGCTTCCACGTACAATATGTGAGTGTTCAGACGTTGTTCTATATGAATAACTGACCAGCTAATGCCTTTCTCTCTCTCTCGTCACAGACGCACGAATGCGAGTCCGGATGAATTTAAAAATGACATACAGGAATTAGCAACGATTAAGAATCATCTGGAGGAGGAAATTAAAGACATCACGTACAAGAGAGATTGCCTTCTGATGGAAGTTCAGCAACTTTCCTATGTGAAACCAACGCGCACGGAAGCTGCTGTGCGTTTTTTCTTTCATCTTTTCACTTACAATCCAATTAACTTGCATTTTTGCCTAAGCATTTATATTCGCTTTTTTTTATTATTATTTCCAAACAGAAAATGGCTAATGTGAACTTGCAGGCACGCGTTCAGCATTTGGAGCAGAAAAATCGCCAATTACAGTCGGTTCTCAAGCAACAGCAGCACTATGCAGAAACGATAATGCATCGTGAGTGTGCCTAGAGAGAATGTGGAAAAGATGGGCTTTTTCTTCACTCATTGCGATGCTCTATTTTTTGCAGAGACTTGGCAGCAACAGCGATCGGAGATCAGTGAGTTGAGAAATCGTCTCGAGGCGCAATCGATCATAATCACGGAACAGGCACAGAGATTGGCGAATGCGGACATTCTGGTGAAGGATCTCTATGTTGAGAATTCTCATCTCACGTCAAATATGCAGCGACTGGAGCAGCAGAACAGCAGGAATGCATATCTCTTTCACTACTCCGCTCCCGGTCCCAAATTGCCGTGAAAGCGCGCACCGCGAAAAGAAAAGCTCATTTTTGCTTCAAGTTATCGATTGATGGTAGAAAAAAAAAACGTGGAAAAGACAAGATAATTCTAAGCTTTTAACTGACAAAGGATGCAAAGAATGGATGTTGCAATGTGTCTAGATGAAAAAGCACCCGAGACTTTTGTAAAAGACAGAGCTTTAAGTCACAAACACTCAAATTTCTAACTCTTTCCTTGTATGTTTGAGTGAAAAAGAGCCTATTTTAATGCCTTTACCAGTCGTTTTTTGCCTTCTTTTCTAACAAAAAAAAAACAACAATAACATAATGAAGTTAGTTTGAGTGATATTGCGTAGGTTTAGCAATCAGATTTTGTAGATATTATGTTAGTCGTAGAATTTCCACAATGGTTTTTATCCTATAAATTTTTAATGAACTAATATTGTGTACCTCACAGTTGAAACTAATTTGATTTAATGCGCTGAGAAAAGACGGAATTAATCTTTGAGTGAGAATTGTGTTGAAGACACGAGAGAAGAAATACTTCTTATTATAGAGAAATTTTAACTTATATCAATTCTCTTAATTTATTCCAAAACTGTAATAATTTTTGTTTGAAATGCAATTTTACTTATCAAAAATACCTGGACATTTTGTCTGGCGAATGTAAGTCTTTCCAGACGGCACGGAGACAGTTGAGAAGCCTTTTGGGAAGAGTTTCTCCGCCTCAGTCGCTGAGAGTGTTGGCAAAACCATGCAATCGCCGCCTTGCTGAGGATTCAATCTTGCATTAATTACAGCGAAAGGAGCGACTTTCCATCAATCTCACCTCCCAATCCACCGGCGTGGCAACTTTGTGGTTGTCCGTGAGCTGCATCGAGTCAATCACTCGGAGGATTTCCGGGAAATTCCGCCCAGTTGTCGCCGGATAGAGAATTGAGAGCCTCAGTTTCTTCTGATGATCCACAACGAAGACCGCGCGGCAAGTCAGCGGCAAACCGTGCTTCCCGATCTCATCCTTGTCCAGCATGTTCAGCTTCACGGCCAATTCACGCTTCTCGTCATCGATGATCGGATAAGGGAAGTTCCCGGAGAAGCCTAGAATGGAAATAAGATTTAATCCTGCAAAATTAGCAAAGGCATTTAATTCTCACCGCCAAAGTGCTTAATATCTTCAGTCCACTTCTCGTGAGACAAAACACTGTCGCACGATAAGGCGATTATCTTCACGTTGCGCTTCTCAAATTCAGGAATCAAGTGCAGAAGTCTGCAATAGAAGAAAGACATCTAGAGCTCAAAACGTGGTTCTATTGGAAAGGTTTCAAATTCAGCTACAGAATAACAAGCAATGGGATCGATTCATACATTAATAACTGAGAAATTGAAGAAAAGAATATTTTGGGGGTTAAAAATGGCGAACAATTATTTCTTATTTGAAGGACGCTTGCAAATATGCTCATCATTCTCGTGATCTTCTCTAAACCTTGACTTTTTTCTACTCATCATAACTATTGTGATGAGAAATTACAGCTCTCACAATTATCCAATCATCCTCGGATCATCCCGGGTTCTTACCTGGCCAATTCGGTGGTGCAGACAGGTGTAAAGTCGGCCGGATGCGAGAATAAAACTCCCCATCTGAAAGCCATGCCGGAAGGAATTAACTCAAATGGAGCTCAATTGCCACTTCCGTGTGGAAATATACTCACGACGATCCGAGCCAGTTGTAGAAATCAATCTCTCCGGCTGTTGTGTTGGCCTGGAAATTGGGGAATGTGTCGCCGATATTCATTTTCAACGGTGGTAACTTGAGGATGCGCTTCCGCTCGCAAACAAAACACGCGCTCTAAATGCTTCCCCAAATCAGCTGTTTCGTGTTGCCTGCAGATCCGAGAATTCCCGGCAGACCTGCAGAAGACTGCAGATTCCAGGCAGGCGCGAAGAATTCCGTGCACTTCGCGGGCGCTTTCCAGTGATTTTCTGGTTGTGTTGGTGCATCTGATTGGCATTTTGGCCTTTTGAATTATCATTTCTGGCTTTTCGTACTCAATAATCCGGTAGAAGGTGTCTTGAGGCCGTGCACTTTCTCTCTCTCGAGCCGCGAAACTAGTTTAGCTGAAACTGCCACGACTTTTGGTTGAGATTCGCGCCTTCTGGAATCTTTGCCAAAATTTTTTGGTCAAAGTCCGCTCAATCAAGTGGATAAATTAGATCGCAGTGTGATGAATTGGATCGCCCAAAAGTCAGTATCAGTCCTCGCCAAACCAGTGAGTAATTGAGTGGGGTTTCAAGAGCACATCGCTGACAGAGATTGATTTCAGGGTTCGAGAATGTTAGTTGCCAACACGAGAGCTTTGGCCTCCTTTGAGCGCCCCATTCAGGCGAAGATCCCGCCTGGGATTCAGCAGAGAAGCACCTCGAGCTCAGGGAAGTCTCTGGAGAATCCACAGAACCTTCCTCATCTGCCGGTGCCTTCGCTGAAAGACACTCTTCTCCGGTTCTTGGCCACTGTCCAGCCTCATCTCAACGAGGAGGAGTTCCGACGCACTCGCAGCCTCCTGGACAAGTTCAGCCAGCCCGGAGGCGATGGAGAGACTCTGCAGAAGCTCCTGGAGGCCAGAGCGGGCATTAAGGAGAACTGGCTGGCGGAGTGGTGGCTGAAGACAGCTTATCTGGGCTACAGAGATCCCGTTGTCGTCTGGTCCAGTCCGGGAATCGTCTTTCCCGAGAGGAAGTTCTCTTCTGAGCGCGATCGCCTAGCCTTTGCGGCCAAAGTCATCACAGCTTCGCTGCGCTTCAAGGGCGAGATCGACAACGAACGGATTCCCATGGAGAAGTTCGGGAAGAGCGAACTGGACATGCAGCAGTACAGGAAGATCTTCGGAACCTGCAGGATTCCAGGCAGAGACATCGACAAGATTGAGTTCCACCCGAAATCCAAGCATATTGTGGTCATTCATCGAGGAAACGTGAGTTCTGATAAGCGATTTTGGATCCAAAATGTGATTCTCAACATCCTTTGCAGATCTACAAAGTGACTGTTTACGGAGGAGCAGATCTGGGTGAGCTTCTGAGCGAGGAGGAGCTGATTGAGCAACTGCAAGAGTGCGTGAAGGGCAGCAGAAATCCGCATCCGGTTGGAATTCTCACGTCTGACAATCGCAATAACTGGGGAAAAGCGTATGAAATCCTCTCGAGCGATCCGCAGAATCGAGACTCTCTGGCAGAGACGCAGAAAGCGCTATTCGTGCTGAGTCTGGACGATGCTGCTCCTCGGCCGGTTGACTACAAGACCGTGACCAGTCACCAGGTCATTCACGGCGGCGGCTCCAGGCAGAACGCAGGGAATCGCTGGTACGACAAGACAGTGCAATTCATCGTCGGCGAAGACGGCCTGAATGGCTTGACTTACGAACACACGCCGGCTGAGGGAGGCCCAATTGCCGTCCTCACGGATCAGATCCTGAAATACGCGTGAGTTTCCCACAATCTCATGATCAGAGTGATATTCTCTAAAGCACTTTGATTTGGAATTCCAGAGACTCTGAAGCTGTGCGCCAGAATCGTGTCGGAATCCCTGAGAAGCCAAAGCTTCTGGCCTTCAATCTCAGCGCAGAAGCCAAAGAGTGCATCAGCGAAGCTGCCAAGAACATCGACGCTCTGTCGGGGAATCTGGACATGGATTATCTGCACTTCAAGGAGTTCGGGAAGGGATTCATCAAATCGCACAAGCTCAGTCCGGACAGTTTCATCCAGATCGCTCTGCAGTACACTTTCCTGCGACTGCACGGCGTTCCGGGGGCGCATTATGAGTCCGCCCACACGCGTCTCTTCGTCCACGGACGCACGGAGACCATCAGATCGTGCTCCAATGATTCAGTGGCGTTCGCCAGAGCCATGATGCAGAGCGGAAGCAATGAGAAGCGCGTGGAGAAGCTCTTGGCGGCCATCAAGGCGCACAAGGACTACACAATGCTGGCGATGCAGGGCAAGGGTGTGGATCGACACTTGCTGGGCCTGAAACTCACCGCACAGGAGAACAATCTGAAGGTTCCGGAGCTCTTCAGCGATGCTGGGTACTTGAAAAGCTCCCACATGAGACTCTCCACGAGTCAAGTGGCGTCAAAGTACGAGGCTTACATGTGTTATGGTCCACTTGTGGACAACGGCTACGGATGCTGCTACAATCCGCGCGAGGATGACATGTTGTTCGGCATCTCGGCCTTCCACTCCTGCCCAGAGACGTCTTCGCAGAAGTTCAGCGTGACTCTGAAGGAGTCCCTGATGGACATGTTCAAGATTCTCTCTGACACTGGCCGAGGAATCAAGAGCAAACTGTAGATCAGCGCCACAATCAGTTGTTTCTCAACTTCTCTACGGCAATATTTGGATGATATTCTTTATCGTGAGGAAAGACTATATAGATATTTTGTAAAGACTTTATTGCATGTCAGGTGACGGTCAATATATAGACGATTTTTCAAGCAAGAGGAAATCTCACGTTGCCAATATTGGTGTGGAAGACGCGATTGAACTCCTTCTTCATCGACGGAACCCATTCTCCGCCTCCTTCTGCAAGGATTCTGTCCACGACTGCGGACAATTCCTTCTGCTTCTCGCGCGCCTTGAAGACGTCGCCCTTCTTGACTGCGTTGTAGATCTCAATGGCGAGTTCTGGACAGACGTTGAGGATCGTCATGATGCTGGAGTCGAATCCTTGAGCCAGAGCGCCGCACAGGATGGAATCTGCTCCCAGGAAAATGAAGCGATTCTCCGCCAGGCAAGCTGATCCCAAAGCCAAGTCGCCAGAAGTGTATTTAATCCCCACGAAAGTGTCGATTTCCTTCTCGGCCAGGCCCAGAAACTTCGGCATGGAAACTAAGGGAGAAAGAGAATGATTTGAGGACTAATCATCCCTGAAGGAGTCTCTGGAAGTGCTTACGATTGACTCCTGTGTTGACTGGAATGTGGTAGTAGAGGAGCGGAGTCTTGGGACAGTGCGTGGCCACTTTGGCCAGGTACTTCACCAGATCAGGCTCCGTCTTGGGCTTGAAGTACAGCTCCGGGAGACAAAGGACAGCGTCAACGCCCAGCTGATCAGCATGCTTGGCCAATTCTGCCACGTCCACAAAAGGCACTCCGCCGATTTGCAGCATCAGCGTCATTCCGTGCTTCCGGCAAGCCTTCTGCCACTCCTCAGCGGTTGTCTTGCGTTCAGACACGCTCATGGACATTCCCTCGCCAGTGGTTCCGTTGACCAGCACCGCCTGGATTCCTCTCTCTTTCAGCCACTTGGCGTAGGGATCAATCAGCTCGCAATTAACGCTCTGGACACTGAGATGAAAAGCAGGTTTGAGAGGAATTCTTATCGTGAGATAACTCAGATAACAATCTCAGAATAATTTATTGAAGATGAGCATGATTGGAATGATTGGAATGCATTTTGTGGAGGGAAATCTTACGGATCATTCTTGAATGCTGTGAAGACTGGAGCCATGAGGCCACGGAACTTGAAGGAATTGCGGACCAAACTCATTTTCACACTATTTCCACGGTATTTCCAGAAGAAATTGCAAATATGAAGAGGATTGTAGAAAGTTGACTCTTTATCAGTGACAAGACGACACCGCGACTGAAGATACGAAGTTGAGAGAATGTGAACAAGTCTGAGTTGTTTTGATGCTTGAATACTGATAAAAAGCGAATGTGAGAAGAAGAAAATAAATATTTATTTTGAGGAAAATCATGCAGAGGGGAAGTAACGGACAAAATGTTTCAAAATCGAGAAATCTGCAGATTTTTTCACCAAAACATCAACACAACCTCACATTTTGAGGGTCGTGAATTTTACGCAATTCGGGATGAGAATTTCCTTGGATTTCCACCCTGAAATCTTGTGATTTTAATGAAATACCAAAGTCACTCCTTTCGTCGGTGGCTGGACTACTGGCCTGGTAAGAAATTGCTGGGAATCTATCGATTTTTGCCGGCATTCTTCATCTTGGGAGCCGCTCTGGAATTCTCGATGATCAACTGGACGGTCGGCGAGACGAATTTCTGTGAGTTTTCCTGGACAATTTGGTCTCTGGGGAGTAGCTTTATGACTCTTGCTTGTTCTCCACCTGCCAGACAACACTTACAAGAGGCGCCAGGCGAAGAACATCCTCGAGGAGAGACTGCACGCTGAGGAATCCGAGAAGTCCGGGCAGTGAAAAATGCCCGCCGGCGTTTCCTGGGGTCAGTACATAAGATTCTTCGTGGCTGCCATGCTCTCCATGGCCGCCGGTTCCCAGGCTGTCCACATGTACTACAAACCCCTGAAGGATCTGGACGTGTACATCAGCCGGGAACTCGAGCAGGAAAAGAGTTTGAAGAGTGACAAACAAAGTTGAGAATTATTGGAAAATAATTTGCCGGAAATTCACAGGAAGATATTTTAGTCTATTGAGAAAAGCGTGATTTTCCAAAGCATGCCAATAAAGAAATTGGAAAATCTGGCTTTCTATCAAATTCATTCTGTGAATTCAGGCAATTTTTACAAAATCATAGAGTGAAAAATTCAACTATATATGCAATGTACATAGCGACATAGAAATCATTTAGGAAAATAAAGAACAACGGAAGAAAACTACGACATTTTCTAAGATCTGTGAGGAAGTGGGAAAAACAGCACAATCCTTCAATCGTCCTGTGAGATTGCTTTTTTTCTTTCCTCACCACAAACTAACTACGGAAAAACAACCAAACAAAATATATAAAACAACAGATAAAACTAAAGAACTATTAACAAAAGGCGCATTTCGCAGCTGATCTCGGCATCAAAGATCTTTGTGTCTTTTTTGTGGTCTTTTACAATTTCAGTAGCACACCAAAAAAATGCAAAAATGTGTAGAAATTTAACTAGAAAACATGTATTACAAAAGATTTTTTTTTATATATCACATTACGTATACAATTCTGTATCTAATTTTACCTACACAATTTCATCATTATCAATATAATACAAATTAATTTACTGGTTTTCTTGCATATCAGTTTTAAGTAGTTTATTTTTCTTCATTGTTTTCAATTGTGTAAAAACCTATTTTTTTCTTCAAGAGACGCATACACAATAATGTTCAAACTCATTGCTGTTAATTAATCCTTCTTTATTTAATAACATTTCTTGGGTTCACTAACGTTTACAATGTTTCATGATCAGTTTTTTTTTTAATGCATTTTTCCTCTGTTTTTCTTTTCATCTATTTTTCTCGTCATTTTTTTTATCTTCTTCTTCTTTTAATTGTATAAATGCTGGCAGCCTATTAATTTTAAAAATCACGTTGTTCAATTGATAAAATTTCCGGAGATTAGAAAAATTGTGAATTGCTTTGAGTCACTTTTTTGGGGGGAAAAAACATCACGATCTTGCGTCTTTCTCGTGATTTCCCGGCAAAAACCTCTCCAAATTCATCTCCACCATTTCCCTGTCCCAGAGACTGCTTTGCGTGATTTCAAAATATCAAGAGTGTCCAGTAGACAAAGTCCTTCAAATCCGCGCATTTCTCACATCCTCTTCTCACACACACATTTCCAAAAAGGAGAACAAAAAAGAAAAGAAAAAAAAAACATAAAGGAAAGTCGTGTGAATACATCTAATATGTAAAACAACTACAATTAATTCATTATTTACAGGCTCTTCTCATCGTGATTTCTCTTCGTTTTTTTTTATATACTTTTTATGCTAAATAAAAATTACTTTATCACTAAAATTAATCGCAAAAATTATGATAAAAATTGCTAGCAACAGAATTCCATTGTACTACAATTATTTTATTTATCGCAAAATATTTACAAAAGGAAATCAAAAAGTGGGGATTCTTTCTCTCTCTCTCTCTCAAAATGAAACATTTTGCGGGGACACACAGAACTTTCATCGTCTCTTCTCTCGCCTCTTCACTTTACACGGCGCTGTTTCACATGCTGGTAAACCTCCTTCCGCCTCTCCTTTCTCCTCCTCCTCTTCCTCCTCCTCTCCTCGTCGTCGAAATTTACAATTTTCTCATTAAAATAAATAAGTGCCGCCTTGTCCATTCACATGCGTCAATCTGAATCACTTATAGCCTTTTTTCGCCTCTTCGCTGCTTTTGGCTTCGACCACTCGTCCTGCAAAGCGCACAAGAAGGAATGTTATTTCGTCACTTCACAAGAACAAGCACCTTTCTGGCCTGTTCAACTCTATGAATCACTCCTCTTACAAATCCTATTAACTAGAGAGAAATCATTCCGATAACACTTATCAGAATTGAAATATGAAGAAGATGTAAAATTGTAGTGTTAAGAGAAACATTTCCACTCAATTCTAATCATTTTTTGGAAATACAGTAGCAATTTTGACTAGAAAACTACTCTTTCATATGAGTCAAGCATAAAATGCAGTTCAGTCAAAACTAAGCACAAATATTTGGAGCAATTCTCAGGGACACAATTCTCCGTGTTATTTGCTAATCTGACCAACATGTGTTAAACCATTTTGTATCGCCTGAATGTGTAATTTTAACACGACCTCCAGAGGTTGTTTTAAAGAATGTGGAAAGTGTAAAGAGCAAATGAGATCGGAAGGTGCAGAATAACTTGCAAAGATGAATAAATCTGCAATTGTGGCTCTAATATTCAAGCATGAACATGAATTATGTTTGCAATGTATGTCGAATTTCCTATACCAGCCGGCAAAACACCAAGTCCTGCCTAATTGATATCCCTGGAGATATTGTGGCAGGAATGCCACTGTCATGGCGACCTTCTCCTCCTGACGAGAATCTCGCTCTTAGCATTATTTGACGGTAGAGGCAGCACGAGTCAGTCAGTCGATCGTGTGTTGCCGGCAAGAACATATAGCCAACCTTCTATAGTATTTGAAACTTCAACAGTAAATTCTTTTTATCACGAATTTCCTAGTTATGAACTTGAATATTAATAATTTTGATAAATTTCACCATTTTTCCTCTCTTACACATTGTGGAATCGTTTAAAACTCAAAGACATTGTTTTAGCGAGAATAACACGAGCTGTTTTTACATGTTTGAAGTATATAACATGTCTGTGTGTGACTCAGAATTGCTCCAATTATTGGTTACTATAACAATTACAATAATAATAGAATTTTACTAACTTATACTAATAAGATATTGATGCAAAGTTGAATTTGTGTGATAGTTGGAAAATTCCAATTGCATTAAGTTTCAAGTTTGTGACCTAATTCTTCTTCATTCTGTTATAAAAACCATTTGGTCTATCGGATATTGAACAGCATTGAGAGTTCCCAAGAATTCAATATTACTTTGCCACAAACACAAGAACAAATTTCCACAATCTCTCTCTATCTCTCAATGCACTTCTTCATTATTAAGTGAAGCTCAAATTTCGCAGAAACCGCACTGCATCTTTGCAAAAACAACCACAATAAAATCATTAATCACATCAGATGTGTAAAACACACTCTTGAAGGATGAAAATGCCGTAAATCCACACTGGGAAAGCAGTGCCAATTTTTCCTCTCAACATGCGCCACACAAATCTCAACTACCATTGAACTCACCTCACTCGACTCCTCATCACTTGAGATAAAACTAGACAGAGGTTCAATATTCTTCTTGCTGGATGCATTTGATGTGCTGCTGGACTCCTTTTTGCTCGGTGGCTGCTTCCTTCCCCGCCCACTTGCGCCCCTCCGACCCACACCGCTCGTCTCATCCTCCGCCGCCAATGCGAATAAATCACAGTATTGTTTCTATCGGATGGAAGTCATTATGCAAATTAATCAATCTCTTCCATTGAGGAGAGCGCGCGCGAAAGATGTGGTAAATCACCTTTGTGCTGTCACTACTGTGGGAGAACGCCTGCTGCAGAGCACGTTGCATCGCATCCTGCACGTACATGCCCGTTCCTGTGCCATTTCCATGTCTGCAGCTCCGCCGAAAGTGTTCTAAATGACTGAGAAGCTGCGGAAGAGGCAAATAAAGTAAGTCATCAACAAGGGGAAAATAAGCGCATTTTCAGTCAATATTTTACTGACCAAACAACAAAAATACTGACAAAATGTGTCTTTTGAAAACTGACCAAAATGAGTTTTTTTTACTGACTAAACAGCAATTTTACGGAGAAAATATCGACGCGTGAATCGAAAAACTATGAAGTCAATTTTTCATAGTTTACGTTTTCTATATTTTTGGAAAGCTTTTGATCTGTTCTACAACTGAAAAAATTTTGAGATTTGTTTCTTATCTGAACAGAAAAGAAAAATTAACTTATCTAAAAATACGACTGGATATAAATTTATATGTATTTTTATAGTTAACGACGTAGTTTTTTTTAAGAAAATTGTTCCAAAACATAGAATTTTCCTAAAACATTCTCAGATTTTAAATGAATATATTTTTTTCTCTTGAAAACTTTGAAGATTATTTAGAAGTTATTTGGATAAAATGTGCTCGAAAATGATTAAAAATCGACTGTGGAAACTAATATTTTCACTTAATCTTTTAATTTTGTCATATTTTAGTAAAGAAATTTCAATAAAATCAAGAGAAAAATTCAGAAAATAATTTTTAGATGATATTTTGAGGATTTTGAGGTAAATTCGGCAAATTTTAAAGCGATTTTAACATTAAATTTTCAACACTCTTTCTGACTTTCCATAGTTTTCTGTTAACTCGTTGATTTATTTTTCAGTAACTGAGAAATTGAATGATTAACTGAGCAAATTAATTATTTTACTGACCAAAGGATTGAGATTTCCTTTTAGAAACAATAGAAAATCGACATCTTCGTGTCATTCACCCCTTGGAACATGAAGAACCCTTTTGTCCACACATGAAACACCCCGAGAAAACTCCCCCAAATGCTACAAGAGAGTGTCTCTTACCTGCTCAGATGTTGGTGATGTTGTTTGCACTGAATTGTTCTTCAGCGGACGTTTCCGTTTATTTGGTGAACTGTTCGGGTACTTTGATGTCAAGAGACCAGCAATAATTTCCGACAATTTCTCCTCAAACTCCTGACACCAGTACCTGTGAGTGCATCCGAGAAGACAGGGAGGAAAACGCCCCCCAAAAAAGAGGTTATTTATCAAGTACCACAGAATCTCTCCCCCTCTGTTTTCACACCATCCACAAGGAGGAGCGACATAAAACTATCGAACGCCGAGAGCGAGAGAAAGATGTTTACAAGATATAAAAGAAGCACACATACCTTAAAGCTGACGTGACAAATGGATCGCCACGATTTTTAGTCTCTCTACTCAACAGCAATCGCACGAGCTCCGCATTGGGCTTCTCACTCTTCAGCAGCATCAGCATGTACGTCAGAGCCTCGGCGTGATTCGATGACTCCAGCTCTGGCAGAATGTCCTGCAGAAATTCATTGGGAAGCAATATAATCACACACACATTCCGTGTTAAATTGCCTGTGGCATCGCATTTCAATGAATTCCCTATTATTTACTATTGTCATACAAGACACTTTTGTACACTCGTCAAGAGTATTTCAAGAACCCCACAAACATATATTTGCTTTGGATCTGCGCTATTTTGCAACAGCACCACATCGCAACGTCACAATCACTAGCAAAAAGCTCCTCTGGACAAGTGCCAAGTGCTCATAATTTTCCATCCACGAACTGCTAATCATATCGTGTTAAATTGCCTTCAATTGTTGATTGATTTACGAGCAAATATTTACCAATCCTCTGTAAACAATTTTTATTTACAAAAAAATATTCCAATTATACCTTCGTCAAGGCGAAAAAATTCTCCACAATTTTCTCTCCTCTTCCCATTCTCACCCTTTCTTCCTGTTGCTGAACTTTGTGCTAAATTAATTAAGGATGGCAACATTTCTGTGTTTCACTCAAGATGCTCTATGTATATTAGGGAATAATAGTGTCTTTCGCAAACCCTTACGATGAGGGCAAAGAAGGGGAGGAAAAAAAAACTAGGACAAACTGTGTTGGGGGTAAAAGTTTGAGGGAAGTTGTGAGAATATATTGTATAACATCAAGAAGGCAAATTCCTTGGGGGAATCTTCTCCATTTCTCTCTCCCACCCTTTGTCCCTCTTCTCAGGGTGGATATATTTAATTGTCTGCACAGACTTTGACTCTGTCTCTTTAATGCACACTCACCTGGAGAAATTCAATGGGAACGTCGTGAGCCTGCAGCAATTGCCACAGACAGAATTGCTCAAATGTCTCATAACTGAGACTGTCACGCACGCAGTCAATCACGCCATCATTCTTGAATATCACCAACTTTCCCTGCGTCACACAGTAAATAAGATCTCTCAGATTCTTCGCGTCAATACTTCCCACCAGCGTTCTCAGCACATCACAATTGTTTATCATGCTACTCTTGAACTCCCTATAAATGTCCGGCAGCAGCCAGAGGAAGAAGTGTGGACTCTCCCTCTCCATCTGCGTCAAATCCCTCGCCAGACATCCCTCAACACTCTGGCCCACGGAATCACACACATTTCTGTACACATTCGTCTTGAACACCACATTTGGATTCTTTCGCGACTGCAGCTTCGTGTGCACTTTCAAGAAGTAGAGAATGAGAAAACCCGCACTCGGTATTCGATTGTACACGGCCACCAATAGATTCGTTATGCACTTCCGACACTTCTCCTCGTGCTGATAGAATATCTTGCACAGCGCAAAGATCGCGTGCTCTATGCTCTCCGCCAGCTTCTCATCGTGCTTCGAGTCGGGAAAGACATTTGGCTTCGGCAGCGTACTCTTCAGGATATTCACCACATTGTTCGCCACATAAGTCTCCTGTTCCCCATCCAGAGATGAACACGATCGAAAGTCCAGCAGGAAACTCTCAAAGTCATCATACGATTTTGACGACATGAAAGTGTCAAATGAACTCGCAATTGATGATGGAAGGTCAACTTTATCCGGTGCTGGTTTCTCTTTTAAGCGCACCTGCAAAGAATGCAAAATAAAAACACATTGAGTAAATATTTCAATGCACAAATTGACTAAAATATCGATTAATTTGCGGCTAAAGCCGCTTACGCTAATATTCTATGTTCAAGAAATGTTAGAAAGACATTAGTTTGCTGTTTAATTTGGTCTCTAAATTGATACAAATTAGTGAAATAGATTTATTTACAGCTTAAACAGCAGCATTTGTGCTCTCAAATGCATTTTGGCACGTTTTTACGCTGTTATTTTACGTGAAAAGTCATCTAAACAACAATTTTTATCAGAATATTGATAAAAGTTTGATAAAAGTCGTCTCTTAAATCGCATTTTCTCACTAATTGCAATCTCAGTCGTGATTTTGCGTGCATCGATTTCGTGCTAAACGGGCTTATCAACGCTGCTCAACTCACCTTTGATAGTGGCAAATCGTCATCGTCATCGGTCAAGTCCTCCGTCTTCACGCCAGCCGCGTCCTCGTCGTCGTCACTGAACTCCACCTCATTTTCACCGGCATCGCCGTCATTCTGCTCATTGGCGGTCGTCGTGGCGTTTGTCACGGTCTGCGGATGCGGCCTCAGCTCGCCCGGCTGCCGATTGAATACTTTGTCGTCACTGTTGAAGTTGTTGTGCACACCCGGCGCGCCGAGGCGCTCGTCCATGATATAGAGATTTGTACGGTCATCACTAGCCATCTGATTGGCATCAACTGGATTTGGTCCGCTGCAGAACTCACGAAAGTTCTCCCTAATCATCTGCTTCAGCTCACGATCCAACTTGGGCGACTCAAACAGTGGATACAGATTCGGTATCACCTGCTTCTCCAGGATCTTCCGCAGCGAATTGTACACACCCATGCGAATCTTATCCTCACTCTTGGGATAGAAGTTCTTCATGATGCGACAGAGGAAGTCCAGCAGTGTGCTGCTCACCAGCGGATGATTCCGTATGGAATGATACATCACCAGAATGCCCGGCTCAACATTCATGATGTTGTCCTTCATGGGATCGAAGAAGAGCCAGTCGTAGAACAGCGCCAGCTTGGCATTCGCCAGCGCCGTTGGATTTGTGCACGACGTCAGCAGCCAGCCGATGATGGCCCAGCGCGGAATTATGTCTGAGCAGAGCATATCGTTGGTCGGGTGGATTGCATTTATGATGAACCTTATCAAGTCCGACCGCAAGCTGTGAGATTCTGGCGTGGTGAAGTATTTATCTTGAAACCAGTCTTGGTATCTGCAAAACAGACAACAAAACATCACAATTACGACACTCAGAGCAGAATGGGACGTAAAACAGGGATTTTTCAACTACTTTTCGGCATTAAATCAAGCATTTCGGAGCTTTATTAGTAAGAAAACATAGAATTTCAGACTAAAATCAAGTTTGAAAAGGACATTTTTGAGGTTTTCTGCGCAGAAAAAGCTCCCAAAGTCTTGAATCTCTTGAATTCTTGCCAAAGTTTATCAATTTTCCATTTTTCTCAGTGTATCAATAAAACGTGTCACGCTTTTTCGGCAACAAACACCGCACAAACAACACAAACGCATTGAATAAACACACAGCTTCACCCTCTCGAGTGGCAAAATGCATCTTATCGCCATCATCCGCAACTCAATTGGATGCCAACAATGGAGTCTTTAATCTTATCGGTCACGCATTAGCAGATTTATTCCCCTTCGCAGTGTGATAATGGGACAATTAAAAAGAGGGGTAATTGAACGACATGCCCTAAAAGTGAGATTTCTCCCCGAGATTCGACTCTCATTTGCAGCGATAAGAAGACGGCCTTTTCGCAAAGCCGGGCGTTTGCATACTAAATAAGTCAAACCCGGCAAAAAAGAGACAAGAAAACGTCAAACACCGTAAAAAGCTCTCAACTCTCGACAAGTAATGCGCTATCTCACGACCCATATTCAATCATTCTCAGGTTTTCTCTGTAAAGTTTAACTGTTGCAATTCAGCAGTGATTTAGATTGGCTCACGCAAGTAGATAAGATTACAAGACTAATTAATTTGTATGTAATTTTGCAGAGAGAGAGAGAGAGAGAGAGAGACAAATCATTGCCATCTTGCAATAAAGTCACAATGTCCTTAAATTGAAAGTAATTTGCTGAATGCGATAAGGACTGTTTTCGGTTTATCACCCGTAAATTGTGCTTGGCTTTATTGCTTTCTGATAACGTCACACGTCACAAATTTATAGTTGAGGAATTGTTGGTGTAAAGACACCCCAAAATGTCCTCAACATTAAGACAGGATTAATTGAAGGGTTGAATTTGCATTGACAGATGGAAAACAGGAGATTTCTGACTCACCTTTTGTGATTCCCAAACTTGACGCTGCTGGTGAGGAAGTGCAGCTTGCGCTCGATTTCCGGCGTGAGGCGCGACTGCAGGAAGCGCCGGCTGGTGCGCGTCTGCAGGATCTGCCAGACGCCCGTGAAGGAGGCGCACAGCGACTTTGGATTGAGAAAGATGTCCTTCCACAGTTGATCGAACTCCGGGATGCGCGCCACATTCTGCAGCAGCCGCACAAAGTCCCGCCCGAGCGGGATGACGTCCGCGAAGCGGTCTCGGATCAGCGACACCACGAACTTCACCTCCTTGGAGCGCAGCGCGTTGAGATGTGGGCTGGTGTGGTCCTCGATGAGGCGCACGTAGGTGTACACGACGGTGCCGACGAGGAAGGGCGTCTTCTCCAGCCACTGGCGGTGGTCGATGAAGATGTCCAGCAGCCCCTCGACGAGCAGCAGATTGCGCGGCGAGACGTCGCCGCCGCTCGCCTGGCGCAGCATGTTCCAGATGATCTGGTCCACGTTCAGCACGGCGTTCTTCACGAACTCGCGCACCAGCCACAGCAGCTGCTTGCGCGCCGTGTCCGTCATCTTGGGATACTTGTCCGCCACCAGCATGGAGACGTTGGTCGTGGCGAAGGCCAGGCCGTCGCGGGAGAGCAGCGTGAGGTCGCGGTACGTCTTGGCGGCCTGCGGCGGCTCCGTGAGGATGGTGTAGATCATGCCCAGCGACACGTCCTCGTGCTGCTTGTCCTTGCTCATGGCGGTGGCCAGAAGGTCGTGCAGCTCCTTGTCGCTCAGTCCTGCGGTCATGGGCACGAAGTTCTGGTGAGCCCTCTCGAAGCGCTGCAAGCGGGAAAAAAACGCCAGTTAGACACGCTCTCGCGGCGTCCGGGAGTCCCCGTGGGGGAATTTAAAAGGCCGGGGACATTGACAACAGAGCGCGTTGTCAAAAGGCAAACACACACAGTGAAAAAAGAATAACATAAAAAACAAAAATGGCTACTGCGAGATTAGGGCCACACCACAGATTTCACGCCCACTTTTCACTGCCTACCTCCTCGAAATCGTCCCGCAGATCGACCGCAGACAGTGCGAATAGCTTTGATGACTGTGTTTTACACGTTTCCATTTTGATTTACTTAATTCTTGAGGCGATTTTCTGCGTCCACATACGGAGAGGACAGCATATCGACGAAAAAGTCGTCACGATCAGTGATGCCAGCGCACCTGGCGACATTTGCTCCACATTCTCCCGCCAGAAGTCTGCAGATGCGACACTTCTGCAGACTAAAAACGTCGCTCCCAGCGAGTCCATAGGAAAAGCGTCAAGCAAGTGGAAACAGCGAGGAATTGTCCATGGAAACATCCTTCTGTACCTTTTCCTGCATGTTTTATTGAATTCCCTTTTAAATGCCCTCGATAGTCGTCATCTAAGACACTGCCTAATGACTCAGATGCCTTATCCTGGAGGCCAGGTGAGCTGACGTCCGCCCAAGACGTGCAAATGCAGATGATAGACGCTCTGGCATCCCTCAGCGCCGTTGTTCACCACCAGACGGAAGCCATTCGGAGCCCTATTCTTGCCCAGAGTCCCTGCAACCTGCATCAAGTGGCCCAGGATCTGAAATCAAAGCCACAATCAGCCAAAGAAGCCGTGAATGTCGAGACAAACTCTCACATCTTTATCAGACTCTTGAGCATTCTCCAGCATGGCGATCCGGCGCTTGGGAATCACGAGGAAATGCACGGGCGCTTGAGGAGCGATATCATTGAAGGCCAGGCACTGATCATCTTCGAAAATCACATCAGCCGGAATCTCCTTGCTGATGATTTTATCAAATATCGTGGGCTGAAAGAGAGAGACAGAATTCAGAGTGGAAAGTTCATACGAAAGTCCTTTGGACGGATTGCTTGCACTTCTCGGGAATTCCCGGGAAGTGGGGCTCAATTACCTGTCCCGATGCTCCGGCGGCAGCAGCATCGCGAGCCTTCTGCGCCTCGTCGCTGAAAGAGCGAGAAAACAGTGTGGTTTTACTTGCTGTAGCGCTTCTAAGGAAAGCTGGCTTGCTGATTGTGCGGAAAGTGTGCAAAATCGACATGATTTTCACGATAAAATAATATATTATTACTTTGACATGATGTTTCTCCGGTCGGCCGACAAGCGAGACTGCCTCAATGGTGGCCAGAGGGCACTGCGCGCCACGAAAGAGGTGTGAAATCTACAGGGAGAAATTCAAACGATGAAGAAGTCAACGAACATTTTTCTTCTTTTGAGCACTTTTTTATTAATTACATTATCATTCCTTATCCAAAACTATTAATGGTAAATAAAATATTTTACTGTTGAATTTAACGTAGGATTTTCATCAATCAGGTTAAAATTTTTTGCAACACTTTGTCTGATAAAAGAAAGCATTTGAGTTATTGTTATGATTTTTTTTTGTTTCTTAGTCTGAGATTCCGAAATGGAAGTATTAAAAATGCTTCTGTCATTCTTTCGTTTTAGCAAGCCTTAAAATAAATCTTAAAACTATACAATCTATACAGAATTCTAATCGCCATCACAAGTAAAATAGTGCAGTATCATGAATAAATTCATACCACAATGATTATTTCTCATTTGAATCTTAAATGGTTAGAGAAGCAAATTTCAAACATAAAAAAAAGAACGATGAACTTTTTCTGCTTACAAAGAATAAAAATACAGCATAAAAGCAAGAATAATAAAAGTAATTTCGTATCTGTTTTCTTGTCATATTCCAGAAAGATTTCACAATTCATAATATTTAGAAATTTCCTCTTTCCAATTAAACTTCTACAAAAGTGTGTAAATTTGAGAAGCAAACTTAAGAAATATATTGAATGATTTACAGAAAAAAGGAGATTTTTGGCCCATAAATTCACTGATAGCCAAATTTTAGACAGAATTTCTTCTTTTTCTTCACCCTTCCCAAAAGCACACATTCTTGGCCATTTCATGATTTCTCTTCCATGCTCAGTAACAATAATTTTCATCAATGATTGATGATTCAAATTGTCTCCCAGTCAAAAATAAATCCAAAAACGCTGTTTCTTCAATGCCTTAAAAAGTTAAATATGTAAAGACAGAGAGAGAGAGCACTTAAATTGGCTCCTCCTGTAGCTCTAGAAATCGATAATATTCTTATTCCTGTCGCGAAAATTTCGGGCACTTTTCCTCACAGACGAAATCCTCTTATTTTTCGAGTAAGACCGCAATTGTCTATCACATTTGAATGGTGAAGCATTACTCTTCATCCTCTTTGAAACTGGAAGAACGGAAATTGTGTCTGAAAAGAAAACAGAGAATGTTTTATAATTGATGTTAAATTGTAGGAGGAAAAATTACTCACTTGGCGTCTTGGACATTTCGTAGGACTTGAGAATCCTCTTGGTCTCCTTCAATTCCTTCATCAGCAGCTCATTCTTTTGCCTCTCCATCGACAATTCCATCGAGAGTTGCGCCTTCGACTTTGTGTCCGTCAAGCAAAGAAGCCTTAAAGCAAAAGAACATGAATTAGATTTATTTGTTCATTAATAAACCTGCAATTAAGCGATGAAACTCACGGATGATTGAAGATGGAGTTGGGCGATGGTCGCTGCTTTGGGTCCGGATGCGTCATGAGCTTGATCAGGTTGTTGAACTCACTGCTGAGGCCTGGCAATTCTGGGATGTTTCCGTCGCGCAGCCGATGCCATTCGGGGCCATTCTTGGGCAGCGGACCGCCACCGCCCGCCTCGTACAGCGTGATGCCCAGCGAAAAGATGTCCGCCTTGGGCAGCTGCGTGAAGTCATCGAGCAGAATCTCAGCCGGCAGATATCGACAGTCGCCCTCCTCCACTTGCGGATCCATCACGGACGTCACGTGGCCCAGATCACCAATCTTGTACGTTATCACATCGCGCTCCGTCTCGTCGATGATGTCCTCGAAGCCATCGTCGGGATTCTCGACTGCCGTGAGTCTGCAGAAGAGAGATAATTTGAGTGGTGAAAATGTGCCACTAAATTCCCTAAAAAGTGATCCACAAAACCATACCTTTGAGGCGCTTTCGTCAGGAAGATATTTCCTGCTTTGAGGTCCATGTGAACCAGATCGCTGGAGTGAATGTATCTGCAGAAGAAGAGAGGATTTATTGAGCATATTTAGAGAACAAAAGCACTAAAGAGCGAGAACAAATGTGTTGATTTGCCTGCAAACTCTTGGCTTGTGTCTACCTGAGTGTCTCATAAACTGAACTATTCGGGCTATTCAGGCCAATAAATTGGGAATTAGACTCAAAAATGTCTTTTCAGAGCACTCATTCCAACTCTTCTCTAACATCAATCTCACCTCAATCCCTCTGTTATGTGAATTAGAAGTATTCGCAGCTCGGATTCATTGAGATGCCTCGTTTGCAGGAGCGACTGAAGACTTCCTCCGTTGCAGTACTCGTTCTGGATGAGCATGTGGTTATTTTCAGCCCACGCTGAATAATATCGCACCACGTTGTCGTGTTTCCCCAGCACAGCATGGGCCCAGACTTCATTCAGTGCGATTCGCCTGCAATTCAATGTCAAATTAGGGAGATTCTCACCCACAATCTCAGCTTTGTTAACTCACTCGCTGACACTGCCTTCGATGGGCTTCTTGCTCTTCTTGATCGCATAGATGCAGCCATCGAGTCTGTTGAGGCACTTGAAGACGTGGCCGAACTCGCCGGCGCCGATCAGCGACAGCTGCACGAATTCCCTCTCGTAGCGACTGATGTTGGTGTCCTGCAGGGCGAGACGCTTCGGCGCCTGCCTCATCTCGTAGCTGTCGTCGTCGGAGAAGCGCCCGCCGTCGCAGCCCAGTCGCGGCGGCAGCGAGTGGTTGTGATTCTCCGACAGCTCGAAGCGCGTCCGCTTCTTCGTCTTCATCAGCATGCCGTCCGGCGTGAAGGGATTGATGTTGGCGCTGGGGCGCTTCTGGTCGAAGCTGAGATTGTGCAGGTGCAGCGGCATCACGCGTGGCCTCACGCGATCGAGCTGCAGAGGCGTGGAGGAGGAATGGTAATCAATGGGGCGCGCCAGGACGTCCATGAAGTCCGCTTCGCCTCGCGATCTGTCCGGATCCTTGGCGGCGTTCCGCGCCTCGCTCACCGACAGCTTCTTCAGGATGGTCTTGGGCGTCGCTGGCGTGTCGAAGAGCCTGGAGAGAAAAAGGGTGTGAAAACCTTCCTGATAAGCCTGACCATTTAAATCCTCCAAGACAGTTTTAAAGGTCTGCGCTTAATGACCTTTCGGCCTCTCTCTCGGACGGCAATTTTCTACCTCTCAGCGTACTTTGCCGATTGTTTATGTTATGCGCTATCTCTAAAATTTAAAGAGCCCCACAAAAATACCTCCGAGACTCACGAAGTGCCATTTAAAGAACACCAACTGAACATTTTTTTTCCCCTCGAATTGATGCAAAACAAAACTTCAGCACGCTGCGATCAATACAAACCTCAGAGCTCGCACTTTGCGATACGGCGGCGACATGGAGACGTCCTTCTTGGGACTGAGGATGAGGTTGGACTGCGAAATGTTATTCCCCGACTCCGGGGAGCTGCCGAAGAAGAGCTTGCGGGGATGCGGCATTCGGTCCGGAGTCAAGTCTGCACTGGAATTCATGTCCGGCGACGTATCAACTCCGCTGCTCTCTGTGCAAATTTCCATCGCTTCTCAGGGGAAATTCACGCTTTCCTCCACTGTCAGCACTATGACACCATAAAGACTGCGTCCCCCACAATCACTCCCGGTCACTTTTCACTCTTTTCACGCAATTATTGGGGAATCTCAGGGAAATTGCTGTTGCGTCTCTCAGACGTGGTCAGAGGCAAGCATAAACAAAAAGTCTCAAAATTCACTCTTTCACGCACAATTCATGCAAATTTCACCGTAAGTCCATCGACAGTGCACTCAGAAAGACTCTTAGATTGCTTTCAGGCAGTTTCAAGTGCAATTACACGAAGAATAAGCAGTTGATTCACAGAAAAACTACACACGAAAGCCACAAAGTCCAAGTGACGCTTTTCTTTTTCGCTTCGGTGTCAGTCTTCAAGGTTGCCAACTGTCGACTGAGCAAATTGAGCAACTGGAATAGAATTCACGCCGAGAGTAGATTTTATCGCATTTCGCATCATTTTATCCATGAATTTCGTTCTTTATGCGTGTAATTTGAGGAATTGATTGTGAAATACTTTCTAATTGCTGTATTTAAGGCTCTGGAGGTGTGTATATCGCGTGTTATACAAGTGTATAACACGCCTTCGCCGAACGACGCCGGCGTTCGCCACATTCATATTGTGGCCGTTTGAGGGCGAACTGACGTTTGATTTGTTGTTTTGGTTTTGCTTAGTCAAAATTCTTCAAAATCTCACCAAATCCATGAAATAAGATGTCTAAAACATCCTCAGGGGTATGATAGACGTTCTCTAGAAGTTCTTCGTTCATGATAATCCTATTTTAGGCAATAACTTTGGCTCTGAGAGATATTCAATCCGGTCGGAATGTCAGTGAAGGGGTGAAAAAGACCTCCAGGATCTCTAGGAAGAGATCTTCCTGTGATGGCGAGGAATCAGTAGATGTGTCGGCGCCTAAGAAGTCTCTCTCGGAGGATTGGTTGAAGATCTTCGCTCCCAAGAAGGTGGAAGAACTCGCGGTTCATCCGAACAAGATTCAAGACGTGAAACAGTGGCTGGAGAGTTATGAGAAGAACGCCGTTCGGAAGCGGAATCCCATCGTTTTGCTGACCGGGCCGGCGGGATGCGGCAAGACGGCGACTGTGAAGTGTCTGGCGGAGGAGAAGGTCTACGAATTGTGCGAATGGGTGACGCCAGTGGATTCTTGCAAGCAATTCCGGAACGCAGACGACGAGGGAATGCAGATTGAGGAGTCACAGGCTGAGAAGTTCAGGGAGTTCCTCTTCAAAGCGTCCCGGTACAAGTCTCTGTTCGCGAAGACCAACAAGAGGATGCTTTTGGTGGAGGATTTCCCGAATTACATCCTGAGAGATCATCAGATGTTCACAGATCTTCTCAAGTATGAAATTTTAGCATCAGTTTGAGGATGAAAATCTGTGATTTGTTTCATTTTCCAGGTCATGGGAAATTTATGGAAGGTGTCCGCTTGTCTTTGTGGTCACAGAGACTAAAAGTAAGAAGTTGAATCTGTCTTTCAACCTCTTCCCGGACTCGCTGAAGAGTCAATTCAACATTCAACACATCAGCTTCAATCCAATCTCTGTGACACTGATGAAGAAGGCTCTCCAGAGAATCACGAAAGCCCTGAATCACGAGCCTTACTCTCAGGTTTACAAGCAATCCTCGCAGGAAGTTGTAGACAGCTTGATTACCTCAGCGATGGGCGACATTCGAAACGCGATCCTCAATCTGCAGTTTGTCTCACAGAAAGGTAGATGAATTGTGGAGTTAATGGGCTTTTTTCCTTCTCTAATCGACGTCTTTTCAGATGCCAAGGTGAAGATCAACATTGAGCAGCAGGGAAGTCGGAAAAAGGGCAAAGGAAAGTCTTCAGGAGCGAACAAGAGGCTGAAAACTGTGGGCAGGGATGAAACTATCACTCTCATGCATGCTCTGGGAAGAGTTTTCAATCCCAAATGTAAGATTCTGGCTCACTTCTAGTAATTCTTCATGAGTTTAGCACGTGAATCTCTCTTTGCAGATGAGAATTCGAAGCTATCTCACAATCCTGAGAAGCTCTGCGATGACTTCGAGACTCAGCCACACAACTTCTTAGCCTTCCTCCACGCGAACTATCTTCAGCACGTTTCCAGCCTCAATGATTGCTCCAGCATCGCGGAGAATCTCAGCTTCAGCGAGTTCCTGAGTCGCGAGTGGAGATCCGACGAGATTCCAGTCACTGCGCTGCTCGTGGCGATCAGAGGAACGATGGCGCTCAATGCGAAGCCCAGCACCGGATGGATTCCCACCAAAGGGCCGCGGAAGCTGCCGCAGATCAGCAGTCATGAGCAGCACGAGGAGATCTTCCGGCTGGGCTACGAGGGCTTCCATTCCATCGAGACCGCGGCGACGGATCTGATCCAGTACGCGAAGATGATCGGCAAGGAGGAGGAGAAGCGCGAGAATTGTGATGAAACGTGAGAAGTTGAATTTTATTTTTATGGGAGGATGGATTTTAACATTTTGGTATACATTAATGGCAATGCGATTTCATACCTCACTAAATCATATTACTTAATAGTTAATATCAATAATTTGTCACACGCACTGGAACTCAGTTTGATTCAACAGATTGTGAATTGCCTCAGAAATTGACTCACAGAGAATAATAATAAAGAAATGCGGAAGAGAAACTCAGTATTTACACAAGCCTTAAACATTTAGGGTTCACTAAACAATTACAATGTCAGCTGAAATCTCTTTGCGACAGTTTAAATTTTTGGGAATTTTCTTTATAGCTTCTGAACGCGCCGCGTGAAGTCCTTACGATTTCCTTTGATAAATTTACGTGAATCCTAAGATGAAAAACACCTCAATTTACGACGATAAATTGTGACACTTGGACTATGGAATACTTGTGAAGATGCGCGCAAAATGCTTAGTCGGTCTTGGCGGCCGGCGCGGCGGAGCAGAAGACGCCGCCAACGACGTCCTTCACCTTGGCGATCACGCCGATCTTGCACAGGCCCGGATAGTAGACGACGAAGAGCGCGCACAAGTAAGTAAGCACCAGATTGTCGATGGTGGAGCCGATCCAGGCCAGGAGCAGCAGGAAAGCGCTCACGCTCACGAGGAACTGCAAGAGGAGAAGTGTTGGAATCAATTTCTCAAGCCTTAAAGCAATTTTTCACATTCTTCAGTTTATTGCTTGTTTTCTTTCAATTTGAAGTTATTCTTGTGACAAAAACTATTGAATTTCATCTGAAGAAGAGTTAGAAGAGAAGAAAAAGCTTTAATTAAGAGTGAAATTAAGTTTTTGAAAGGCCTAAAGTGCTTGAAGATTCAAAAATGTCATTTATAAAGGATTTATTGACCAAAAGTCTACTTTATTATCTTGATTTTATATCGAAAAATCACCGAAATAACCAAGTTTCTTTAAGGAAAACATTTTAAATGTCTCTTATCAGAATTCTGTGGCTCAAAACAGGATCTTTAAACGTTATTATTGGCCTTATTGGCGTTCAATCACCGAAAAAGGGCAAAAATACCAATTTGAAGAAGAATCTTATTGCAAGAAAATCTCATTTCTTAACTAATTTTCTTCATGATTCTTGTTTTAATACCTTTTCTGGAAAATTTGCCAATAAATTCAAAACCAGAGATATTTTGTGATCTTGAATTGTGAATATTAAGATACTTTTCGTGATCTTTTCACGGGTCGAAAAGTGATCTCAGAGGCTTTTTCAAGCGATAACGCGCGCTCTGGAGTAACGGTCAGGGGATTACAACTGTTCTTCCTCACTTTGTCAGCCTGGACAACTCACCAGCATGGACTTCTTCTCTTTGGTGACGATGAGGAAGTGGAGGAAGCCGCAGAGGCATTGCTTGGCGCCGAAGATGCTGACGCAGATCTCCTCGAACTCCTTCTCTTGCACGCCCGTCCACTTGTCCGGCTTGAACACGAGCTTGCCCACGATGGGATAGAGGTAGTCGCCGAGCGTGAGGCAGAGCAGCGTGAGCGAGATCTGCGTGAGCGCCGAGAGATCGAGGTACCAGAGGAAGAGGAAGTGCATCGTGACGGCGGCGAAGATCACGGCCGGATAGAAGGCCTTCTCCCACGTGAGGATCTTGCTGGCGTGCAGGATGACCTCACGCCAGTCCTCCAGGTCGTGCTTCAGCTTGTTCAGCTGCTTCTTCTGCTTCCGGGCGGAGGCGCAGAAAATCGATAACGAGAGTGCAATTTGTTGATAATGCAAAGGGCGGAGAAAGAGTGCGCAATTGGCGAATTACCTGATCAGTTGGCCCAAAATTCAGTAGACTCGTCATCTTTGGTCTTTCCTCCGCTTCACTGTTGCCTTTGGTCGCGCTGAGGAGCTTCCTGATGTGGTTTTGAGGTGAGAAATCGCCTTCAAAATGCGTTTTGTTTACACTCTCGACTGAGTTTCTTCCTTGTCGCAGAGAAAAGTTTCCGTTGTGGCGACTTGCGCTGCAGTTTCAGGGATTTTCCTGATGAATCAGCAATCTTTTCTGCCCTTACGGATTGTGAGTGAAGCTTAGATTTTCCTAATCTTGCCTGAATTTCTGGTGTAAGCGAAGGAATTATCTGTGCATCAATTTTCTCAACTTCTTTAGTGGAGTTTCCGAAGACTCGTGTGATGAATCAATTACAGTATCTGCGCTTTTCTCAGAGACGCAGCGCAACTCAAAACAAGGACGGCGAAGTGAGCAACAAAGCTCGCCGGCGTTCGCCGCGCGAAACCGTTTGATGACACGGCGAAAATACGAATCGCGCTCCCTCGCGCGAGCGAAGGTGGCGAATATAGAAGCAGTGAGCATTTTGTCATTTGCGAGTTGCTCGAGTGAATTTTATTAAATTTAGTATTATTTCGAGCCGTTGTGCTGTATATTTCGTGCGAATCATCACTGGAAAGCCTTATCGTATGCATTCACAGCCAAATTGCCCATGTCCGGATCCGCTGCAGCCATGAATTCTGTGAGTTTTTCCCCACTTTTTGGCCTTTTTCCACACACTTATTGTGTATCTGTCAAACATGGGGGAAAAGACAACAAAACAGTTGATGGAAAACATGTAATTTTCCACTCCAATATTTCCCAGAGAAGTCAAATGCCAGGACGAGCTGTTTGGCTGAAGAGGAGATTTCTCAGGAAGAGAGTGGAATTTTTCCGAGAAGTCCTCGAAAGAGTGACTTTTTCCCCGCCTTGTTTGCCAGCCAACAAAAGTGTTGTGTTTATTGGGAAAAGGCATTGAGGAAGAAAATACTAACCCATTTTCACTTTCCCTCTCTCTCTCTCTCTCGCTCTCTTTCTCTTTAGACATCGAATGTGGAGAATTTATCACCGCAAATCATTCGACAGATCGTGAAGGAGATGCACGATCTGGCGACAAACTCACCAGAAGGCATCAAAGTACAAATTAATGAAGCCGACGTGACGGACATCCAAGCAATAATTGAGGGGCCAGGTGAGTACCAGGGCGGAGCGCGAGGCGGTATTTTTAGCGTCGCATGCAAAATATCGCGAAATTGATTAGCGCGATGATGTTTTGATTGCGAAAAGCCATCGCAAAAGGTGCCCCAGAAAACCTGCCTTATCGCGAAAAGCGTGCGAAGGAGTTTCAGGGACGCGCGTGAAGGTCTCGGCTTGAGGCCAGAGAGATGGCAGAGATTAACAGTTATCTTCACATTATTTGCCTGCAAATGATTGCAATTGAGTGATAAGAACACTCTGAAAAAAGTCAGACTGAATGATGGAGCGGGAAAAGTCTCAGAATTGCAATTTGACTAGATTAAGATTCCTTCTGTGGTGGCGAAAAAGGTCTCTGGTTAATTCTCTTTCTCCTCTTGCAGCCGGGACGCCGTACGCCGGCGGCGCCTTCCGTGTGAAACTGGCCCTGGGCAAGGAGTTCCCCTCGACGCCGCCCAAGGCGTTCTTCCTCACCAAGATCTTTCACCCAAACGTGGCGGCGAACGGCGAGATCTGCGTGAACACGCTGAAGCGCGACTGGCAGCCCGATCTGGGCATCAAGCACATCCTGCTCACCATCAAGTGTCTCCTGATCTGTCCGAACGCCGAGTCGGCGCTGAACGAGGAGGCGGGCAAGATGCTGCTGGAGCGATACGACGACTACTCGCAGCGCGCCAAGATGATGACGGAGATCCACGCGCAGACGGTGAAGTCTGTGGCGCCCAGCGAGGAGGATGGGCCGCTGTCGAAGAAGAAGGCGCAGGACAAGAAGAAGGAGAAGCTGATCAAGGAGAAGAAGCGCAATCTCAAGCGATTATGAGCGCGCTTCCCGATCCACAAATTCAACTTCTGCAAACTTTGAGAGATGTTCTTCTGAAATTCTAGTTTCCCTGGACCACAAAGCCATCTTTCCCACCAACTAACACACCTTCCGCGCTTCCCGTCGCGCGCCAGTGAAGAGATGAAAAAAGAAAACGGTCAATTAGCAGTGAGAATGTGGTTGGGTCTTTGCGAGATTTTCAGTTTATTTCGAGTGGATTGACGATGATGAGTTTCCTCATGTTTTCTTTTGTATAATGTGTCCAAGAGAACTTTTACACCCCACAATTAAATTGCTAAGAATTCTTTTATCCATTTTTCTGCACGTTCATTTTATGACAAAATACATTTTACATTAATAATATATTTTATATAGTGAAGAAAAAACAAGTCGATACAATTATAAGTGAAATAAAACAACTCTTGTCATAGGCAATATTATGTCCCGAGAAATAGTTTATCTCAATGCATTTCTTGTAATGTTTTTTAGCTCTGTTGTGTTTTTTTTTTATACAATGACAGCGTCCGGAAAGGTAAAAAATTCGAGGTCTAAATGTTCGGTCTTTGAATGTCGAAAGTCACAAGACAAGAAAAAAAATCGCGAAGCAACAAATTCAACATTTTTCTTTTCTCTCTACAAATTAGAAATGTGTGTATTGTGTCGAAGGCGAAAGTAGAAAATAATATATTTATTTCATTAATGATCACTGTAAATTTATTAAATCTCATTCGTTGCCGTTTTCCACCTCAACAGCCTGAAGAATTTGAACGATAAGAGGAAAAACAGACACTCTTGTATCTCTTAAGTAGCTTCTTTTATTCTAGTTTTTCTCCTCTTCTCTCTCGCTCTTTTTTATAGACAATTCTTCTTTAATTGGTAATCTCTATTTGAATATTCTCACTTTTCCTCCCCTTTTTCCTCTCTGTCCATCGAGAAAAGGAGAGAGAGAAAAAAACATCGCCTTTCCAATTACAGCAAAATAAGGCATTTTTCTTTCTTCTCAATTTTACACTTCTTCGCTTTGCGCAACAAAAACCTAAAGAAAAAAAAATTTATTTTGTACCAGAAATAAAAGAAACTCTCCTCGATCGAAAGAAAAACGTAAAATGTGTGGAAAAAACACCTCTTAATTGTGTTGCAACACTCTTACTTATTTACACAAAAGAGCTACGAAGGTACGGTAAATAGTGGTAAAATATTAAAAAAAAAAACATTAACAACGTAGGAATAAAAACAAAACATTGCCCTGCTTCACACGCTGCGCGACGGCGAACTTCCTTGGCCACAGGAGGCACTTCTGTTCGCAGTCTGTGAACATCTCTCCTTCAGCGTCAGTTGCTGTTCATGGCGGCGGACGATCTGGCCTGGAGTTGCGCCTGTTGCGACGAAATCGCCTTCAGCACCTCCTCGCGCAGCGTCGAAGGATTCTCCGCCGACAGGATGTCCGTGTTGGTGGACAAGTAGCGCAGCTTATTCGTCACAGCTTCAATGAGAGGAAAAGAAGAGAGATTAAATCCCAGCCTGGAAGACTCCAAACATGCCTGCTCACCTGGTCGCAGCTCCACAAGTGAGCAATTTTGGTCTACCCAGAGCATCGCTGTCCGGCACAATTCGTCGAGACTCGCAATGGAGACAGTGGAGTTGAAGGAGTTGAGAAGTGGTTCGAAGATCAAACCGAACTGCAAAGAAAGTCCTCTTAAATAAGCACATTTCATCCCCCTTTAAGACACTATTTCTCTCGATACTCACAATCCAGAATTTCCAGTTTTCCATCGATCTGTAGCGCACGTACTGATTGTACAGCTCAAGGACTCTTCCGGTGCGCTGACGCGACACAGGAGCCCCATTAGCGGGCAGGATGGAGTGCAGGTGACTGCAAAAAACCCATTCAATGGTCAGTCAAAGCGCACCCAAAACAGCGCTGCTGAATACTCACTTGAGCGAACTGTTCAGCTTGTCCCTCTCGAGTCGCATCGCTTCCGTCTTCTCGTGAATGGCCGCGCGCTCCGCCCTCAGCTGTCGAATGTAGTCGGCGCCCTTTTGCAGGATCGCCGCCTTGCTCAGCTGTGCGGAAGGGGTTTTTTTTTGGTTAGGAGACAACAAAGAGATTAGACTAGTGGGCTTGAGAGAGTACCTTGGCCGTTGGATTCTGCTGCAGCTGCGGAATCAGCGATTGCAGCACATCGAAGCCGTTCTTGATGTTGTAGCGCCTCTTCTGCTCCGCATGAATGTGTCCGGCGCGTCGCTGTGGATATTTGGTGTCCTTGGACGGCGATAGTGGACCTCCTATCTCCTCCACGACGTCCGGCGACAAGCCCATGACGCTCGACGGCGACTCGTTGCCCATGATCTTGCCGGGACTCGAGTCGAGGCGCTTCGGCGTGGGCGCAACGGTGCTCGAGCTGCTGGTCAGATTGGTCTGCGATCCGCCCAGCTTGCCCAGACTCGTGCTGGGCGCCGCCTGCTGCTGCAGCAGCTGTAGGAGCGCCGGCTCGCTGGTGGCCGCTTGCAGACTGGACGAGATGACTTGCTGCTGCGGCTGAGCCTTCATCACGATCGAATTGCTCCGGCTGCGCGCCTTCGCCTTCGGCTGATACTTGGGCAGGGCGAACTGACTGTTGGCCTCCTTCTGGCCGCCGCTGTTGAACAGGAGACTCGCGTTCAGGGGCAAACTGTTGGACCTGTACATTTCCTTTGAGATTGGCGCTGGCTCTGAGATGGCAATCATATTGCTGGGCGGGGATTGGACGCTCATCATGGGCACAGCCGTCGTGACCATCTGGGCGCTCGGATATCCCACGGACATGGATTTGTACTGACTGAAGGCCACCTTCGTGGGCGACGTGGATCGCTGATCGTACGCATTGCAGCTCTGCTGCGACAGCAGATTGTACAGCGTCTGCGGGCTCTGCTGCATCGGCATCTGCTGCGGCACTTGCATCACGCTCTGCTGCGCCGGATATGTCTGCGTCTGTGGCATCTGCATCATCGTCTGCATGGATTGCTGCTGCTGCTGCTGCTCCTGCTGCTGGATCAGGATCTGGTTGTAGATGTTCGTCTGATGAGGCGTCGGCAGAGCCTTGTCATAGTTGTGCGGCTCTCGCTTGGCCAACTTCAGCGAAGTCCTCGAGAAGCGCGGTCCTTTGCTGTAACTCCCATGCGAGGGTTTGTCCAGCGGCTGCGTGAACTGTCCCGCCGTCTGATCCAGCGATCCGTGCGCGGCCAGCGGCGGCTTCTGGTACGCCTGCATGCCACCATCGAATGTCTGCGGCGTCTGCATGTTGCTCAAGTCATGCGACAACATCTTTGCCGTGTAGTGAAGACTGTTCTGCTGGAACACATCATTCAACTTCGCCTCAATTCCACCGTCCAGCAACGCGCCGCTCTCTATCGATGGCACACCACTGTTCTGCCCTTGACTGCCGCCCGTCGATATTTCACTCATGTTGACAGACTCCATCGGCTCTGACCCCATTATGTACAGATTGATGGACTTGAACAGATCATCCGGCGCCTCCTCCTGCACCGGCGGCAGACGCGACGTGCCAAACAGCTCCGGAATCGGCTCGCACGTATCCATAAAATCCTCAAGATTGGGCTGCAGCGGCCCAAGACTCGGCTGTATGAAGTCCGCTATTCCAGCCCCTCTAGCTGCGCGTGAATCACGTGAAAAAGTGTACAATAAACAATTATCTCTCTAGTATCACAAAATGCGAATTTGGGGGTCTGCCAAGAAGTCAAGATATTGATAAGAAAATAAGAGATCGCAAAAATTACAATGTCTGCACTGAATTTTTCCCAAAGACTTTTTTTTTGTCAGGATTTCTCTCTAGACTTATTTACAACGTATTGTTGGTATTATTTGTCATTAAATTATACTTTCTCAAATTCTTTTTATCTTTGGAGCTTGAAGCCCAATCAGATAAGAATGGAAAACGTGACCACGTCAGGCTTTGCAGAATATCTTAACAGAGAGACTTCTTACCTATTTCGCGAGAATCAGGAAACTGAAATGGCTGAGAAATGGTCGAAAATAGAAGATCACTGGTCCACTGACATTCGTCTATATTATTTAAGCTCCTGTCGTCATTTGATGACCAATCGAAATCTCGCTCACTTAGCTACAAAATGGAATAGAAGAGAGAGAGAAAAATTCAGAATCTCAAACACACTAAATTCCTAAGATTGTGCATAAGATAAGGAGATAATTTCAGCAAAAATCCCGAGGGTGTGTTTGTGACAATATCTTGCGGGTTGAAAAATGGACAAATCCTAATTACAATTTTTCCTTCTCGTCATCATTATTGGAAGACAAACACTGCTAAGAAGGAGAGAGAGAGAGTGCGAGGAGTTTATGATAAGATAAGCCTCTCTGTGCATGTTTTATAGGCGTGTTATGACCATTATTAACAATGATGATTTCACGCGACTCAATACACAAAATTCTTCTCAACTGATAACACTGAGTTGTCTTCAGTGGCCAACACTTTTATATCCATGCACCAAAGATTATCTGTCTCTCTCTGTCTCTCGGGAAGAGCAAAAGGATCAATGTGAATCTATATACTCACTGTGTCAAGAGCATTTGAATGCTCCAGAGTGCGATGATGATGGAATCTCCGCCATTTCTTGTACTCTGCACTTATAACTAGCAAGTCACGCTTCCAATATTTCCCCTCTAGAACAACTGCCTTCAGTTTTGCGAAGAAAAAAAACAGAGAGAAGCAAAGAAAATTGATTAAAATATGAATTCAAACATTTCTTGATGTCCTTTCATCAGCCAATAGAAAGTGAGAATCTCTAAAAGCCTCACTTTCTATTGGCTGATGCAAGAGACACAAAAGCCTGCGAAAGAAATATAATCAAGAAACTGTGACTTAAATCAAGAAAACCAGTAAAATAGCCTGAAAAAGAAACTCTTGAGGAAACTGCACGAAATTTCTGATAACCCAACACAAACACACACACTTTTTCCCTCTGTAAATTGTCATCTTTCTTTTCCTCAATCTGGCCTTTCTTTTCTTTCTTTCTTTTCTTTGCTTTTTTTGTGTTCAGGCCCTTAGAAAAATGTACTTACTTCTGGTTTATTGTGAATATCGCAGTCTAGTGGTGAAGCAAATTGACATAAAGTCTTTTTTCTCATGATAACTGCAAGAGAATGCATGAAAATTTTCTGATTAGAATGAAACATCCAAGCCAGGCGAACCTGTAAATTTTATTGGAAATACGACAAAAAATCACCAAACGATAGTGGAGAATCTTAAGACGCTTGCGTCTCAAGACGCTAAAACTGGGAAGTCTTTTGCCCATATTTGGGTGGTTGCGAGGGTGGCTCTAAAACACCGCAGACCCTGTGTTCAGTCGCACTTTTCTTGCAAAAACACTTAATTATGTAACACCCAAACTGCCACGGAGTCTCTTCTCTGGAAAGAAAATCCGCGAAAAATCCACTCCTCACTCAATTTCTTTTTTGCAACAGGCCACAGAGTTGGAAAAAGTGTGGTTTCTTTTTGAGAATTATTATATACAAAATAGAGAGAGAAGAAAAGAGGGAGAAATTGCCTTTTTAGAGGGAGGAAAAATATGAGACACTCCCACAAAATGCACAATATTTCACGTCTAGCGTCAAAATCTGACTGAAGCTTCGGGAAAATCTTGAGCAACACGAGACATCGCAACAAGTGGCGAAATGATATTTATCAGCAATAGCACATAATAAATCGTGCTTAGAGATAAACTCGAAAAATTTTATATGAAAGTGACGCGCGCTCAGAACTTCTTCCACTCAAACAAGAGCAAGAGAGCGAGAGAGAGAGAAACGGAATGTAATATTCCTCCTGATTACAGTTTGGGCGCGCTTCTTCTCATTATGTCAGCCTCATGAACTGATAGAGGACTTCAAAGCAGGGTTTATACTAGAGTCTAATGAGATTAGAGGCATCTCACAAGTGCATTTTAATATAATGATCGACGATGGAATAGTTTAATAGAATAAGTATCCCACACATAAACAGAATCTCTCTCTCTCTCTCTTTCTTATCATCGTTGTTCACTCTCGCGCGCCTCGTGTATTACTTTTGCTGGTGAAGAGGCCGCGCAGCCAATCATTTTCAATTTTCTAGCCTCCCAAAGCCAATATATATTACACAAACAAGAATTGATAAGGGTAATCTCGTAAATTGGACGATTACTGATATTCCATATGGGATTCACTGAAACAGAGCCTAACAAATTCCCCAATCATTGACCAGAAGCATGATATTATTTACATTTTTTCTCCCCCTCCCCCGTCCATCGCACCATCCCAAATCAATCAAGCAACAAAGTCTGTGTGTAAAGAGAGACATAATATCTCCAGCCAATGAGCACACCATCAGCAATCACACTGCCAAATCAACCCATTATCATGCTGAAAGTCTCAATTATATGCCACAATGCTGGAGCATGATTTTTCCCAACTTGAGCAAAAACAAAAAACCACCGCGAAAGAGGATTATCACTTGGAGACTCGCGACTTTTTCTTTTTCATCACCCTTCCTCCCTCAATGAAGAGGTGGATTTTTCTTCAGTTAGGAAAATTTTATCTGCCCCAAAATGACAAGTGATTTATGACACGGATTATTTTCTTCTTACACTATCTCCTCTTGGCCACACACCATCGTCAGGGATTTTTTTTTTCTTTTCTCCATCATCGCAAAAGCATTGTCTTTAGTACAATTTTTCACACTTACATTGCATGTGCCAGCATCTCCATATCAAGTTGTTGAGACGAATCTTATCCTTCCAGCGCAAGCGAATGCCCTTGAAGCGATTCCATTTCGGGGATGTTAGTTTTTGTCTACGGAATAAAAACCAACAATTTAGTCCTAGACTGATGAAATCTATTCCTGGTGGCATTGAAAGGACTTGCGGGACCTTAGGAAACAATTCCTAATGGAAATTAGAAGCAGACATGACGGAATTCGCCTAAAACTGCTGAACAATTCGTCGAAAAAGTTATTTGCGACACTTCTTCCGCGAAAATGACCTTTTTTTACGAGGGTCAATGACGCTTCAAACTCCTATATTGGGATAAGAGGTCTTTCTGATTATTATCCTGATTAAATATCCTATGTAACGCATTTGAAAAATCTCCGTACGATCCTTTGAAGTCGTGTATTGTTCACGACTGATGAATTTGATATTCACTTAATCAAATTTTGATATCGAATACTTATAAAGTTCAGATAATAAATGAAAATGTACAGGATAATTATAATCCACTGCGAGCAGTCCTTGCACTTTTTAGCTGATTAACCTGCCTTTTTTTTAGCTAATTTGGCTCGCTGGGATTGGCCGAATGTCTTCAAACTTGGCATGGCAATTACTTATAAATGAGAGAAGATTGATGGAAAAATTCAGACCTCTAGCTTTACGTGAAGACGTCTCAGAGCCTCACAGGGGATCCTATTCGATTTGGAGTCACTGTAGATAATTGCTCTCAAAACACACGACGCAATAATTCTCATTGGAACATCAACTTCCTCCACATAAACAGAATTCACTGCTCTTCAAGCGTTGTAGTTAGATAAGATTCTACTGAAATAGTTTCGAGTCGTTTCCAGAGTAAATATCAATACAATTTCGAGAGATTACAGTGCGACACAAGGTCACTAGAGAGCTCTCAAACAGTGGAGTTGCATCAGAAAGTGCGGTGGAAAATTTACATTTTCACCATTACTGCTGTTTTGCATGAGATGTGCTGACTATTTGAAAGACAAACACATGAGAATATTTCACGCTTTATCCCGATGACGAAATGAGTGCTTAACAATTTGGAAGTGATGTGTGAATTTCTTAAAAAGGCGCTTTGAAAAGTGCAAAAGCATCTGTAAATTTGTTAAATATATTTATATCAATTCTTTATCATCGCGAGATTACACACAGAAAAAAAACTATTATTGACATTGGAAATTCAAGTGCACTTGAATTTGTTTTGTGTGTCTTCTTTAAAAGTGAAATAAAACCAACCCATGACAAGTCGTTTATTATTGTTTTACCACCAGACTTTTCCGCTTAAAAACCCCATTTATCGACTCACACGATCTTTCACACACAGTCTTGAAGAAAAGATAGCAAGCAACAAAGTTGTACATGGACAGAGATGATAAAATTAAGCCCCAACTGCACAAATAGACGAGATCGTGGAGTGCTTTAGAGATCCTAGATTTCACAAAAATTGAAGTGTCATCCTGATAGAAAAAAGAGAGCCAGCAATAAACTTTTCAATGCGATCATGAGACACAGAGCAAAGAATTGCTTTCAGCTTTAAGACGCTCTCTTAATGCGATATGTTATCTCGGCCTCATGACTAATACACGCATTTCAATGGATTTCAGAGCCCCATTTGAGGGTTAACATTCGACACTTTGTGAATGAAACATCAGAAGAATTTGCGCTATCACTGATATAATTTCTCCTCACAAATCCCTGATACAGACCCGCGCGCTTGCACTTTAATTAAAGGTCAATCGTCTCTCACGTGTACACAGAAATCTTCAAGTCAGCTTTTGAAAAAGACACTCTCTTCTATTATCACGATTTCCAGTGATAATCAACTCGTGATCGCGCTCAACGGACTCTTCTCACTATAATGACAAAAATTGTTCACATTGCCGAAGAGACCCAAAGCGAGTCCTTGGCGACCAAGAAGACTTTTTGGCTATTTTGAATAAATTTCCTATATACTGGAAGAGAGAAAAAAATCATACCAATAATGATGAGATAAAAATTTTATGTTCTTTTTATGGGTTTATTTTCGACAAATAGATAATTTTTGCCAAAAGACGCGACAACTGAGTGACATTTCTTTGTGTTTTACGCTCATCTTCGAAGAGACATCAGCAACGGCACACAAATCGGAAAAATGTTTGAAATAAATATGGAAATGAGGCAAGTTTACATTTATAATTAAGAAAAGACACCACAGCAGCAGCTCAAGACGTCATCAAGTGTGTAGAGTGAGCCCAAAATACCGGCTTTTCCGCGCGCGCGATGAAGGAACAAAGGCGCGAGAGCTCTGGCATTGTTCTTCTACATCGCGAATGAGAATAAGACAGACAAGTGATAATAAAATGGGTGAGATGTGTGCGCGAGCGACTTAGTCGGAGGTGCGCGATCAATTCATGGTGATATTTGGAGGCCTGTCGCCAGCACTGGACGCGCCTCCCCAATTTGTAAACACGCCACCGAACGGAGGCTCTCCTCGTGCGCTACTCTAAATGCTAATTCCGCCACGAAGGCGCTCATCCGGCGCGCGGAGCGCCTGTGACATTCCGTATGCACCGCGTGCCATCATCATTAAGCCGGAGTTGAGGCGAGTGTGTGTGCGATATTAAATCAACAACGGCTAATTTATGTGTTTGCACCACTCTAAAAATACTCCCTCCCATTTGATAACACTCTCTTCTGTCCAAAATAATCTCTCCTCCTTCTTCTTCCTTCATTCTCAGGCCCATTAGCACCCAATTCCTGACTTCATTCTCCCTCTCTCTCTCTCTTGTTCTTGTTGTTTCGTCAATTTATTGGACACCTTGTGTGTGCTCAGGAAACAAAATATATATGCCCACAAATTCTCGCTAGAAAACACCGCCCAGCAACTGCAAGTTGGAGATTGACAACAAACTGGACTGAAGTGTCTCAGCGGCAAAAACAACTTTAACCACACATCAGCTGATTATGGCCAATCCGTGTGGCTTCATTTAATATGCATCACAACTCTTCCTCTCCACGACAAAAGGCGTTGTTCGTTCGGCAAAAAGGATGCACAGAACTTAGAGAGAATATAAAAAGCCAAAGCTCTTGATAAGGAAATTCAATAAAAAAAAACTTCAATATTTACTTTCGAAAAGCAGGCGCACTGAAAAGGTCAAGCAATCTCAGTGGCAATCAGTAAAAAAATGAAGCGTTAACCCCTTAAGGATTTGACGGTCAAAAGCGTTCTGTAAATTTATATGATCTCTAATCTTATTTCTCATTGTAGCATCGAGTGTTAAAGAATCTGTAGTTTATTTAATTTGTAAATTCCAAATCGACGGGTGAATCGAAAAATATGAAAAGCCAAAATCGCAATTTTTCAGCAGAGCAAGTTCAAAATTTAGCGATAATACAGCTGCAAAATTTGCCAAATTTACTTCAAACGCCCGTTAAAGTACAAATATCGCTTAATATTTATTATTCTATAAATAATTTAGTTGATTTTATTGGTTTTTATTGAAATTTTGAACTAAAATATGGTAAAATTACAGAAAATATGAAAATTTTACTTTCCAAAGTCAGTTTTTAATAGTCTTCGAGTTGATTTTATCTAAATAAGTTCTAAAAAATCAGCATTTCATATGGGAAACATTCATTCAAAGTCTAAAAACATTTTAGGATAATCCTGAAAATTAAAAAATATATTCTTAAAGGCATTTTATGCGTTTGACTGCAATTTTTGAGACATTTTTCTTGGAAAAATTGTACAACGTAAACAATGAAAATTCAAATGAAACTTTTCATTCAAAAAACATGACAATTTTTGTATAGGAAGAACAAAAAGAAAAGCTTTTCAAAAATACTCAAGACGAAAACTATGATAAATCGACTTTTTATTTATAGTTTTCGATTCACCCGTCGAAATGCAAGCATGTGTGATAATCTTGCTCAGAATCTTGTCGTCGTCAAAGGGTTAATAAAGACAGCTTATTACTTCTGACACAAGTGTGAATTCCGCGCTCACACAAGTGAATAAATTCCAATTAAAATACAAAACGATTCTCTCTCTGGCCACTCGTCCTAATCTTTTAATTTAAGAGCCCGCGCGCCGTTTCTCCGCATTTGGCCCTCGGCTCGGCTGCTCACCATGAAAGTGTGGCATTTGAATATGAATTGTGTGTGACCGAAGGGAAGGCTAGAAAGTTGCCCGCGCCAGTGAAAGTGAGAGTGCAGGCCGCATTCCGGGTGCATTTCTCCCGGCAGGCACTGTCGCCCCCGAGGAGCGCTCTGGCTCTGTGCAGAAAAGGTCCAAACGGAGGAGAGATGGAGAACTGCGGCGATACTCCAGTGTGAGCCACACTCTATTGATAACCTCGCAATCTATCAAACGAAAACCTCACTCTCTATGTACAATTGGCAATATTATGTGCCCCGGGAGGGGCGCAATAATCAATATCGCTGGCCAATCGATGGAGTCCGCTGGAGTGGCGCTGGCCAGCCGGGGGCATTCTTGGAGCGCGCGCGCTGACTTCCGGGAGCATCGCATGCTCACGCATCGGATCTGCTGTGCGATCGCCGAGGGGATTATGTAACAGGCCGCCTCATGGGCGGCGCGAGATCGCTGGGAATCTCACCTGTAGGCGAGCTTCATGCACTTGAACAGCTTCGTGAGGGACGTCTCGATGGACAGCTCCTGATTGCGGCTCTTGACGACTGTGCGTGGGACGTATCGCTGGACGTCTGTGCATGTGTTGACGCTGATCGTCTCGCTGGGCTTGTCCGGATCGGGCATCTCCTCGTCGTCCCAGTCCTCCTGCGCCTCCGCCTCGAAGTGCGACACCATAAACTGCCCAGAGTGGATCGCTTCGCGGTCCTTCTTCCCGTCGTCACTGCCAAATTTGAACGACATGCTCATGCCGATCATAGTACACCGCGATTCACAACAGTATCTCCGCTATCAAGCACCTACAATCGCGGAGTTTCGCGAGAAATGCCCCATCCCCGGATCTCAGCAATCTCCGGACCTGTCAACTCCGTCACAAAGTTCAACCTTTCCACTCGCGGACACGCACTTCTCACAGCGAAATGCCCGGCGCACACTCTCACAGCACTCTTGGCATCCTCTGGCGCAATTAAACTCGCGATTCACCACCGTTTCGCTAGGGTTTTAGTGGGAAATTCCTGAGAAATCTCTATGAGAATTTTCCCTGCCTTTCGACACAATCACAAAACAAAAGCAGCGCCAACTGATGGTGGCGGAATACGTGGAAAACCTCTCCTATCGCGCCAGCGCCTCTGTTGGCATCACAGCAAGGCTCTCCATACAGAGTGAAAAAAGCGCTCAGAAAATGCGAAAATGCAGTAATTTATTTACAGAACAATCATTGTCACATACTCACACGCCGGGCAGATGGCAGACAATGAGCTGAAGTCAGCCTCCGGCTTGGGTTCCGTGAAGAACTGCAGACGATTGCTGCAGAATGTCTCATGATAAGTCACCTTGATTTGAATTATTTCGTGAAATCTCTCAAGTCCCTTCTCAAACACCAGCCGGAGGCCACAGAGACAGGAAATAACGCTGTTCTCCTGCTGCAGGAGGTTCTTTTGGCAAATGGGACAAAACACAGTCAAGGAGCCGCTCTGATAGTCTGAAATCAGGGCCTCGTCAGCCTTCTCCGTCTCCTCAAACAGCCACTGATCAGCCTCTTGCATCAGCTCCTGCACAGCCGCCTCGTGGCTCTCGATATCCATGTCCAATTCGGAGATTTGATCTCGCAAAATCGACGTCATAAACATCTGATAACGGAAGAAACTTTGAGAATGTTTTCAAGCACTTGTTTTCCACTTTCTCACCTCGTCATTCTCTGTGAGATCTCTGTGGCGATTGAAGACATGAGCCCGGGCTTGTTTCATCCGAATGCGACACTTCTGAAAGGCAGGAAATTGTGAGGAAGGCCCGGAAAATGCCTCGTATACTCACTGTTCGCAGCATGTCTCGCAAAACTGGAGAATGCGACAGCAAAGTCCGCCTCGCCAGTCTCTGTGTGGGACTCCGGGGACTCGTCGGACTCTTCAGTAAAGAGTTCATTATTCTACACTAGGATTTTGGAAAATTCCTTGGTTTTCTTGAGGAAATTGCGACTTTAGAGACAGAGAAGCGCGTTTTGGCGCACACTTTTGTTTACATTTTCAACGTCAAAATCAGCTGGACTGCTTTGCACACCATCTAGCGCTGAAACACATTCGAAATGCATTCGTTGATTCCAGAAAAGAAAGAAGATTTTCATGTTATTATCAATCACAGTGAGAAGAAAGCTTGAAAATTAGCTATATATAATGTCCTATTAAAGTTACAATGATTGTGTAACAAAGACTGATTTTTCCAGGATCATAAATCAGTGGAAATGGTAGAAATAATTAATTTGTAGCACCATGTTTCAGAAATTGCAATTCTGATTATGTTCACAGCTTCGAAATGAGTTGCAATATACAATTTTCCGTGGCATCATCGCGACCACAAATGCGCGTCCTTGTTTTATCAACTTGTCGCAGTCGTAAATAGCCATTATAATGTTATCAAAACTGTTGATGGTGCCGTCAAACTATGAAAGCGATCGTAAAATTCTGTCATGGCGCAATTATTTTTGAAGAGAAATTTTGCACAATTTCGAGCGGTGTTAAAGCGGATTTTGTAAATATGCTTATTCTGCCTTAATTTCTGGTTGTTTCCTTCTCGTTAATCTCAATAATTACATAAATCATTGCGGACATCGCAATTGAAGAGTGGGAAGAAATTGTGGGGATTAGAAGGAAAGCAATAAAAGTGTTTTTGGCACCTTTTTGCTTTCAAAACATCACCAGAGTTTTGGTAATCTTTTCGGCTAAATCATCGATAAAAGTTCAATTTTATGACGCATTCGATGAACAATATGACTATAAAGTCGTGCGACAATAAAAGCCAACGAATTGCTTGCAAAAGTTTTACAATTCCGCTGCTCTTTTAGCTCTTAATCAACGTTCAAAGTGGATTGAGGGGATATTGCATCGGCTTCCGGAGCACAGAGGGATGTATTTCCGCAAATCACAAAACAATCTCCACACAAGAACTCCCACGAGAAAATAAGATATCGACTTTATGGCTGCCAGAGTATTTCGCCCATTGAGTTGATGGAAAAATTTATTTACAAATAGTGGTCGGAGCTCCACTTTGCGCCAGAGAGGAGCAATTGTGTAAGCGAGAATTATTCACAATGAAATGTTTACGTGGCCACTTTGGCTGCCTCGCATGAAGATTATGCGAAACGCTGAAGAAGAGATCAGAGTTGAACGCTTTCCATTCTGGAGAGTAAAATAGATTTAATCGATATAATAGAGTGCAGATTGTGATGAAATTGAGTGATTTTGATGCTCATTCGATTGAATTTAAATTACGAGCTTCAAAATACGTGTAAACACAATTTTCTTGACTTGAATTTGATGCAAAAGGCGGGATTTTAAGATTCTGCAATTGCTTCGACGGTTGTAATTTGAATTGGAGGAAGTGAGCAAAATCCTTCAGGAAGGAAAGTCAAAATACTGTCTTATTTCATTATTTTTGAGCAATTCTGAGTCACACACAGACATGGTAAAATTCTACATGTAAATGTTTCACATTCGAAATGAATGAGGAAAAAAGCCCGTGCTATTCTTGCTAAGCAATGTTTTCAATTCAAGTTTGTAACCAATAAATCCGTGATAAAAAGAATTTATTGTAAACATAATTCATGTTCATGCTTGAAAATTAGAGCCATAATTGCAGATTGATCCATTTTTGCAAGATATTTGCAGATTTAGATCTGACACTCATTTGTTTAACACATGTTCGCCATTTTGAGTCACTCAGGAAGGCGTGTGTTAAACCAATATAACACATTTTTAACATTTTTTTAGCGACTGAGAATTGCTCCAAATATTTGTTAAAGCTATTGAGACTCTCTGCGATTTCTACTGAAAATGCTTCGTTTGAGAATCTATTTCAACTCTAATTTCTCCAGCAAATCCGCATCGATCGCTGCCAGACGGTGCGATATCGGAACCGGGTCGGCAACAACTCTATAAGCGTGAGTGTTTACATTCACGAGGAAAAATCGAGAGCATCGACGAGATTTTCGTTTGCATGAATTTCCCAGTTTTTCGTGGTGAATCGCGAGCTCAAGTGTGCTCTCGATTGGTTCTCACCATATAGTGAGAAATCTTAAAGTGCTTTTGTGGATGTTTTGTGTGAGAAAAAGATGCTTCAATTTTGCCAAGGGACGCCCAAGTTCGCCCAGCAATTGTGCAAATTAGGGATTATTGATACAAGTGTGTCAGCTTTGGCGATAATCTCTCTGGGATCTGTGGCGTTTTACTTATGCAAACGCAAAAATACCAAGTGAGTGTGCTCAGCGAAATATTTTTCTTCGCCATCTCTCTGTGTTTTGTTGTGTTTTGCTTCTTCCCCATTTTTTTTTCTCTCTCTCGTCCGGGTCGCTCAATGGCAATTTGCAACCCCTCGCGTGTGTGCCTTTGGCTGTGCTCAGTGCCTTTTTGGTGTGAAAAGTTCCAAAAATGTGCGGAAAATTTGCCATAAATTCCACTTATTTTTGGAAACGCGCGCGCCTCGCGTGTATACACAGGAAGTCCTCGAATCGCTCTCATTAAGCATCGTCATTCTTATTCTGTAACGTTCTCAGTGACGTCAGACGCCCGCTGGCGCCATCTGCAGAGGTGGTTGGCGACTTTCAATTAACATCACTGCAAAGTTTCGCATTTTCTCTTATATTGGTTCGCGAATTGAGAGCAATGAAGGCAAATAGGGCGAGCATTATTGTGACACTTCACCAAATGAAAATGTTTCTCAGCTCAAATCTGCTGTGCATTTGCAAGATTTGCAATTATTACTCCTTCATCACGCAGAGGGAAAAGTGTGATGAGAAGGAAGACTCGAGGGATTTTCTCATTTTTCATGCGAAAGACAAAAGTGGAGAAGCAACAATAATTTAAATGCAAAAGAGTAATCCATTCGTAATGATAATTCTATTCCAATTAGCAAAGGTGAATGAAGATTAAGTGGATTAGGAAGTTTCCCATTGGCGGTAACGGAAGAGCCAAAGTGATTTATTGGAGTGAAATTCAAACTATTTCCTTTAAATTTCTCTGATAAAATACCGAAAGAATAAAATTTTCATAACACTTCAGTGGATTTATTCGCCAGGACTGAAAATTTATATTCCAATATGGAATGAAACTACATTAATGAGTTAAATCAATTAAACTTTTTTTTCATGAAGCACAATTTTTTCTGCTGGAACTTTATTAATGATGCCAAGCGCAAATGAGATTCTCTTAAAATCAAAATTGTTGAAATAAATTTACACTTGCATTCTTGTATTCAATTACAGTAATTAGTTGATGAATTTTATTCAATTTGTGTAAATGTAAAATATAATAACACGCACCTGTTTTGCATAATGTTTCCGCATGTTTGACATATATTTTCATATTGCAAACTCGAATTTGCCCAAAAAAAAAAGAATTGTAAACAGAATAACTTTCGCTTTGATTGATAACGTTGGTTTCGGTTTATTTAGAATAAATCCACGTAAAGCTTTCCTCGAGTTTTGATGGTTATTTTGTATACAAAAGATTACTAAAAATAATCCTCCAAGAGACGTAAATATACTCCATTTGAACACTTTTATGTGCATATATTGCTTGCTTTTAGTTATTCAATTGAAATCTGATGACTAAAAGGTATAAATATTTATCGGGGATTAAAGTATTTCACATGAAAAAAAAGTCTTTGTCAGACTTTCGGACATGGAAATGGAAAATTGTTGAAATAATAATTTGCTTCATCTGAAAAGAATTAAATGCTCATAAATTTTAATTAAACTCTTCGGATCGAGTTTGAGCTTATCAATTTGTGGTACTATTTAATTTTTAATTATTTCCTCCCACTCTTAATGATTGGACATGATTTTGCTGAAAATTGCTATTTGTATGCAATATTTGCCTCTTTTGTAACTTTTACAGCTGCTTTTCATTCATATTTTAGTGACAATAAAATTTCAGAATGGAGCAAAATAGTTTTCACTTTGTTTGTTATACTTCATCGTTTCACTCTTCGCACTATTTTATCGCCTTTCTTCTGCCGCTGCTTTTTATTTTATGTGTGTTTATCACTGAGCATAAATTCGCCAAACACTTTGGAATATGTTACGTTTATTTTCAAATTGTGCACGCAGTAAAATCTTTGAGCACTATCGAGGGCATTCCAATGCAGTTTTGTACAAAGGGAAGATAATATGGCTTGAGTCTGTACACCACTTCCTGACACTTCCAAATGTGTGATTTTACTTTTGTAAGAAGATATTTCTGCAAGAATCCACTAAAACACGCTTTTATGGGTGTTTTTTCCGACCATAACCTCAAAATATCACTAAGAGATCTTCAAAAATTCCATTTGGAAGCTTTCTAGATCAAGAAAATAAACTCAAAATTGCTTATTCAGAGTCAAAATCGTCTAGAGAAGTTTCTAAGTCAACATTTTCAAGTTTAAATGATTACTTTTGAGGTTATGTTTGACTTTATCACAATTTGCACTACTTTTTGATACAGAATATTCAGAATAGCAACGTTTATTGCATACAAATACTTTATTCAACCAATAACTAGCGATATCTCTGACTTGATCGTAATAATTGATGTGCTAGAAAGCAAATTATTCATTAGTTACATAACCTAGAAAGGTTTAATTATTGTTTCTACGTTAAAAATCACCGGAAATCTAAAGAATCGGGATAATTTGTCAGTAAAAGAACCACTCAGGACAGGAATACTGAATGTTTTTAAACACTTCCACTTCTTAAGTACTCCTGCTGATCTGTACACCACTTCTGACCATATTATCTCCCTCTTGGTTTTCAATGCTGCATATTGTCCACATAATTCAAGTGTGTGCGCAAAACAAGTGATGTGTTGTGCATTGAGCTAGTATTAGCATAATTGCATTCAGCATTGTTATCATAATTTTGTTGTTTGGCTAGAAGTGCGGGAGAATTTGTTTGGCCATTGTTTGACGCATCCCAGAAAAATCCTCTTTTCCATTTAGGCAAAAATATTCAATGCAAAAGCTTTCATTTGCAGGCGCACAGACATACTTTATATGCACAATTGGCGATTTTCATTGCTAATCTTGATACTTTTCGTGCAAATATGCGGATTCGCAGAAGTGTGCATTGCAATTAATTCCCCTCGCGATGCCACAACGAATCGATTCGCATTATTGGAGCCGGGATTGGCTCTCGGCGCATCCATCGTGGCAGCTGTCTTCATACGGGCTGTTGAACTTCAGGATCAACCCGGTGAGTGTTGTCTGTAAATCTTTGCCCGCAATTCTCCCCCGAGGGTGGGAAGACTTCTTGGGGGTGGCGCTCGTCACCCCCAACACTGGCATTGTAGCTTATATGGCATGTGATAAATTGCAGCTGATCGGCATCCAACACTGTGCGATGACTTCAGATGCATTGATTCAGGATTGACTATTGCCGATGCTAATGAAAATTATTTATTGAGACACTCAAGGTGTCAAGAGCTTTGGTTGTGCCTGTGATTTTCCATGCAAATGAATTGACTGTGAACTATCAAAGGATTGCAAATAATAGTGTCACTGCATCAATCGATATTGCATTACAAGGGACAGAGCTTCAATTCACCCATAATATGAAAGGTGGAGAAAATCTGTACTCAATTGAAAATGCGGCAGTTTGAAGCTTTTCTGTAGAATTATTGACAAAGATTGTCTTCTGAGCACTCAAAGAATCACAGGAGATTCTCAATGAATTCTCAATTAGTCGAATAGCTTCAGAAACAAACTTGCTGTACACCATTTGGGACAATAAATATCTCACCCTTGACAGTCCTTGTAATGTTAAATTGAATTGGTTTATTAGTTGAGAAGCACAGCAAAGGCAAGATGTTAAATATGATGTTTCTGCTTCTAATGAAAGCTCCGAAAGGGGTTCACAAATAGTTCTCCCCTCTCGTTGAACACCTTTATTTCAAGCGGTAACGAATTCTTCAGCGCCAACCTTCCTGGTAACTCGAGAATATCCGTACTATCGCACTTAAAATTTCATCATCATCATTATTCCACGATATGCTGAACTTATATGAATTATGAAACTCAGCGCTCCAGCAAAATGTGAGATAAAGCATTGCAGCGAGAGTAGGGATAGAAATCAATAAAAGATAGGACACGTTCTACTCCATTTTTGCACGCCATTCGCCGCTCTCTCCGGGTGAAGTGAGCAAATGTGTAAATATCCTATTGAATGTCCAATAAAAATTCCCACACGAGATAATCATAAATTGTACTTGCTCGTTTGCTCAGTTCTTCCCTTAAATCCCGTTTGGTAAACAAATTAGACAAGTTTACTCGCCACTTAAGTGCTCGCACGCCCACCGAGGGGGTGATTCAGGCTCCTATTGATAGTGACAGGCTATGGTGAGAGGTTTAGCATAAATTCTGCATTGCAGCGAAAAGTGGTCTACATTAGTGCGATTCCTCATTCCGGGTCAAGGGATCTCTCTCTGTGTTTTTGCGCTCAGTCCTGAGAGGGTTTTTGCATTTCTCACCTTCGGTCGCACCCAGGAAAGGTGCACATTTGCCACTGCATTTATGATGATGTGATGAATTATTTTCCAGGTTGGCTCTATCTTGTCGTGCTCACCGATGTTCTTCAGTTTATCACAAAGATATGCAAACTAGCATGGCTGAGCCGGAAGCTGGAATTATTGTGTCTGCAGCCCTTCCTAATGATGTGCTCGACAATCCTGCTCCTCCTGCTGACACTCCTGGATTCCATCGTGACGTACAGAGAGGTGAGAAGTTGAGGCGCCACACGCCTGTCTAATATCCCGTCATGGGGTCATGAATTCGCCCCGCCCGAAAACATTTTTCCTCTGACACTTTAAGATGAAGAACTTTATTTCCATCCTGTGGGTGGAATTTCACCATGGCAAAGGAGTTAAATTTCCTTATCGCAACCCCATGAAGTGGAGAGAGATGATATTACACCGAGAATATTCTCATCCAGAGCTCAGCAATGATTTTAATAAAGTGTCTTCCTTTCGCTTTTTTTGACCTTGTTTCCCGAAAACTTTAATGCTTCATGCCTCGTTTACTCCCCGCATACGTGGTGTCACCTCGCATCCACGCTTAAGATCACTCTCAAGACACTCTCGCGAGGTGAAATTTAAGGGCTTCTATCGAGCAATCTTCTACTGCAACACTCAAATTGACTCAACTTTGCTAAGTGGATGCTAATGCGAGATTTATTGCCTTTCGCGCAATCACGCAAAAACTTACTTCTGACTTTCATTCCACCGTGTTTTTGTCAGTTATTTATCAACTTTTTCCATCCACTTCCTCGTCCGATTTATTGGAATATTTTCGAAAAAAGCTGATAAAATGTTTTTGCGCTAAATTACTTGTGCTTTCTTCTGGTGCATGCAAATGCGTGGCAAAGATGGGAAAATTACCTGTGCGCATATTTAGCATAAAATTGCATTTTAAAGAGATTTGCCAAATATTTGCAAAACTCTGATCAAACACCGCGCAAGTGTGGTTTTTAGCATAGTTTTCGCTGATGTAGTTTCGTGATGATTGCCTTGCAAACGTGTTTATGATTAATAGACGTTCCTTTGCGCACCCACAACACCTCTTCACTCCATAAACAGCCAAAGCTAATTCAATACAATATGCGGTTCGGGCGTGAAAAGTGACAAATTAGTGGCGTATAATTTTAATACACGCACAGCCGCAATTGCAGAATGGAAAACAGTGAATCATGCGGAAAATTTCACAAATATCGCACTGGAAAAGAGTTCTTTTTTTTTGTGTATTGTGGCGTTGGTGGAAAAAAAATCACACACGTGTTTGATATGTTCGCCTTTTTTTCCATCGCGTCTCGGCGTGGAACTTTTCCGGGGGGGGGGTGGAATGAAGTCACGTGGAGATGGTCGCGAGGAAAGGGGGATTCCGAAGCTGAAAATGTGCCAACAAATATACCGACATGCTCGTGGTGGTAAAAAATTGTATAATATTACAAAGGAGAGATTTTAAATGATTCCAATAAATCATGAATGAGCCTCAATATTAAATCCCATGCCCGGAGTGACTTTCACCACCCCTTTTTCTTTTCCACCTTCTGACGAAATTTCATCTTGGTCGAATGCTCAGAGCAACATTTATTAAATTCTTCTTAACGTTCTCCTTCCCGACGTCCAATCGATATAATTATTGCATCGTGCAGTCTTTTCCGCTTCACTATGTCTCTTTGGCATCCCTAAGAAGAATTGGGGAGACAAATTCAAAGAAAATTTCATCAAATTATCTTTGAGGAGGATAAAATTCATGTAAGCGAATTGAAAAGGGTTTTTTCCTCCGATGAGGAAAAACAGCTTGTGGTTTCTTGAAACAATGCAGCAATTTATATCACAGAGAGACGAATAATATGATAGATAGGGCAACAATTTTGCTTTCTACTTGACTCTCTTTCTGTGAAATAAGACAATGTGCATTTTAACCCTTTGGCGATGTGTGACACAAATGTGAAGAAGTATGCAATAAATGTCATGCAATTTCTTGTCTTTCTTCTATTTCCAAATTTTTGTGAGTCTATTTACCAACCAAAAATGCTTAGAAGAAATGCTCTATTTGAACACAACTGCAATCTTTTGGACTTGAAATGGGTTAAATGGCAAATAAAGAATGATCTCGAGTGGTTTTATTGGCGAAATGCATCCATAAAATGAAGTAGTTAATATTTAATAAATTGGCGACAGAGTTACATGATTCTCACAATTCCGGGACAATTTTTCATGCTTCCGTTGTCGGGGGTGGAAAAGCAATATTTCACCCTATGGCGTTGCCGTAACAGGGTGACCTCGCTATGACAAATTCATGCTTTTTGATAAATTGAGAAAAGCCGGGCGCAGAGAATTGCCATTATGCTCTCTTGATAGTGTGTGCGGTGCTCCTCTCCATTTCAATAAACATGCAGCTAAACAGTGTCTCACATTTCATGTGCTTTTTGGGGGTGTGTTTCCAGAGTCAAAGTGGCCGCAACCGCACAATAAACTGGAGCGAGTGCATCGGGTACAAGCACCCACAATTGACTTTCCTGTCGAGAGTTACATTCTGGTGGCTGACACCGCTTCTGTGGCGCGGCTGGTGGAAGCCACTGGAGCCGGAGGATTTGGGAAATTTGAGTGAAGAGGACACTTGTCGCTATCACTATGACAAATTCCTCCTCAACTGCCGCAGCTCGGCGTCCAGATCCTTGTGGCGTGCCTACATGCGGACGTACTGGCGAGAGACGGCGCTCGGCGGCGCTCTGAGGCTGCTCAGCGACGCCATGACGCTCGTGGGGCCGCTGGGCATCTCCCTGGTGGTGGAGTACGTGGCGCACGACCAGAGCCTGGCGGCGCAGAGTGCAGCCAACGCCACAGCTCACGTGAGCGTGAGTGATGACATCCACTTTGTCACTTGGCGTGACTTGGTGACGAACGGATGGTTCGTGGCGGTGGTGCTGCTGCTGGCGTCGCTGGCGCAGGGCACCCTCTCGCAGTCCTCCACCCACGTCATCAGCATGGTGGGAATCCACCTCAAAGCCGCCATTCAGGGGCTCATCTATCGCAAAACCCTCTCCCTCAGTCCGGCCTGCTTCCGCCACGCCGACTCCACCGCGGCGCCCGACCCAGAAGAGCACGCAGCAGATGGAGAGGCGCACAGCGAGACCGATGCGGGATCCATTACCAATTTGATGACGGAGGATGCGGAGAACATCATGTCATTCTTCTGGATCATTCACTACGTGTGGTCGATACCTCTGAAGGTAACACCGCCATTCGCTATCCATGCATGTCTTTCCATCATTATGCCACCCCAGAGCGAATCAAAGGGGGAGATAATATGATCACAAGTGGTGTACACTTCAGCGGAAGTTACTAGGAAGTGAAAGTGTTCAAAAACTTGCATTATTCCTTTCATGACTGCTTCTTTTACTCACAAATTATATCAATTCTTCGGATTTCTTTTGATTTTTGCATAGAAACAGTCATGAGAATCCTTTTTCTAGGTTATGTAACAAATCAAGAACAGATTTTGTCATACATTCGCATTCTAGAACATCAATTCTTGTGCTCAAGTGTGAAAATGCCAAAAAACATTGAAAATTATATTCAGGTTAAACATAACCTCAAAAATAGTCATTTGGACTTGGAAAATTGTTATTTGACTTCAATTGGCAATTTTGACTTCATTGGCAAACTATTATAGATGATTTTGTGATCTGGAAGATTTTTAAAAGGAACTTTCGAAGATCTTTTAGCTATATTTTGAGGTTATAGTCGGAAAAGATGACCAAAAAAGCGTTTTTAAATTAATTCTTTCAGAAATATCGAATAGAAACTTAAGACACTCATTCGATTGAAGTGTTAGGAAGTGGTGTACAGATTGAAGGCATATTATCTCCCCCTTGTAGCGAATTAATGAGGCACAATATCTAGGACAAGCGGACATGTGTACTTATTGACACAAGAGCAGCATTTTTTACGCAACAACCAACAAGAGAAAAAAACCACTCGAGGGTTAAAGAATATATCCTTGCACACTTCAAAACTCGTGTAATAACAATTTATCACGTGATAATGAATCACACTCACACCTACACATCTTTGGTTAATTTACATCCATAAGGAACGTAATAAATTCTCACAGTTTGAAAATTGGATGGCAAATTTGCATAGCGAAAGAAAAGTCCAATTATTTCATGAATGCGAGCGAGAGCACATGTGAGTCGTGGGAAAATGAGAGGGAAAAAAAGGGTGTTTTATTGCAATTTCTCTTGCAGATATCCATTGTAATTTATTTGCTATATTTGAAATTGGGCTGGAGCGCAGTATTCGGATCATTAATTTGTGTGGCTTTAATGACGCCGTTACAATTTATAATTGGAAAAATGATGTCAAAAAATGCGGAAAAAATGTCGGTAAGTGTATTACAACCTCATAACATTAGTCCCCCAATGTTTGCCAGGCTGTTGTTCTTGGCTACTTTTTTTCTCTCTCCTCCTCATTTTGATAATAACACTGCGAGGGTTTATCAAAAATGCAATTTTTAATTTTTGCAATATTATTTCCTTGTGCGGATATTTTGGCGCAGAGCGACTCGTCATAAATTAATACGCCATCAAATGGCAGACAATTCCTGCGATTGTGGGGGGGGGGAAATAAATCCATCTCAATTATTAATATCTCTCGAGACGTGTCTGAAATCCAATTTATCCTTTCAATTCGCCTCCAAGTTGCGCGTCGTAATTACATTTAATTGCGCTCCGAAATTACCAGTCAAAAATGACTATGAGCATTTTGCCAACGCAATTTCCAATAAAGTGCATTCTGATTTTCCGAGTTGTGGTGTTGGGAAGTTTGTTTTCAGGGCTAGAAGTGTGTTAGTTTAACGTATCTCAATCAAACTAATTAGAAAGTGCCCTGAGACTGTAAGTTTTGATTCAGCCATTCAAAGTTGCGGATGTTAAAATAAGGTTGGAGGCGAGGTTGGAGGGTTGCAAAAGCCAGATGAAAGCCAGAGTGAGAGTGGATTTCTTGCAAAAGCCCCAAAGGATCAATATTTTGCAGCGATTTCGTGCAAGGAGTTTCTCTTCAATTGGAGCTCTCTCACTCGCTCACTCAGTTTTTTTTCTTCTTTTTTTGGGGTATAACCAAGTGTAGTGAAAATTGGTTTAGCTTTTTTCCGCCTGGGAAACTTTTGCAAGAAAAATCAATATTTATTTCCATACTACGATGACGTGGCACAGTGAGGCACAAATGTGTTGCACAGCGAAACTATATTGGAGATTTGACGTGTGATTTCAGACTTCACGATGCACAACAGTGTATATAGAAGCTTTTCCAACTCGGGCAGAGGAATTTCTCTAGGGAAACTGGAGAAGTGGAAAAATTGTTTAAAACTTGGGCGACTTCCTGATGCTCTGCATAATGCAAATCATGATAGACAAGCCAGTGAATTGGAGAGTATTATCTGGCAAACTCTCACCAAAGTCCATGACTACCGATGTTTCAATCATTCCTGATCGAGTTAGAATGGGGAAAAGTTACACCACAACCAGCGATAGTGGCGAAAATTCTCACATAAAGTTGCCTAATAGCAGACGCTGAGGGACTTCTTCTGCCCAGAATACCTTCACCCTGAGGTGCTCAGTGCAATTAATCTCTCTCTCTCTGCCTTTCGTTGCAGCAATACACAGATGAGCGATTAAACAAATTGAATGAAATACTTTTGGGCATTCGGATAATAAAGCTGAATGCTTGGGTGGAAAGCTTCAAGGAACGCCTCCACGCTTGCCGTGAAAAGGAGTTAAGACCCATGAAATTGGACTGTGTCTACTGGACGGCACTGAGTAAGTTTAGGGAAAGTTTTCACCATCGAGATTCGAGGGGTGAATATGTGCTTCTCTCTGTGCAAGTTGGCAAATTTGATCAACGATCAACAATTGGTAATTAAGTGAAGAAATCCTGGTTTTATCCACGAAGAATTTGTCTAAAGGAGAGTCACAGTTATTCACCCCCTTAGAATATGTTTTCAATCCACCAACAGAAGACATTCTTTTCTTTTCACATATCCGAAGCCTTCCTCACTCATGTGGCGTCAATTCTCATTGCTTTTGTCACACTGGCCATTGCCACCGGCTATGAAGGTGATTTTTCATCGAGCCGAGTCTTTTCTGCCCTGGCGCTCTTCAATCAGCTCACCATTGCACTCTTTATCTTCCCCATAACCGTGCCCATTACCATTTCCGCCATCATAAGCACGAGACGCCTGGAGACTTTTATGGCCATGCCAGACGTTCACAAGGAGGTGGATGGGAGCCAAAATGTGGCACGTGTTCTCAGTCGTGGCGATAATTTGCTGGATATCTATGAAAATGAAGATCTCAGCGACACGGACGCGCCTGACAATGGTGCTCACGTGACGGAATGCCCGGCGGCGGGGGGCGCTCCCGGCCCCACGTCGGGCCACAGGGGCAAGTCGAAGCTGCGGAAGAGCAGCCTGAGTCTGTACAGTCAGCTGGAGCGCAACCGGGAGAGGCGAAAGGCTCCCGGCAAGGATTCAACTGCACCCGCTGAACAACCGCCCAGCATATCCGATTCAACAGTGCTCAGGATAACTAATGGGGTGTTCACATGGAACAAGAATCACTTAAATGCTATCAATTTGGCCATAGAGCATTTACAAGTGAATAAGGGTGAGTGGGGCGATTTATGTGTCGTTTTATTGTGTTTTTGCCCCACTACAACCCCATCCGGTATGGCATATATTTTTCAATTACGCCGCCCTTTCCACCCCATATTTACGACCAATAATGTATCATTAGACGTTTTGCTCCAATTTTCGGGCCGCTCAGCCACTATATATCGTGATGAAATGAAGATGTACGTCTTGTTATTGATTTATACCAGAGCATGGTCTAATAATTCTTCCGAATTTGATAGAATGACAAGCTCACCTCATCAATCTCGAGTTTGCTTAATTAATCTCACGTGCCCCTAATTTATTAGCTTCCAATTTGGCTGCTCACTGTATTACAAGGTTTCCCCTTTGTGTCTGCCTTGCAAATCACAGGGAGGGAAATGTGGGTAGGAAAATCAAAGTATGGTCAAAAAGAGACTTCAGCAATGCAATAAAAACATTCATTACTAATGATTTGCGTTGAGAACAAAGCAATAATTAATCTTTTTTAATATGAAAATATCCACTTTTTGTATGTTTCATCGCCAATATTTAATAATTTCGTGCGTGAAATATATTTCAATTAAATAATTCAATGGAATTGAGCGTTTTTGCCAAAAGTCGTTTTGCGAAAAATGGTCAATTATTGTAAAAAAAATATTTACGATTGATTTAAATATTTCATTGGCGTGGCAAATAGGTTTATTCTCTTCCTTCTAACTTTTTCCACAATCATAAACACATTTTTCTTCTGCATTATACTTTGTGTGCTTTGATTGCTTGTCTTATGAGTTGTTGACGGTCTTTTGTGCACTTGCAACATTGTGTACTGGCAAAACGACGCTTTTCTAAAGCTCGCGTATAAATCATTCAGAATGGCAGCGGAATTGTTGAGGAAAATCACCAGTGAAATTAACCAATATTTGGGTCAATTGCACAAAGCGGATAAATGTCCATCTCTTTCGCTTACAAAGCAAAAGAGGATAAGGACAATTGAAGGGATGTTAGGAGCTTTGCGCCTGGTCCTGACATTCCTCTGTGCATGTAGGAAGAAGGGGGAAATAATGTTTTTGCTAAGGGAAAATATATACTCAGCGTCGCTTTATCCTTCAGTAAATTTGTCTCTCAGTTAAATTTCCCATCAATCTTCACTGTTCGCATTTTAATTGTCCGCCAAGGAGGGAAAAACAGTCTGGAAAACAGTGGTGAGGTTCAAGGGCGAAGTGTGTAACGTCTGGCTAATACTTTAGCAAATGCTTTTAATTTGCGCAAAATGCTATTCTTCTGCCAAATTGCTCCGCACATTCGGCCAATTTCTCCCCAAATTGTACTTTGTCATGTTTGAAAATAATCTTACACACAAACCATTTAAATATTCATTGCTTTTGCACTGTTGAAAAGAGATCCCGCGTCGCTTCCACTCCTCTCCGTATTGTTTCATTAATGTGGATTATTCTTTATGCTTGGAAAACATTTCGCTCGACTACGGTTCATCTTGTATAAATTAAATTTCTCCTGGATTTTCCATGATGCTCATTAATTAAATTAATGAGAGTGTTTTCAATTTTAGTTCATTTGCCATTCTAATGCCGACGCGATGTGCGCCGCTTAGAGTGGATCCTATGCATACCAAATTAATCTTTCTGAGATATTGAGCGAAACCGCAAAACTTAAAACACACACACACACAGAGACTGAATCTTGCCTCTGAGAGAACTATATGGTGTATGTTTGGGCGTAAAGGGCAACAATTTTAAGATATGGATTATGAAAATTAGGGCTTTATTTGCTCATTTGTGTACATTTTGCTAAAGGATGTATTTCAGCGTATTTTATTGCGGACTTGTTTTAATGTCACACAAGAATGCCTCTTCCAGATGCTGTACAATCCATCCTATGGGTTTCTATGTTTGCATGTTCTTTGAGTAACCTGGGGATCTAACAGATATGCCGCTGCTTCGTGATTATTAACAAGTTTGCAGGTAATTTCTGTTTTTCCGGGATGGGCGTGGGAATTTAGGTGGGCTTTCTGGTGCTCTCGCCTTGCTCTATTCAAATATCGTGTGAAATTTATTAAATTTATGTAAATGTGTGTCTTGAAGTACAGGCGCCCTCGTGATGGTGGTTGGTCCCAGCGGCAGCGGAAAATCATCCCTGTTGGCCGCCCTGCTGCGCGAAATCCACCTCATTTCCGGATCACTCGCGTGGAACAGGTGAATGAAGCATTAAAATTCTAATTACATTCCTGCACGCACACACACACACACTTTTCCTCTCACGGGCGACTTTGCAGATTTGCCACGGTGGCATATGTGTCACAGACTTCGTGGGTGCTCAACACCTCAATAAGGGACAACATCCTGTTCGGCGAATCCTTCCGACCGAAGAGATACGACAAAGTTGTGGAGGCATGTGCCCTCAAACCGGACATTGAATTGATGCCGGAACAGGATTCAACCATAATTGGCGAACAGGGAATCAATTTGTCTGGCGGTCAGAGGCAACGAATTGCAATTGCACGAGCACTGTATTCCTCAGCCAATGTCGTCATCATGGTAAGGAGAAAACAATATAGTTGTGGAAGTCAAAGTTCAAGGAGTATCGGAATTTGATACATCCATTTAGATATAATCAAGTATACTTTGTTTCACAAAAATTTCCTAACCTAATAAACCTCAGCAGATCCTGTCGCTTCCCTTTTGGGTGGGAGTTTTTGGTTGAGAAAAGCTCTATTCTCCTCTAATTGCAAAACCTCTCGGCTCCCTATAATTCTGCGGTGGCTTTCAAGTCATATTACAGTACTTGAGGAGTTAATTGTACCGTCATGTAAAACTTTTCCTCAAATATTGCTCGCAAAGAGACACATTTTCTGGGGGAGGGAGCTGATGCGACTTGGGGGATGGAGCCCATTAAGAGATCTAATTTGTTATCTCACAGGATGATCCCTTCTCGGCATTGGACCATGAAGTTACGAAATTCGTTTTCGAGAATGGCATCAAGAAAATGCTCATTCGTCATAAGCGAACAACTATTCTGGTTACGCAGAATCTTCAGCTGATTCGTGGTGCTGATATGGTGAGGCGAAAATCGATATGACAAAGCACAAGACGCGCGGCAACTTTCACACATGAACGGCATAATTTAATTTCGCAGATAATTGCCATGGAGAATCACAGAGCACGCATTGTTGGCGCCCTGTCGGATATTATGAGGGATGATGCGGAATTGTACGAGGTGTGGCAGAAATCCTGGAGCTCGCAGGATCGTGTGTCGAGGTGCCTCTCCTAAATTCAATTCTCCGGCTCAAGCATATTTCAGATAAGTCCCTAATTAATTTTCAGCTCCGGCAAAACTGCACGGGAGCGTTGGAAGCTATTCAAAAATGTTGCCAAACTCGGATTGCAGAAGGTGAACTCCGATGACGGTGAAGTAACCATGGTGAGATAATTATGTATTTCCCGGGCAATTTTTGACAGGGGTCAGGATGAAGCTCCTCTGCGGTTGGAGGGAAAACTTTGGCGCTGATGGGGAAAAAACAACCCTCATAGAAGTTATTGAGAGCACCGGAAAAATCTCCATATAATTTTAAACCCGTATTTTATACTGTAGCGGACTTTTTCATTATGAAGAAAATATTATAACTCTCAAGGATGATGGTGAGAATTGTATATATGAATATAATTTATAGCATTTCAAATGCCAAGTATCCCATCGACGCCATTCATGACGCTCATGAATGCGTCTTTTTCTCCCCTCAAAGCGTGCACTCAAAAGCCAGAACGAATTACTTTCTTTCGCCAAAAGTATTTACCTTCTTTAATATCTCATGGGGTCTGTGAGTGGCATTATGCTGCATTTGTATGAAGTCGGTGTGTGTGTGTGTATTGAAATATGAGTGCAGAGATTTTCACCGCAAAATAACAATATTTACTCTCAGAGCGGATGAAAATCATTTTCTCCTATTTTTCTGTGTAAATACTCCTATTTCAATTGAGTTTTGTTGGGCACATAGAGCTGACTTTTCTTGTGGCTGGGAAATTGATTTATATATATATTGAAATTCAATGCAATTGCAGGATATTTGCAATAATCCGCTTTACTTTTCTTTCGATTCACTCTTGCCTGAAAGCAAATCTTCTCAAACTATGGGATGAATAACCCAGATCTTTACTCAGTGCTGAGCGAAATCAGTCGTAAAATTTCTCTACACACCTCCTAAATAAATTGTGGGGAATCAATTAATTTTTTGCTCCCGTTCGCCGCAGCGCAAGCTCAGCTACTTGCCTTCGAAATCACGTTCCAGCATCTACGGATCCAGTCTTCTGGCTCACGACATTCCGCTGCCAATCGATGAGTGCTACGGCGAAGAGGTGCAAATCCGCAGGCGACCGAGCAGGTGGATGAGCAGAGAACGCGCCGGAATGCTGAGGATAAAATCCCTACAGAGCGAGCCGAGCAGCAAATCCCGCAATCCCGTGAGCAGGAACATCTCCTCGCCGACGCGCCTCCAGAGTGAAAATCCAGTGACGGAAGGTGATGAATGTAGTACAAGCAAATTCTACAATCTCTTCAGGCGACTGTCTTCCCGCCGGAGCGCCAGGAATGCGATGCTGGCGACGCCGGAAGAGGAATTCACGCCAGGAAATCGTCTATCAAGCAGACATTGTCGCAAAGCGAGCACTTCCAATTCGATACAGTTGAGTATTGAGCCCCGAAATTGGGAAATTCCACAAGACAAACTTTGCCCCGAATCACGCATTTCTCTTTCACTATTCCGATAAATTCCATCAGTCGCAATTTAACCCTTGCATAGCGATGCTTAATGAATAAATCTTTAAGATTTATGTGATTTTTTTTTTGAGAAAATTCACAGGGAAATGTGACATTTTCCAGGGAAACTAAGTTATTTTAACATTCACAAATTGTGTTCATCACAATGTCTTCATAGAAAATATGAAAAGAATGGAAAGCATAAAATATTTGAGAAATTCGATCGAAAAATGTCAAAGAAACAATTTTGTACGTCAATATTTTCCTCTTATTTTTTGATGTTTGAACTATTCAGGAGAGAATTTAGGAAAATACTTTATGAAAATCCTTGTGAAAATAGGGAATATGAGCAGAAAGTCAGTTTTTTGTAGGCCATGTGTGACCTCAATTGCCGTGAAAGGGTTAAATGGTGATAATAGAGAGTGGAACAGCGCACTAAGTAGCTTCTTCAATTCCAACAGGAGCATCGAGGAGGAGGAGGAGGAGGCAGAACTTGCTGTTGAGTGCAGCGAGAGCTCAGGAAATGTGGCAAACTACGAGGAGGAGCGGAAATACGGGGAAATCCCCGTGCGGATCTACTGGCAATACCTGAAGGACTGCGGCCTGGGGGTGGTGGCGCTTTTTTGCCTAATTGCCCTCTCATGGCAGACCCTGAGGGTGCTCACGGATGTGTGGCTCCAGTCGTGGACCAACACCATCGATCTGACCGCCCAGGCGGACGTAAGCATTAGCATTACAAAAGGCCGAGCATATTTTCCGCAACTATAAGTATTTTGCCACACAAAACGCCTCTCCTGCGGAGGCTCTTTGTCCCACGGAAGGCCAGGGGTGGAGTCGCTTAAGGATGCCGAAGAAGTTTCATGGGCGAGAAGGGTCTTTGTTAAATTATGCATAACAGTCTGTCTGTAACAGGGTGTCTTGTGTAATCTTATTGCCGCACTCGGGCATTTTTCACCTCTCTTGCACGAGTTATTTACAGCCCAATGTTTGCGCGGAAATTGTTACTTCCCGGAGATTCAGGTGCATGAGATGAAATTTAATCAATTTAGAGAAGCGTCCTCTGCCAAGATACACTTCATTAGGCCTCTTGTCTTGGGAAATTAGATAAGATTCTAATCTGCTTGTGGGATGGAATTATGGAAAATCATAATCACTGCTGACACGCCGTGGAACTTTAGGCAGTGTCTCTCTGGGGGTGACTTTAAGGGACGCTCGGCTGCACCCTGAGGAATCCACAGAGTGTGTGCTCAATATGGCTTTTTCTTCCCTCCACACCAGACTCGCCACTACTTCAATATCTATGCCATTCTCTCGGGCGGATGTGTCCTGCTGTCGATGCTGTCGACGCCGATTGGACAATATGCTGGCCTTAGAGCACGTCGTAAAATTCATGCGAAACTACTTGATGCCATTCTCGGCAACTCTCTGCGATTCTTCCAGACGACACCGCTGGGTCGAATCATGAATCGATTCAGCAATGATATGGCCATAATTGATAAGGTCAGTATCGCCATTCAGCCAAACCAAACCCACTGACCCAATATCCTTGACTTGCCCTGAATCATTCTAGTCAAGGGGGAGATAATACAGTCAGAAGTGGTGTACAGCTCAGGCGGAAGTACGTAAGAAGTAGAAGTGTTGAAAACTCTACAATTTTCCATTCCTGAGTGCTTCTTTTACAGATTAATCGTTCGGATTCTCTGAATTTCCTTCGATTTTCACACAGAAACAAACGTAATAATCTTTTTCTAGGTTATGTAACGAATTAGGGAAAGATTTAGTAAGTAATTCTTATTTTAGCACCTAAATTCTGCTCGTCCTTGGCAGAATTAATCATTTGATCCTTTCATGCCGGGAAACAGTGCAAATTGCGCTAAGATTGAACATAACCTTAAACATGGTTATTTGGACTTGGAAAATGTCCATTTAGACAACTTTCTAGACAATTTTGACTGTGAATCAGCAATTTTCAGATCATTGGCAAATCATAAGAGATGTTTTTGCGATCTCCTGATTATATTTTTGAGGTTAAGATCAGAAAAAAATGTCCAAAAACAGCGGTTTCAAGTCAATTTTTATAGAAATTTCGAATGAAACCTCAAGAGATTCATAATAATTTGGGAATTTTCAGAAGTGTCAGGCAAATTTGGAAGTGTTTGGAAGTGTTGCACAGATTTTAGGCATACTATCTCCCCCTTGATTCCAGCCTTTCTACATATTGACAGAAGAACCTTTTACATTTCATACCTTTTCATATTTGGTCTCGTGCAGAAAATCGCTCCGACTAGCCAGCGTCTTTTGCAGTTTCTGCTCCTCTGCCTGTGTTCAATATTAATTAATTCCTTCATCTCGCCCTGGTTCCTGCTGCTCTCCCTGCCCATTTGCGCCATATACTATGGCGTTCAGCATTTCTACAGGAGCTCATCGAGGTAACTTTTCGCCCCCTCAGGCCTATATGTTTGCATAACTTTGCGATAGCATCAAATTTCTGCCCTGCTTTTCCATACCGAGAAATGATAAAATCATGCATGAATGGATCTTCTTTTCATTTAGAAAATTTCCCATTTGATTTCACATCACTTCACATCCTTTATGACACATATTGAGAGGAACATTTGCTAATTAGAACTTTGAAAAGTATCCATGATATATAATATGATAGAGCAAATTTTATACCAAGCTTTAAACTCACTTTCAGTCACACCAGAAAAAAAAATGTGCATAAATTGCTTGAACGTGTTAGAAAGATAGACTTTGGGTGTATTTTTAAACTTGAACTTTTCCCACAACTTGTATAAATATCGATTTGACGGCTTAAAATGATTCTCCTGAAAACTGTTAAAAAACTCTTGCGGCTGTTTTCGCAAAGTCTGTCGGGAAAGTTTGTCAATTTTTCACAGAATTAAGAAGAAACTCGTGGAGATAAACGATATATGATAATGTCGATTTTCTCATTATGGTTTCTGCATATATTTTCTCAGAAATTCACCTTCTTCTCTACACTTTGAGCATCCTTGCAAGAGCTATTAATGCAAATTTTCCGAACATCCATGCTTGGCATAGATATCGTAATTGATTATTGTGCTCTTGCACTTATACTTAACCCATTACTTCTCATCGCAATGCAGCAGAAATTGCTCATAGAAGTCATAATGAATGCAAATCGTGTGATTCCATTCAAGACGCCTTTTTAAAGCTCCGGTCATTATGAGGCTGGGTTGAAAAAGATTTCCCAATTGAAAGCGCTTTTTGCGGCATCAAAGCAAATGTGAAAGTGGATTAAGAGTTCATTTCATCGCATACATGTGCTGCTTGATTGGAGTTTTTTTATCACGAGTCGAGGCGGGGAGTGTTTTAAATGCTCCAGATAGCGATAGAGCACTTTCAGCTAATACAATTAACATTCTATGATATAGTGCAAGTTGATTTAAATACATAGACTTTGGTGTGATCCCAGAGAACTGCAGCGCATCGTGAACATCATGAGTTCGCCAATATTGTCCCACTTCACGGAAACAATTCAGGGTGTTGCGACAATTCGGGCGTACAATCAGGAAGCCCGCTTCATGGAGATTCTCTTCAGGCGAATGGAGGCCAACAATGTGGCGTTCGTAATTTTAAACACGAGCAATCGGTGGCTGGGAATAGCTCTGGTAAGTGTTTCCATTTGCCAGATAGACTAGGACCATTTTGACACCTTTTCCAGATACACGGCGCGCAAGTGGAAATTCGCGCCGTGCACGAGATCGAATGGGTATTGCCATTAATGAGGCGCTCGATGTGACAATGGTGTGCCGCCCGACCTTTTGACATTGAGTGTGTCGCAACGCTGAAAGACGGAAATTGTCCAGCGCGATGAGAATAATTGTGTTGGGCGTTTCACGCGCCCGTGCATTGATGGGCGAGAGGCACTCTTGTCACTATATATAGTGGAAAATTGTGACCCAGATGCTGGAGCGCGCTCTCATGAAGCCATTATTAATTTTTAGGACTATCTGGGCGGAATTATTGTCTTTCTCGCCATTGTGACCGCATTGTTTACGGCGCACATTTACGCGGAAACAACGCTCCCATCAATGGTGGGACTGGCCATTAACTACACCCTCCTGGTGCCGATCTATCTGAATTGGGTGGTGAAGCTGCTGGCCGACATGGAAATGTATGTCGGCGCTGTTGAGCGCATTGAATATTACATTAAAAGCGGAAGTCGCGAGTGTACAGATGTTTGTAAGTTATTGCATATTTTGTAGGATTTGGTTTGCGTGTGTGCAACAGTATTTTGTGGTGTTGTAGCATTATAATGCTTTTCAATGCATGTCTCGTCAATCAATACCCAATCTCTGCCATTATATATTGTCTCCTCTTTTGCCACTCAAATGCCATCTCCTCAATATCCCCCTGAAATATTCCATACAGCAAAGGCGAGCCGAAGAGCAAAAAGCCACACACACACACACTCTTTCCCAACTCTTTTTGGCAATGTTATAAAGGCAATCATATTATCTACCCGAATGTGGGACGCTTTTCTCCGTTGCCCCATGTATTTCGTCACATTATTAATATTTGCCCATTTCATGATTTGTCCTTTCATTTGCCCAGATAAGCCCGTTCCAATATCGTGGCCCCAGAGAGGCGACATTGTCTTTGAGAACGTCTCATGTCGCTATGGCAGTCTCGGGCAAGATATCATCGCAAATTTGTCTCTCAAGATTCCTGCCGGTCAAAGGGTAAGTTTCAATGCTTCTTCACTCTGTGTCACGTTTCATTTTCCTGTTCAAAGTGACGTGGTGAACTTTTTTTTGCACCGTTGTCATGTTGAAGAATCAGTTTCATGTGTGAGCTTTCATCTGGCTTTAAAGCTCTTGATGGCCGCTTAACATGCACTGACCGGAATGGAATTTTATGGCAATATATCTCACTCGAATGTGCCTCAGAGAGATGCCAGCAGTGAAAAAAGTATAAATTTTGATTATCTGGAAAAATCGGCGGATTTGGCAAAGCGTTGAGCGAAACTGCCAGAAGCAATTAAAAAGCACAACCCATCAAAAGCTCACAGTGTAATTTTGCGGCATATTTATTGGCCTTTCTGTGCGACCCCCTCAAATGATTACTCTTGCTGAGTGATTTTTCATTAAGTGTATCTCCCTTGCGGCAGATTGGAATCTGCGGCCGCAGCGGAAGTGGCAAGTCATCGCTGGCTCTGGCACTCTTTGGCGCCCTCACCACGAGCGGCGGACGCATATTGATCGACGATGTGAGCATAGCCGAAATCCACGTGGACGAATTGCGGTCACGCCTGTCGATAATCCCGCAGGATGTTGTCCTCTTCCGTGGCACCGTACGTGATAATTTGGACCCACGTGGCCACTTCAGCGACATGCAGTGCTGGAATTGTCTCGAGATGGCGCAGATTAAGCAGCTCATCCAGGCAAATCCGGCCGGATTAGACGCACAGGTGGAGGAGAATGGGTCGAATTACAGCGTGGGCCAGCGCCAGCTCTTCTGTCTGGCCAGAGCGGTGCTCCGGGGCTCGGTGTGTCTGATCCTGGACGAGGCCACGAGCGCCCTCGATCCCTTCACGGAGCGCACGCTGCTGCAGGCGGCCAACGACGCCTTCCACGGGCGCACCATCATCATGATCACCCACCGCCTCGCCACCCTGCTGACCTACGACCGCGTCATCGTGCTGGAGGCGGGCCGGGTGGCGGAGGAGGGCTGCCCCAAGGTGCTGAAGGAGACGCGCGGCAGCAAATTCGCCAGTATGCTCCAGAGCTCATATCACGAAAGCACATAATTTCATCTTTTCCTCCCGCACGACCCGCAGTAATCAGATTTGTGCCATAACTTCATTTGACTTAATATAAGGGATGCCGTCTCCTCCCGCATTAACGCACTCCCATGGGTTACCGAGTGAGAATAAACACGCCATGTCATTGGTGGATGTGGCGGCAGTCATATCCCAGGGATCAAAGGCATTTCCTCCAGAGTTTTATGTCCTCTCTCACTCTCTTGACAAATCGATTTTTTCCTTCGCCCACGCAGCAACTTTCTGGGCTGCGGAATTGAGATTCTATCACAGTCGCATGCAAATTAGATATTCAATGAATTATGAAAACATGGCAATGCGCCCAAATCGACCCCAATGGCGAGACAGTTGATAAAAGCTGAGGCAACTCGTTACCTAAAATTTCTAGCTCTAGAATATTCATAGTGCATGAGAGCTAATTGCAATAAAAGTTTCCAAGTTTCTCAACTCTATTTAGTCACTGGATGCTCGACAAATGAGAAATCCAATTATGTTAGAAGTTTTAGGCGCTCCAAAATTGCTATGATTGTCAATTGAAGCTGAAAGGGTTAAAATAAATATCATGAGTTTATAGCTTATTTGAAATTACTCAGACGTTTTTTTCTCTAGCCAAACAACAACTTTACTTGATCATGGCGAGAGCAGCCAAAGCGAGACGCGATTTGGGAGGGAAAACCACGAGGTCGTTTGCATGCTGTTGAAAGTCAAACAGATGAAGGGTATTTGGCATGAAAAAAAAAATGTAACAAACAGCAAATCCAATGGCATGAGGATACGTGTTGACTTTCCACCAACTCCACTCGTTTATTCACATCTCAAATATCATAACTCACGGTTTAATCGTTTCACCCTCCAGAATTCGTTGAATTAATAGACAGTGGAGGGATAAAAAAACGCCCCCTTCGTTTCCCCACAACATGCGTCGCAACATATCCACATAAATTTGAATTTAATCACTTTTGCATACAAAATTCATAAAGAAGCCCCCATTAAATGTTTTGTTTATGAAGAAACGTGTGCTTTCTCATGGGGAAATTGTCAATGTCGCACAGTGGGAGGGGGTGGCTCTATCAACAATTGTAATTGAGTTATAGGTTCAGAATGCGCGCGATGAAGGAAATGGGATTGAGTGGAAAATTGAATTGGCTGAAAGTGTGTTAAATGCACTTGAGGAAAATTGTTGAAAACATCGAGCATAAGCAACACTTTAATAATTGGAACAAATCACTAGACAATTAAATTCTCCCCTCTTCATGGGGGTGAGTTGGAAATGCTCTTGCTGCACGCAGCGAAAGGGGGGGAGGAGAAAACTATTGCGGAAGAAAAACCATTAAGCCAAAAGTGAGCTTTGTCAGATTAGATGTCCTGTGATTTATATGTTTGCCACATCTTTGCTTTTTGCAAGCATTTTCCCATGATTTCCGCGGACAACACATTCCAGAGGATGAAAAGATTAGTGCGCTGCTTGAGGGTGGGAAATGCTCGGGTGGTCTTTGTCTGTCTGCTTTTGTAATTTCCCCGGCAATAATCGTGTCACTTCCTCTTCGATATCACTTGCAGTAGCTGTGATGGCTCGGCAGAGTCGCCCCCCGAGGGTGAGGAAGTGAGAGCAAATGGGTAGAGCGAAACATGTGGATTCTTCAACCCCTCTTGTTTTACACAAACTTTAGTTGAGTAACTTTGGAGAGTGTTTTCGAATGAGGCAAAACTGCCGCCTAATACAAGAAGGGAAAATTGTACATTTGGAGGCAAATTCCTCCAACTTGTTAAAAGTATTGTTAAAATACTATTCCCAAACGGCCATTCCGGGGCGAAATGGCGTGTGTAGAGAGCACATTGCCCAATATCAATGGATTGTCTTGGCTATATATGACTGCGATTTGGAATTGTAATATGAAATCAATACTAGTCGGAAGACCCTTTTGCCTCTGCCTTTGCTTGTACACATGCTTTCTCTCACAAAATATATTTATACCGACTTGGAAGCGTTTTATATAAATGTTGTAGCTGAATTTACAACATTGGAATAACAATCGCACAATTTTAAGCCCATGGCTGAGATGCCAAGAGAGAAGGGCTTGCGATGTGGGGAGAGATGGTAATTTCTCGATGTGTTGATATGAGGGGAAGTGTGTACAATTTTCATAATTGTCTGAAATATAATTTTAATAATTCAATTTCAGACAATTTTCATAATTGCATACGGCGATTGCCGCTGAGAAGATGTCTCGTTGGTATAATATTCAAATTTGAGCGCCACTCAATAGGCACCCCTTGTTGTGGACTCTCTGTATCTATGCCCATTAAAGTATAAAATATACAGAGATTATTCTCATGGCACAGAGCAGCCTCTGCCACTCTGACTGTCGTCTTGGCGGGCGGGCGGGGGGAATAAGAGCAGGATTTATTAGCCAGAGGGTGAGACGCATTTTAAAATGCTCCCCACATTCGCACATATGCAAGCGGAGGAGCCAATATACACTCCGCAACTTGAAATGCAGGGCACTTGCAGACGTGGCCGGAATATGGCAAGGGTGCCATGATAAATTGTGGCTGTGGGTGGTGATAATTACAAGTAAATTTTCTTGTCAATTTGGATTCCTGCGGAGTTTCAACTTCATTAATCATACACGTGAAGTGCTCCATGTGAAGCACACGCACTTAATTTATCAATATCAGATACGAAATGGTGGCAATTCTATTAAGACCGATGATGCCATATTTTTTGCAGATGAGTTTCGTGTCTCTCACGAATGCCTTTAAGATGTTTGCATCTGAACAGCACTTCCTGACACTTCCGCACTTTCTGTGCAGAATCTTCGACACTTCACACATTTTTCCATCGCTTTTTGGACTCTTTCAACTGTTTTTCACACTTATTATTGATTTTTCACAATTTAATCTAAGTTTTAACTTCAGAAAATGCTTTGAAAAAATTCTGATCAAATTGTGAGGTTATGAATTCGGCTTGAAAATCCTTTTTGAACTAATGAGGTTGAATTTGGTATAAAATAACTAAACAAAGAAATATTTTTCTAGACTGAAATGTGATTTTTTGAGGTTATGTTTGACTTTTAAGCTTTTTCTCAATCAATTTGAAGTTTTTTCGATCAAAAAAGCTTAAATCTGCCCAGAAAATGAGAAATATTTGGAGTTTGAAGCTAAATTTTATGATTTTGAGGGTCTTTAAGCACTAGAATCTGTTTAAAATTTGGTTTTAAATCAATAACATAACCTAAAAAACAATAAAATTAATTATTTTAAGCAAAATTTATTAAGAAATGCTTCAATTTGCTGAAACAGAAACTATTGAAAAGCAAATATTCTTAATATTTTACCACTTTTAATTCCAAACACTTCCACGAAAGCTGTACACCACTTCCGACCATAATATCAGCCCCTTGGTTGTTTATCATTCAAGTAGCTCATGTAAAAATCATGTTACTCAACTTTCTGCTCATTAGGCACTTTGCTCTTTGATTCTTGGAAGCTGATCAAATCTCTGATTATTGCCACGATTTAGAAATTAATTTAAAGGATTTATTTAATTGCCTAATTGGATTACTGTTTGTGCGGTTCTATTAGAATTTCAAAGGCATCTCCGGTTCTCCCCATCGCATCAGAGACTCTGTCGAGAATTATGGCCACGAGCAATTGCAAGATGTGAGCAGAAGATGGAATTCTTGCAGCGTGAGACAATCTTGTGTCCAATATTCTGGCACTTCCTTCTTGTGAACCCAATTGGCCATTTGGAATAATTTTAATAGCCTCGCCATGGCATTTTGTGATTGACTAAATAGGTCCAATTAAATTAATTCAGAATTGATATCTAAGGGAAATTTTATTGCTTCGCCCTCGCTTCCACGTCTCTCGGGGAAATTGATATGAAAATGATCCGGTGAAGGGGGGAAAGTGGAGAAAAAGTTGATGATGTGGTGCTCAGCAAAAGACATAATTCGATAGGGGGGTGGAGTAGAGTCTTCCGGGGTGGAAAAAGTGTCCACATGATATTTTTGGCTTCAGCAAATTTTGGGGCAACAGTCTGTGGATTTTGCTAGTTTCTAATTAGCTGGACAATACCAATGGCATAATTTCATTATCAGAAGGGTTCTCCGGCCACACTCACAAGTGTAATATTGTATTTAACCCTATCTTGTGCGTAGCAGGAGTATAATTTAATATACAACAACATTTATCGACTTAATTATGAAAGTCTTCATATGAAAATGCTGCTAATGTTGCAAATTACGTTATAAGGTAGCCGATGTGACTTGAATAGGATCATAACGGCGCGTCCTCCACTTGAATAGCATTATTTATGTTTCGGGGGGATGTATAAATAAATGAGGGCGTACTTTCGACAATTGACCAATATTTAATTATCGTGAATGTCAGGGGATATTATTGACTAACGTACACTTAATGTGGAATGAATGGTGGAATAAATTGAATAAATCGTTAATAAAATATTTAATTATGTACTTAAGAATGGGATTTTGCCTGTGTCGGCAATCTCACCCGGGATGCGGCGCTTATTGAGCGCGCCTTTCCCGTCGGAAAATGGCTTTTGTTTCCCTCCCATATTATCTACCCTCCGCGAATATATAGCTAATAAATTCGAGTATGAATTTTTCTCACCCATAACACCATCAGCCCGACCATCCCCACTCGCCATGTACTCCACACACACACGCGCGCGGAGGGGATGATTAAATGCTCACCACTTCCTTTGCCTGCCAGATGAGGGAAAAGCGCCCGGTTGGGTGCGTGTTGGGAAAAATTTTAGCTATTCCAGAAGTTCAGATGGTGGTGTCATATTTTATTGGTGCGTAACCAAGAGAAAATTGCCATCATCTGTGTGCTGTTGCGTATATTTTCCCGTAAATAAGCAACATCATCAGAATACATTTCGTCTAGTCGATTCCGCCACTTCTTGGGCCATAAACCATGTATTATGTGGGGCGCAGAGAAGAAAAAAAGCCGCACCATTGCAAATAAATAGCCACCTTGTGGTAATGAATGTAATATTCCTTCCTAACATAATCCCGACACTTCCGCTTTATTTGCATAGCCGCGATGTCCTTGCCAAAGGAGCGCCCAATCGCTGGAATTTTCACTGTTTTTTCACCACTCACCAACGACGAGCCATTGGCCACGAGGAGACCATCAACTGTGGGGAAATTTAATTAAAAAAGAAGAAACTTTTACTGCCGCGACGATCTTGCCTTGCAAGAATTACACACATTTTCACTGTATTTAAAAACTTTATATTGTCACTCTCTGGGAAGTGTTGGGAGACTTTTTCGCGCAAATATGGTCAAATAGAGGCGAGACTTTTCCGACAAAGCAACTTAAAATAAGTACAAATTTAATTGGAAAGCTTTTTTGGTGAACTCAGCTCGAAATAATCGATACAACAATGTATATTGTGTGATAATTACAAAAGTTCTTTTTTTATCGCGTGGGTTAAATAGCAATTTCTGTTGAGTAAATTCCACATAGAAATTATGTTTGAACAACTGGTGGAATGTCACTTATTTGGACACATAAATGTGTGTGGAAATAGTAAACTGTTAATGTACAAAAAGAAAAACAATTTAGAGAAATGATATTGTGTACACAATTTTGCTGTGCTTTGTAAGGTTGTTGATAAAATACATTGGAAATTGTTTGGTTGCCACAAAATTAGTGTAGCATAAAATTGAAAATAATTTCATTACTCCATAATTCATCATTTTACCACTAACATTAATCAAAAAGCGCATTAAATAAATTAATAGAATCATTAGGTTTACCGTGAGTTAATTTGTAGTGTAATGAATTGAATTTTTCACACGCTTCTGAATGGAAAAAAAACATCGCTCAGGGGAAATGGCAATGAAAAATTGCAGTGTGGGATTTCCTCATGAGTTGATCACAAGAGAGATTGAGAGAGAGAGGAAGTTCGTCTCCTTGGGATTAAACACCGTTTCCGCTTGATTCACTCCCATCGCAGTGCAATCTCGTGACACATATCTTGCGTTTGCTTTTCTTCAAAAAGAAAAAAAATTTCACAATGACCTAAACAGAATTGCTTTTATCTCCACGCTCGACGCATTATCAGACACCTTAAAAGTTTTCATGCTCTTGTGTGTGCGATAAGATCAGAATTCGGTGCAGAAAAGACTCGCTCAAGACTTGCGGGTATTGTCAATTGAGCATATTCGTGGGCGTGTGTGCGACGAGAGGCACTGCCGACGGTGTGTGTGAGTGGAAGTGAGATGCGCTGAGATCTCTAGAACACTTTTAATTAACGTAAAATGAAGACAGGTGTAAATTGATATAGCACTTGCAATGGTCGGGCTTTGAGCGTACACAGAACGGAGTCACGAATTGAGTGGCTGTCGAGAGTGCTCCGTGAAAGCATCTCGGGTCTTTTGGTGTGCTCAGGGGTGAATCTTCCTCTGCTTCCCTATCGGATTACGTGCGGCTGATCCACATGCGGCTCCCTGGGGATGTATTGACATAGACGCAGAGATACCCTTCGAATGTGTGATACGATATTTATATATTTTCAAAGTGATAAAAAGAAGAAGAATAAGTATCGGAGGCGATAAGAAGGCGACACAGTCACCTGCAGGTTGGGTGGAAAACACGAAAGACATTCACTTCTCGGCGTCAATTGGAAAAGAGCGGTGTATTTTCACCTCACAGTGACTTATAGACGGTGTTTCGTGAGGGATTTCCCAGTGCGAAGTGCGGCGCTTCAGACATTTGATATTATATAGTGACATTCCCGGCTTGTCTTTTTTTCCATTGGTGAAAAATGCCATGTTTCTTTCGATTCAAGAGCTCCAAAGGATATGATCTGCCCCAGGTGAATCCCCAGGTGAGAGTCTGTCAATTGCCAAATATCGGGATGGAATTCAGTGCGCGCCTTCGAGTGGAAATGAAATTATCTCCATTTATCTCAATAGACGTGTAATCGCTGGCCAGGGTCTTATCAAAAGAGACCACTTCCATTGAACGGTAGATTATATCCTGATAACATATTAATGAATAATAAAATTCAATTCAATATATTGACTTTTGTAATCAACATTGTGTTTGGCATTCCGATGTCAATTCAACCTTGTATAGTTTTTCCTGCTCTATCGCGCGCGCGATTGGCAATGTTGGAGGAATGTCTTGTGCTTAATGTAGCATTTCTTCCTTTCTTTCTCTTTTCAATTAGCAGCAAAATGGCAATCGTGAGAAGCCAATTGAACGAATTAAATCCTTTCTACCGTCACAAAACCCCATTCTGCCACCCGAACAGGTGAGTATTTAATGTCTTGTGCAGTATTTCACTCTCAAAATGAATTCTCTCCCAATTTGTAGCTAGAAAAGACATTTCTTGCCACTGGATTGAAAATACCGTGAATTCTTTTTGCACCTGAATCTTCCAAGAGAAATCTTAAAGAAAAAGCAGTACAATATGATGTTTTTCTTTGCCATTATAATCGCTGTGTGCTGACGTGAGAGAATTTTCGCTGACATCTAAAAAGGCACCTTCCTTTTGGAACTAATTAAATTTTAAAGTAAAGAACTTTTGAGTCAAAGTCACTCGAGTAATTAATTCAATGTCAATGATGTCAATACAAGACAGTGACGAAGATTTTTATTGAATGCTGTAATGTTTACGCGCCTCACAAGAGATTCCAATTCAACACGGCGTATGGAAAATGATACAAATTAAATATTTTCCCCCCTGAATTGAGTGCGCGAAGTGTGTGTTATTCAGAGGTGTTTTCTGTATATTGTTCACACCAGTTGTAATTGCTTTTTTATCAGCCTCTCTGATGGTGTTTTCTGGGGAGAAAAGATGAAAAGATTGATTTGATCGCATTCTGCGAAATGTCGACACTTCTTGAAGTGCGCAAGCATGACAAAAGAAATGTTATATCAATTTGATAAGGGCATTTTATGGCTTTATCTGAGGTTCCCAGAATCTGAGTAGAGAAACCTTAAATCACACTCACTTTAGATGGATTTCCAGAGCACATAGTGTTCATTACGGCTCCTTCGGGAGCGATAAATCCTCGCCCATTCGTCACCCCGTGAAGGCATTGTTTGGCATGTGCTATTTGGAAAGGAGCAATAAAACTAACTTGAACTTGAACGCAGCAAATAAGGTCATAAAACACTTAATACCCCCTTTTATCGCGACACTTCGTTGCAGCCGCAGGCCAGCAGCAGCCGAGATGACCGCAACCGGCATAACTTGACCACAATTATGGTGAATGGCGTGACAGCGGAGCGCGATGAGGCGAAGAGGAGCCCGGAGGAGGACAAACCGCCAATGCCCCCGCTCGCGGTGTCTCCGCAGATCACGGCCAAGACCAAACACCCCAAGAGGCCTGTGACGTCAATTAAGAAGCACGCCCCGACGCCGCCGCGCAACGAGCTGCGGGTGGAGGATTCGGGGGTGAAAGTTGGGGGTGAAGCACCTGAGAGACACGTCGTCTCGCTTCAGGTGAGTGATGCGACGCAGAGCGAAGGGAGTGTCGCAGAGAGCAAGAGCGAGGCGCCCGCTGGGACGCCGGAGATTCCCATGAACGGGGACCGGTCGTCCACCTCCACCACGGGCACTGAGGGACAGTCGACGGGGCGGAAGAGTTCACAGAAGTCCAGCGAAGGGGTGAAGCCCAAGGCGAAGAAGCGCTCGGGCGTGGACGGAGGCAAGTTTGAGCTGAAGGATGTGCAAATTGAGCCCTACCCGAAGGACCAGAAGACCCTGGACACCCTCAAGGAGGCCGTAATGGCTAATGACTTTCTGAAGAACATTATGGATACGGAGCGATTAGACCTGATTGTCAATTGCATGGTGCCGGGCAGCTCGAAGGAGGGCACATTTATCATCACCGAGGGCGACATTGGCTTCTACCTCTACATTTCCGGCGAGGGCGCTTACGAGGTGCTGAAGGGCGGCAAGGCGATCAGCTCCTTCGGCACGGGAGTGGTGTTCGGCGAGCTGGCGATCCTGTACAAGGCCAAGAGGTTCGCCTCCATTCGCGCCACGACAGACGTCCAGTACTGGATGCTGGACCGCCAAGTGTTCCAGAAGATCATGATAGAGACTGGGCGGAAGGAGCAGGACGACAATATGCGCTTCCTCAGCTCAGTGTCCATCTTCCGTGACACTTCGAAGCCGATTCTGCACAAGATATCGGATCTGCTCCGCCGCGAGTTCTACAAGACGGGCTCATACATCATCCAGCAGGGCGAGAGAGGTGATAAATTCTACATCATTCGGGGCGGAACAGTGACCGTGACGAAGAGGGACGCCGAGGGGCGCTCAGTGAAGGTGGGCGTCCTCAAGAGGGGCGACTACTTTGGCGAGAAAGCCCTGCTCACCGAGGAGAGACGCCTCGCGAGCATCATCGCCAATGATCCGGGCACAGAGTGTCTGGCGCTGGACAAGGACTCCTTCCTCAATTACATCGGACCCGTGGAGAGTCTGCAGAAGACCTCCCAAGTCACGGAGCCCATCATACCGGCGACAACAGTGGTGAAGACAGGTGAGAAACCCGTGCACAATGATATGAATGATATGCGTTCTGTCACAGGGAAATTCTGATGTAAAAATTCTATCGGGAGATTTTTTTCCGTCTATTGTGCTCTATTCAAACACTTCCGGCCATTCGGAGGGGAGAAAAGGAGCACTTTAAACATTTCGGAAGCGATGTGAGAGCACTTTCGAAACTTTTTGCTCTCCGGGGGGGAGTCGTGACAATGTGGGCGGGCAGTGGATGAAAAGGAAAGTTACTTTATGGATTCTCTGAATCACACTATGTGTTGGAGCCAATTGATGATTTTGAGGAATTAATAGGAGTGCGAGGAAACTTCTCACTGGAGTAATTCTTTTCTGCATTTTCCAAGTTTCACAATTGTGGAGGAAGAAAAAATGTATAACGACTCTCGCCCTTTACATGAGCAAAAATCAACATGTACTCTTTGCTAAAGAAAACGAAGTTGCAGAAGAATTATGTCTTCCCGGATAGTTTTATGCAATTTCTTCATATCTGGGTTAAAAGTTGCGGGGAGAACAGTGAATTCTAATTGTGGAGCATTTGCAGCAAAAAGCACATCTCTCTCGCTCGCAGAGTGGTTGTCTTCTGTGTGAAAAATGATTGTCACTTAAGTCCTATTTCATATTTCTCTCGACCTTTTCTCTCCCTCAGAGTTCAGCCACATCAGGCTGGATGAGCTGGAGCTGGTGGGAACGCTGGGAGTTGGCGGATTCGGGCGTGTGGAGTTGGTTCAGTATCGCAATAAGGAGAGCTTTGCCCTCAAGTATCTCAAGAAAATCGATATGGTGCAGCAGCAGCAGCAGGAGCACGTCTACAATGAGAAGAACATCATGGCACAGTGCAATTGTGAATTCATCATCAAGCTCTTCGCCACGTTTAAGGACAACAAGTACCTCTACTTCCTCATGGAGCCCTGCCTGGGTGGCGACATTTGGGGATTGCTGCAGAAGCACCGTCGATTCGACGAGAAGGTCAGCAGATTCTTCACGGCGTGCGTCGTGGCGGCCTTTGAGTACCTGCACACGCGAAACATCGTGTACAGAGACCTGAAGCCGGAGAATTTGATGCTAGACTCTAAGGGTTATGTTAAGTTAATTGACTTCGGCTTCGCCAAGATCCTCGGTCACGCGCAGAAGACGTGGACTTTCGCCGGAACGCCCGAGTACGTGGCGCCGGAGATCATCCTGAACAAGGGACACGACAGAGCCGTGGATTACTGGGCGTTGGGCATCTTCATCCACGAGCTGCTCGTGGGGAAGCCACCGTTCCGGGCGAAGGACCACCTGAAGACTTACACACTGATCCTGCGCGGCATCGAATCCGTGGACATGTCGAGCCACATCCCGAAGAAGGCCCAGGACGTGATCAAGAAGCTCTGCCGCCAAATGCCGCTGGCCAGGCTGGGCTATCAGAAGCAGGGCATCGCGGACATCAAGAGCCACGCCTGGTTCGCGAAGTTCGACTGGGAGAAGCTGCGCAACAAGGCCATGGTGGCGCCGCTGATCCAGCCCGTGCGCAACGTGACGGATCTGACCAACTTCGACGACTGCCCGTCGGATCGCGATGAGCCGCAGGATGAGACGTCCGGCTGGGACAGAGACTTCTAATCTTGATCCCCCCTGCAGTCATTCCGAGGCATGCGTTGCTGATAAGGCGCGCTCGCGTGTGAATGCTCTTTTACATCATTGATTCCCTTATCGATATAGCAAATTAGTATTTAATCAATGGCATTATGTATCTATATGGATTTGATACAATGACGCAATCACACAAGCTTGTTTTGTAAAACACCCATGGATTTGTCAATTTGCAAAGATTGTGTGCCATAAGAGGAAAATTCCCATCGCCATCAAGATGGCGGACATTTGCCGGGCGCTGAAAATCCCATAAAAATGAGTAAATGATGTGCGACTGAATCAAGAGAAGTGCGAGTGTTTATTGGACTGAATTAAATGAACATGAATCATTCCCATTAGACTCCGTGTTTTGGCATTAAGTGTTTTATTTTCAATCGACGTCAAGCCTAATTGGAAATCAATAATGTCCGATAAGGCAAAACGATTTGATCGATTTATATTAAGCTTTTCAACTTGTGGATTAGCATCGACTGGGTTAACTTTACCAGTTAGCAATATGATATTTTTATCCGCAAAAATTTTGAGTTTCTTCTATTGATTTTTCTGTCTCATTTTATATTCACTCCCAGTGAAATTCGAGAAAAGTGCCCCAAAAGGATTCGTGTATGGTGTTTGGAATATGGCATATTCCTATACAATACGGTGAAAAATGCAGAGATTTGTAAAATGTTGATAAAATTGAGAAATCCGATATGAATTCTCATGCGAAGATGTGAAACTCCTTTTGCCAATATCCATCTTTGTCATATACTTTTAACACCGCACTTTTTCATCACACACCTCTTCACGATTCTAATGCTCTCACGTCATATGGAAAAGTTTTCAACCACGACATGATGTCATAATACGTACGAGGACACAAAATATAGAAAATTCATAATAAATGGGACGATTGTTGTACGTGTTTGCCGTTGCTGAAGGATCAGGTGTAAAATGCGGGTGAATATGTAAATTTCTCCTCAAGTGATTGTGTACTGCGAAATGGAAAATCTGTGTTAAATCTCCCCAAAAAGCCTCCCAATATGATGAAATCATGCATTGCATGTCAATAGCTTGCCACTATATTTGCCTCCTAACGCGCGGAAAATGCGAAAATGATATAAAAATAGGGGAGTGAATGCGAAAAGTGCTCAATAACCACATTTTCATTCAATAACTTACTTCTCTACACCGTTCTTTTCTCCTCTCCATACGTTCTTGCCTTTTGAGAAAGTCGGAGTTATTCCAGCGAAACAATCATCCTGAGCAATCAGCTCCGGAATTAGTCCACAATGGCTATTTAGCTCACACACGAACTCTGGCGCCCTCACTTAGGTAGATATGTTATAGTGCGGCTCTTAATCTTAATAGTCCCCAAAGGAGCTCTCGCATCCGGGCGGAAGATGCAGAAGCCCGCAGCCATTAAAAAGTCCGGGTCGGAGGTAATGACAGTGGATATCTATGTACATAATCTAAAGAGTTGAACTTTAAGCTCGGGCCTTGCGTCCAACTTAATCGTTGCGAAATGTTGATTCTTGTTAACAATAAGAAGTGTGTGTCGAGGGATTGTTGTCCTGCATGGGGAGAAGTTAAACAAAACTCTGTGTGTGTGTGTGTGTGTGTGGGAGATTTAGGGCCAATAATGTGGTACATAGTTTGGGGAAATGCATTGAATTCATGTGCTGAGCTTCGGCATGTTTTTCCAGCCCTCACACTTTCGATGTAATTTGCCATGCATTGAATTTATTGAGATTTATCCGCCCACACTCTCAAAACTAACGCCTTCGTTTGCTATTTACCACCCGAATCGCCCTGAAATCACTCTGCTTGACTAATAGATGGGCCATGTTTTGTTGGTCATCGAATGCAAGGCGGCTTTCGGAACATTCTGCTTATGTTTTGTTCGACATTGCAAGGCTGGTGTGTTGTTGTGTGTCTTGTTGTGCCACGAAGTGGGCTTTCCGGACAGTTAAGTTGAGAAAAATTCCACTAAACGCTTTGATTAAGCAAACGCAGGATTGCGCGCTAAGTAAATTTGAGACACATTGTTGTTCCTTGCAAGATGCAACGCTTTAAGAGTGTGCACAAAACCAATTAAAACTCTTCAACTTCTTTAAAGTTTTCTGCGACTTGTCGGAAAGGGTTTTCCTTATGACACTTCAAACGTCGTGCACTTGTATTCATGAGAAGTAATTGTTACTGCAAATATCTCAAGTGTGTGATGAGGAAAGTTTCACGTAAAATGTTGATGGAGTTGAGGTTCCAATAGAATTTTCGATTGCGATATTTGCATTTGCTATCAGTGTAATATCGTTGCACAGGATCCCATTTAATGGGTGAAAGTCATCGAGGCAGGAGCGCTCCAAAGCGCCAGTGTGCAACTTTAGTTTCGATTTGTGGTATTCGCTCACGGAGAGAACTTTGTCCCATTTCGGAAACTTGAGTCTCGCTCCTTTTGGCAATGCGCTGAGGAAAGTTGGGTCTGTCGTGCACAGTTTCGCTATGATATCCAACATGATACACTATGTCTTGAATTTTTTATCAAAGTGTGCTGAGTTGCAAAGTCTTTCTCGTCTAATATTTTCCGGTGTAGTCTTGGAGATAAACACTAATAGGCACGTTGTTAATTTTGCAAGGGCTTTTCCGCTCAGCGCGACGGGGCGGAATACAGCGGAAATTTTTCACTGGGAAGAAGTTACGAAGGCGGTTTTCCTTCAGGTGAACTCTAGACTAATTTGTAAAACTCACTTAAGTGAATAATACAACTTCCCAAGTGGCAAAATATTCCCGGAAAAACATGTCGGAAAACATTCATTATTTTGAGAAGCAGGTGTGTCGAAAATGATTTGTGTTGAATCAAACGATGATGAAAGTGTGATTGAGAAAGTTTTTAATTACAAATAATAGAGCAATTCCCACTCAAATTGGGGAATTTTAAACTTCAAAACGAGTAAAAGTTTAACATTTTAAATTAATAAGGAAAAAACAGAGCTTGCTATTCTTGCTAAAACAATGTTTTATGTTCACGCTTAAAAATTTTAAACCTTTGCCACTTGAAGCCTTACCTATGTGACTCAGAATAGCAAAGACTGTTTGATAACACATTTTTAACATTCCTTGTTTAAGTGAGAATCGCTCAGTAACATGTGTTGGAGAACTATAAATTGTGAGACAAATTTATCAATTTGATCTTATAGAAATTGCCACTTTTTCTTATTGGGAGTCGATAAACTCCTGATACTCTGGTTACAAGTATTTCAATAAATTCCCATCACTCGGTGTTCTTCGTGAGCCTGGTGTTCTCCTCGCCATGGCCTCCAGACGCCTGGCTGAATCTGTGCGGAGCATTCGCGATGCTGCTGAGAACATGTCGCACGCCGGGCATGTTTCGCTCCGTCCACGACGCCGTGCGGTTGCCTTCCGGAATCGTGGGCATCGAGCCGGCTAGTGGGTCGCCGCCGATGGTGGTGGTGCTGGGCGGAGCCGCGCTGGGGCGCCTCAGCGAGTCTCCGCGCGTGGAGCGCGACAGCGAGCGCAGGCGGTTGAGTCTGAAGGAGCCGCGTGACTGCGGACTGGCGCTGCGGTCCAGCAGCGACGTGACTAATTTATCCAGCGTCACGAGGTCCGTCTGGCCAATTGTCTTGGATCCGCTCACGCCGGCCGCGACACTTCCGCTGCCGCTGCTCGCAGTGGGAGTCGCGCCCGCGGGGAGTGCCAGACTGTGCGGAAGCTGCAATAAAAATAAATTGTTAGCGGCGAAAAAGGACCGGATATTCTTGGCTGAGCCCTTTCTTCATCTTGCCCGGAGATTAAATTATATTTCATGGGTAGAAGGAAGTGGAAATTTATGCAGACATCGGCCAAAATTACACTATTCCCTCCTATATATGTGTCTCCCCATAAAACTCAACCGAATCGCCTTCTTGCAGTATTCAGAAGCATAAGCAAGTGTATTTTTATGCTCTGCCTCGGAATTGAATTGTATCTCTCACATTGAGAGTTGCTTTCTTGGCTCTTTTCGAATTCAACTGTGGTGGCTTTGAGTCAGGTAGACGGCCAGAATGCAGTAAGTTGAATGATCTACTCTACTGCCGGCGATGAAAACATCAAAAATTCCACTTCAAAGTGGGTATAATATCACTTTCCCACAAACCCCAAAAGCTTCTCAAGAGCTCAGCAAAGCTTACCAGACTTTCAACTGGTTTCCACACACACACATTTTCCCAACTCTTGAGAAATTAATATGACTTTAATTGGAGCAGTGCTTGTGCTGGGAAATACTTCTGGTGGTGTAGTGAAGGCATTCTGAACTTTTGAACCAAACTAATGAATTCCTTGTCCAGTTTGAGAGACACACACATGGCAGGTCCGGAGAATGACGCTGTTTTCGCATTTTCCACTCCTAATTTATTAAGTGCACTTTCCTGTTCTTCCGCCAATGCCAGCCGAGCAACAAGGCTAGGAGAATATTATTTTTGGAATGTCTCTCAAACAGACGCTGTGAAAGGACTTTGTGGCAGGAAAAAAGTTGTGTGAGGCCGGGAAAAAAATTTTCTCAGGCGATCCAGTGGGGAAAAAAACAACTTCTTCGAGTGGGTGGTGATGGAGGGAGAAAAAAGGGACGATTTACCTCGTCTGCTGCATTGCTGGAGTAGCTCATCCTCTTCACTTTCCTGAATGTGTCATCGTCGACGGCTTCCTTGAGCGCCCGCTCCAGGACTGTTCCAAGTTTCTTGTTTGTCGGCTCAGTCATCTCTTCGTAAGTTGAATTTATTTCCGTGGCATTTTTCCGTCGAATTGTCGAGCGATTTGTTTTTCTCACCGTGCGTATATCAGTCTCCCAGAATCTGGAGGATAATTCACATTTAAATGCGGAGTTGTTTGTATATGGAAAAGTTTACTTTGCATATCTTTCTGGTTGTCGCATAAGAAGCACACTTTCCTCTCATCTCCCTATTATCAGATGCTGGAGGGATTTGGGCAGAGAGAGAGAGTGGAAAAGTGTCTGGTATTTATGCAACAACACATTATGGAGAGCTCGGAAAATATCCACTGGACTATTCTAAAGCTCATCAGCAGGGGTGTGTAAAATAGGACAACGGTGTGGGTGGCGCAGAGCTTAGATGGCAGAAGAAGGAAGTCAAGGAATATATTCCCAAAATCGCCTTATCCCAGGCATTTGGCTTGGGTGGCAGTCGCCTTTTCTTTCAGACCATCCTCGTCCCTTGTGTGGCAAAAGGTCATAGATGGACAGGAAATTGTATCTTCTGATCTCTCAGCGTTATCTAATGCTCTTGGAATTTAAATACATAATTTTTCCCTTTGGTCAGCATCTCGCTGTTCACCCAATTTAGGCCCCATTTCGTGTGGCTTTGATTTTCCAACATCAATTCACCCCCACTGAATGGCGGTGAATCGCTAGAAATCATCTCCTTAAGTGTAATTTAATTGGAAATCCTCAAGACGTCTAAAGCGAGATCTTGCGATATTGGGCGATGTTTTATGTGCAAATGCGGAAGATTTTTGGGGCTCAAGTGTGTTTTTGTTATGGAGAAGCGACACGAAGGGATGGTTTGAAGGGAAATTAAAAATTCCCAACACTTCTCCGTCAGTTTCATCCCCAGGATTGTGGCCAAAGTCTCTGAGTGAGAGAGTGAGGAGATGTTTGGGCATCTGAATCGGAATTGTGCACCGAGTATTGATCCAGAGAGCTCAAATATGCATGAGAAAGATGATCTTGTAGATGTAAAGTGTGTCAGTCGACTCACCGTCTCAAATCAGGACTGGAGGTGTATGGTGAGGCGACTTCTTTGATTTTCAGCACGATGATGGCCGTGATAAAGATGCATATCACGTTTACGACGGTTAGCAGACACGAAACTATGCCATTTACAAAGAATTCAGTTGGTATATAGTCCGTATAAATGGGCACGTAGCTGGAGTTTCCGGTATAGGGTTCACCCTTCAAGTGTGGCATTTTGACATCGTCGTAAATCAGCCAGATACACGCCAATGCCCAGAAGAGACCCTGCAATAATTTATTTATATTTCCATAGTCGAGCTGAAAGTATTATTCCGCGCTGTGCGCCTCTGGGCTCGTCCTGTGTCTGGAGGAGGTTGAATTTTGCACATTTTCGGCCAACATTCCACGCGGGATATAAATTTCACGTGGATTTCATACCCGTGCACGTGGAGATTCTAATGGAAGCTCAACTGCTGGTATTAAGTGCATGTCAAAAGATAAATGAGATGTGCCTCGATAGCTTCAATTGGGAAATTCGGAGGGAAACGGATGGCTGTCGCACTGAAAATCGGATATTGAACACGCGTTCGGCCCCATTTCACTGATCAACGTGAAAACACTTGTAGTGTGTATAGCACTTATTTTAATTAATTATAGAGCGACTCTGCTGGCGCAATCAGAGTTGCAGTGCATGCAGACGCTAGCCAAGGGGGAGATATTAGGGTAAGAAGTGGTGTACAACTCAGCAAAAGTGTAAGGAAGTGGAAGTGTTGAAGAAATTGCAATAATTTGGATCGTTATTTTGAATTTCTACTCATTATTTAACTCTTGATCGTCTTGACATATTTTTCTAGGAAAAAATTTTCATTTCTTAAATGAATTATGTGGATAAACTTCATGAAATTAGCACTTCTGGAAAATTAATGGTAAAAAAACAGGCCAAAATCAAACATAACCTCCAATTTTCATACTTAACAGCTGTGATTTTGAGCTAGAAAGATTCTAATTGAGCAACATAAAGTACAGTCAATGATATTGAAGGATCTCAGAAGGAACAAAATCATAAAAAGTGATCTTTAGAGGTTAGAAAGTTTATCAGTTAGATTTTAGTCAGATTTCAGTTGATTTTTAGGTTATTTTCAGGATGATAACGTAAAAATTTGCATCAGAATATGCAGAATTAATGATTTTATTCAATTCGGACTCTTCTCGGAAGTGGTGTACAGATGTTGGGCCATGTTGGTGGGCCTGAATCTTTGCTCGGTTCAAATCACTAGTCATACTGTTGGGCATTTCCTGATTTTTGCGCCTGTTTCGCCCTGTGTTTGTCACTAGATTGATATTTTGCGCGCCAGCGGTGAAGGGAAGCAAATGTTTGGACACTCACGCAATTGACCACCGGCGGAAGCAGGGACGCCGAAATTGCGACACCAATTAGCGGGCCAGCAGAGCCCTGCAGGAGAGCCACAGCAACGCCAGTTCCGGACGTCAGGGCCCAGAGAACGCCCATCCAGAGCGAGCGCGCATTTCCCCTGTGGAGACGCCATTAAAATATCGATAGGTAATTATGAAGTTATCAATCAGGCTGAGTGCATTTCGCGGTGATGCTGTGCTGAATGATTTTCGGGGGGGGAGCTTAGATTGGGCTAAATGAGAATGGCAGAGCGGAACAATGCATGCTTAAAGAAGCATTGTTTCGAATTTACAGCACTTCCACTTCATTAAGCGCGTGTAATACAATAGGAAGAGTGTGCCAAACTTGTTCAATTCTTCAATGTTGTGGAAATTATGAAAGCACTTTACATTCATGCATTACAATGCTGTGGCAAAAAGGGAGTCGATATCCAGGAAAATCATGTTTAAATTGATACTCAATATTGGACATCAAACGGAGTTTACCTGGATATCGAGCCTAAATGGCATCATTTCGTGTAGGTTGAAAATTGAATTTTATAAATGACCTGAGATGGGTTTTATGTGGAATTTGCACAACAAAAAAGACTCTGCCAGACATAAGAGAATTATGCGGAGAAATGGACTGGCGAATTGCGAGTACTTACCGGCCTTTCATCTCCTCTGTGGGCCAATCACCAAAACCCCACGGCATTTCCGTTGTGCCGAGAATCAGGCCAAATATGAATCCGAACAGCAACGAGAGGAACATCCCAACAGCCAGTGTTACGAAACCAACTTTCTGCGATGGGATAAAAATTTTTTACACACACACACACACATCATATTCCATTTCAAAAAGACTCTTTTTTTTCCCGCCCATGCCTGGAAAACAATATTGATTCATGACTGACAGGCAGAGAGCCTGGGAGAGAGAGTGTGGTGAATTCTTCATTAAATTAAAATCCATCCTATGAGGCTTGAAAGCGCGCTTTTGTTGTGCCTTTATTTTGGGCGCGTTCGCATGTCGGCATGAGTGGAACTTTTGTTCCCACGATAGTGTCTGCATGCCGCTCAAATGGTACGAGAGCATGGCTTAATGCGGGGTGTGGGGGTGGGGGTGGCGAGGGGGGTGTGATATGTAAAAGACGGAAAAGTGAGAGAGGCTGCCGGGAAAATTCCTATTACATAATCATCAGGCCTGGGTGCACGGCTTTGCCGTATTGTGTGTGTAATTGGCAAGAGGTTGGCGAAATTTTGGCATTTAGAAAACCACTTCTTTTGGGGTGCTAATTAAAATTTCACGTAACATGAATGCAGAATGTAAACACACATTCATCTATATTTCACCAACATGTTGGTATATGCGATAAACACATATTATGAATTAATTCGATATATTTTCTCCCAGGATCTACACTCAATCTCCTTCCCATACAATACCATCTTTAATAATTCATGCACCAGACACAATCTCCGCCCACAATATTTTGCATTTTCACTCTCGAGTTTAGCGTCTGCAGAGGACTTATAAAATATTTTGTATACCCATGCATAGAATTATTTTATTACTCCCTCTCACTCTCCACTCAAATGATTTTCAAAGCAATTTGGGTTGTTTGCACTTGCATTACATGAGTCAAGTTGGATAATAATTTTAGCACAGTATATCAAGTGGGGAATCCTTGCCAAGGACTGTCTCTTGCATCAAAAGATAATTTTGCAAAATTTCCTAAGAGAAAAGTTACTGCAGAATGCGAAGTGACACACAATCTCAACCTTGCCGTAATTATTGAAATACACACCATTAAAAAAATCCTCATCAAGAGCCCTTATATTTGTGTGATGAAACACTTAAAAAACATCTGCAAATCTGTGGTTATTAAATTAATTCCTGCGTGTTTTCTTTCTTCTACTACAGATGAAATTATGTTACAGCGAAAAAAGCTCCCGCATGTATGTGGCATTATTAGATAAGTAAATTGAGTATTGAGGCAAGTAACATTTAAAATTAAGCGAAATCCAAGGGGGAGATAGTATGAGCAGAAGTTCTTGAGAAGTTGAAGTGTTTAAAAACTTGCAAACTTTCTTTCCTGAGTGCTTCTTTTGCTGGCAAAATTACCCGTTCCTTCGGATTTCTTTTGATTTTTGCGTAGAAACAAGAATAAAATTCCATTTTCTAAGTTATGTAACGCATCAAAGACAAATTCTTATGCTCAAGTCGGGAAGATTGCTAGTCATTGGCAAAATTAAGTATTTGCATGCAACAAACATTGTTATTCTAAGACTTTGATGCCAAGAAACACTGCAAATTGTGCTAAGATCAAACATAACCTCAAAAAAGTAAGTGGGATTGGAAAATGTCCACTTAGAATCCTCTTCTTTCACTCACTAGCAAATCCTAACATGATTTTACGAACTAGAAAGCTTCCAAACGGAGTCTTTGGAGATTAACATTGCAGTTTTAAGCCTTTGATGCCAAGAAACACTGCAAATTGTGCTAAGATCAAACATAACCTCAAAAAACTTATGTGGGCTTGGAAAAAATTCATCTAGAAACCTTTCATTCCGTCAATTTTCAAATTATAACAGATGATATTGTGATCTAGGAAGCTTCCAAACGGAGTCTTTGAAGATATCTTTGTGAAATTTTGAGGTTATGATCGAAAAGATGTCCAAAACAGCGATTTTAACCGGATTCTTACAGAAATATTAGATGAAAACCTAAAAGATTTATGATAATTTCAGAATTTGTGTACAAGCAGTCTAAAACCACCTCAATTAATGTGGTGTACAGATTAGGAGGCATATCTTCCCCTTGGCGAAATCTTTCTGGTGGCAAATTCTTAGCGCACATTATTCCGTATTCAAAGCACATCCTGCTGAGTGGTGTGAACCATGCCAGAGACTTCTACGTGTGTTCTAATGGAATCATACAAAATTATGCTGCACATCCACGATGATATTGTGTGAAAGTGGAAGATTCATTTAGCACGAGACTTTTGCTTTTAATTGATTTAAATTCCCGCGTCATGGCTCGCCGCACATGGCGCTGATGACTTGGAGTGCGCTGGGGAGATTTTTTGCGACTCTCCCGCCGCCCCCCGTCGACATTTTCACAATGTCTATGCGAATGAAGTGACTATAAGCTTGCACAATGAATATTCTGGGCATAGAAAATTCGAAGTGCAGTGCATTTAGGGAATTTCATCCCGCCCGTAGTGGATGAAACAGTCTGCATGTGTGGCTCGAGCAAAATATATAACACGCCAGTTCACGCCCCGAATATGTTCTCAGGGTGGAACTCGTGTGGCAATCTGCATGAGGAGAGCTTCCTTTGCCACATACATATTTATATGTGGAGCAATATATCAACATTCAGCTATTATAATACATCCTTTCCCCCCCCCATTCTCCCTCTCAGAACAGCGCCAACGCCAATGTAGATAAAGTGCATTTTAAATTCCTCCAAGACGTTAATTTATTATTTGTTTCTTCATGTGACCATTGCATGCAAAGAGCGACGAGAATTATTATTATAAATTGTTGCCAAACTTCCCCAGGAATGATGTATCGTCTCAGTTACACTGGCAATTCAATCTTACTTATTCATTTCATATACACTTTTTCGCACAACATTCTCTTGCTCTTTTATCACTGCGAATGCGCCAAATTCTATTGCATGCGAGATTAAATTTGACTATATATATTTTGGAGGAAAAATTTAAAACTTTCACACCTCAGGAAAATTTCCCAACCATCATTCGTGCTGTGATTTATTGAGCAGAAAAGACTTCTCTGTGTGTGTGTGTATATTTGTCGGAAAGTGCAGAACAAGAGATTTCATAAAATACAGCGCTCTTATTACTTTTTCACCTCGCTTCGGGAAGTTTGCTTTTGAGTGTGAAAACTAAAATGATTTTCAGATTTATCAGAGTTGAGAAGCACACCATTAGCAAAGTCATGGAGAAGTGAAAATATCCCGCTAAAGTATTAATTTGTGCAGAAATCCACACTTGTGTCACTGAGAGACAGACAATGACTTTTCCTGATTTCACGAGTAAATAAATGAAGATCAAGTGCTGGAATTGAATGTCCATTTGACTTTTCCCCATGAGAAGAGTGGCTCTGATTGACATTTTCACCAATTGAGGAATTGGAAAACTCAAAACTTTCTCCGGAATATAGTTTTAATAAAATTCTCCGCAGCTCTCCAAAAGCTCTCCATCATCGGGGAAAGTTGAACTCTTCATTGCCAAGTAATTACTCTATGTTTCAATAAAAGATTTGAGAACTGATAAAATGACAATTTATGATTTAATAATATGTCGCAGATGAAGTTTCCGACCGAAAATTCACTCCATAATCAAATTTGGAGACTTTTTTACGATCACATCGCATGTAACATACCCCAGTTATTTATTAATGAAAAGCCCCCTTGAGATTTTCTGTGCTATTTCTCAAACATTTTTCCAACCCATTAAAAATTATTACCACAGATTTTTTACGATATTCTTCCCCCCACACGATTTGTTTTTCCTTCTCCCTCTTGCTCGCGCCGTCTTACCACGTGTGCTTATTTCTTCTTAAAGTTAAGCCTCTTCATCAAAAGCTTATAACATTCGCCCGTCTTGTGGGATTCGCCCTCCTTGTTGCTCGTGTTATACATCAAAATATACATTAAAAAGGAAAGCAACAGAGAGACAGAGAACATTTCAGGGGCGACCATTGAATCCACCCAAATCTCTAAGACGGCAATCACAGAACAACGTCTTATGCCAAATATCGCGAGAAATTGCCATAACTCAGAGAAACTTTTTAATGTCATGCTTTTCGGAGAGAATTTCTTTTAGATTATATTCAATTTGTGTAATGAATTGCGTAAAGAATTTCCTGCGGGGTGAGAAATAATGCGTAATGTGGAAAATTGTCCATGTAACACTTTTCAAATTCTCTTAATTGGTGTAAAGATTTTCTATTGAGTGCTTCTATTGTGTTCCTTAAAGATTCCATCAATGCGAAGTCTTATCGTTGAATTGCATAACATGAAAATGTTCAGAAGATTTCCGCATTGTGAAAATAGAGTGAAGAATTGCCTCGAGTGTTGCTTTGTTTCTGACTATTAAATAAACTGAGAAGAACAAGACAAGAAACAACTTGTGCATCTATATATTCTCTAACTCTATAAGCTTCTCTATAATCGGTTCTACTCTGGATCAAAGTGAGTGCAGGCTAAAACCCAATTTGGGGTGTTAGTGCATCCGGAAAACATGTCATTTCGCCAGATGTTGGTAAACTATGCATGAAAATAACTCACCATGAGCTCATAATCGGAAATGATGGCGCCAAACGTGATTGACATAACAGGTCCCATGAGTGGTGAGACCAGCATAGCCGCAGTTATGTTGGGTGCATTATTCTCCACGAGTCCCAGCGCGGCCAAGGAGCTGTAAAATGGCACGAAAAGGGTGAACAAAGTGCAATTTTGCGTGCTTCAACTCGATTATTTCTTACTCAGCTGTGACAATTAGGAGGAGATAGTCAAAGGACAGAGATCCTCCGGCTCTGACACCGTCGACAACTTGCTTAACAGTTAATTTGGAGCGTATTGAGTCAACAAAGGTGTCCCACTTGGATTGCTCCTCTTCGCTGCGAGGAGACAAAGAATAGAGGGTGAACTTCACACCTCAAAGACAAATCAGTCTTAATTGTTTCTCACCTCAGCTCCTCTTCGGCGAACACGTCTTTTGTGGCATCGAAAGTCACTGAGCACGGAACGACACTGAAAATCCGCCAGAGATAAGGGGGAAATATTAATGGATTTTCCTTGACCACTTTCTCTATTGTTCTTGCATATTTTAATGTATATTGAAGCCCGCTGGGAAAATGTGGGAATATCTTTGTTCATTAGTTGAGAACACCTAATTCACGACCCAGAAAATGTTTAGAATTTTCGTGAAAGTCTTCAACTTTGGGGATTTGCATAAATTTCACCCATTAAGCTCAATATGTGAAGGCCGAGAGGGTGGAAAATAGGGGATGATTTTGTGAAAAGTTTGGAGTCTTCGGGCCATAGTTTCCGTAATGAATTTAATATCAAAAACAGTTCAAGTGAGTAGTTCATAAAGTTTTTCAATGGGTTAGGAAAAGTGTGTGGAAGGGAAGAAAATACTTTTAATCTTCACTGATGACGATTGACTGCATGTGATTTTTGCACGTGGAGCTTTTGGTGAGTTTAGCACGCTTTCGGGGGATATCTCAGTTGGTCGATTAGCATGAATTGGTCCAGAATTGGAGTGAAACGGAAGGGTCATGATTGACGGTTACGATTGAGTCGTCCCAAGCGTGATAAAAGTTCCGAGTAGTGAAATTTCCGTAATGGGATATCTTGGAATATTCAATGAGCCTCTCCCGATGGCAAATTGGGGGTCTGGGAATGTGGTGAGAATTGTCCACAATCACCAATTTATCTGACTATTTAATCACTCCATCCGAGCTCGTGTCCATCGAGGGTGTGTGGGTGGTCTTTTGTATTCCGGGGGGCGGAAGCGAGTGTGTTGATTTTATGATTATCTGACCTATTTACGGATCATATTCCTGGTGGGGGGAGTGGGAATGCCGAAAGCCCCGAAAGCTCAGTGGGCATTCTCGAAAATCTCAAGAGGTCCTCTTTCCGAATGAAAAATCACTGGTTATCGAGGACATGACAAGAAATTCCAAAGCTAATACGGGGCTAGAGATTCTCCCCCACATGATGGTATACCTTCATGTGCCCTCATTTCATCAGCCATTTCGCCAAGGGAGAGAGCAGTTAAAAGAGAGTGAGAGAGAGGGGAGATAAATGTGCTCTACATTTTTAACATTTTATTTATCTGCCGCACCTGACATTGGACTCCAGTTTAATTCCAATTCCCAACTCCGTGAGACAATGAAGCATAGTCTCGCAGGGATCGCCGGACGCGGAGGGAAAGATGACTTGGTGAAAGTGGCCCTTTTTATCAACGCTCCACACGACATGCTCAATCTCGAGCTTCTTCAGCAACTCCTCCAGGACCTGTTGAATCAATATAAAGTTCCAACAATATAAGATTATTTTCCGTGAAATTAATCATCGCACGATAAAGTAAATCCGACCACCAGGAGTAGCGTGCAATGTCCCAAGGATTCTCGCCACTCACCGTGACAATGAAAAGTCTCGCCCGCTCTTTTCTTATTAGCCTGACAAATTTCACCAACATAAAAGTCCTATTAAAGCCGAGGGTGTATGGAAAGCACGGTAAAGCGAAGAGTTTCATGCTCACCAAATTGACCTATCACCATATCTGAAGATGCTCTGAAATGGTCCAATTTCTTATGCTTTCCATGAAATATTGGTGTGACGAAAGTGGTTTTACAGAGACATCATGCGAAAATGATTCGGAAAGTAAATTCAAATATGATATTTTTGTTGCTTCCAGCAAAAAAGCCCTACATTGAACCTAAAAAAAATATTTTAAATTGTGGATAATAGAGAATGCTTCAACGCCGAATGGGACATAAAAATCAATCACAATTGAGTTAAATGAGTTAAACGGAGTATTTAATGGAGTGGAGTGTGTTTAAAATGGCCTAAATTGCTATGCTAATTTCTACAAATTTGTCCTGGGCATCCATTTAATTTGGCTATGGATCCTCTGGTGAGGTGGTATTAAAAGTAATTTATATTGGTAGTTTTTCATCACACCACCTAATGCTGGACGGCATTTTGGGGCGGATTAATGGACGAAACTGATTCATTGATGTAGAAATATGAGTGTCGATAAGCTATTTCCGGGAGTATTTAGGCATGAAAGGAAGGAAGGGTGAGAAAAAGCCACTTTCACCTTCTCCATTGGCACTTTAACATTTTCCGGAACTGGAGGAGTCCGGGATTTGGCTCTGTGTCTCGGCGACGCGGCATTCTTGTCACGTAGCTCCAGTTCAAGTCTCAAGAAACCAGGTGAATTCGTGTTGATGCCGCCGGAGGTGTTTTGCTTGGCGGGGCTAATGTTGAAGTTATTGCTCGGAGGTGGCAATATTTCATTATTGCCATAATTTCCACCTGGCGAATAATTAAAAGGGCTCATTTTCGGGGCTCAGCGAGGAGATTATATTCTTTGCGTTGGGCAAATACAGTTGGAAGAGCAGTGTAATTACCATTTAATATCTCCCTCTCGTAATTGGCCGTTGGAATGCACACAACGAACACAACCCCGGGCATTTTCCACTACACAGCGAACCGACACCACCCCCAGGACGAAAAATAGTCAAAGTTTGGGGGTTATTGCGAGATACGAGCGTGTATATAGTCGCAGCTTCTCAATCGCTTTCCACCCTCACGGGCACGTTCGAGTCCATCGAGATGCCTTGCAGTAACTGATGCTGTGTGACGATCTGGAGGTGCTTCTCGAGGTGATTGTGGACAAAAACTTGCTAATGCTCTCCACGATACTGACGCTGTTCCGGAATGGCAATTAGCAAATGCATCCCACATTTGCTGCGCGCAAATGTGGGCTAAATTTACACCCAAATATCAACCCATTAGCAAATTCTCATGGTGCTCCATTTGACTGAGATTATCGTGGGATATCATCGCTGACATTGTCATTGGGATGAAAGGCAATCGATCTGGTGTTCTATGCTGAATTTCACAGCAAAGAGATGCTGTGATTCGATGTGGATCCTTTTCTTCTAGGATTCGCCGAAAATTTGCTCTCGCATGCAATATTCATCTTGATAACAATGACAAGCTGTGTGGAAAGGGGGAGATAATGCGGCTAAACTGTGTACATCACTTCCACAATTTCTGTGAAGAATCACAGACAATTCTAGAACATCATAATAATCTCAAATTTAATAATTTTAAAGACTCTGAAGACTTACAGAGAAACAGTATTTAAGAAATATTTGAAGTCCACTTGCTCTTTTAAACATAACCTAGAAATTACCTTCAGATATCTGAAAGAATCATTGAAAGAAGATTATTCAGAAACTTTTAAAGGCATCACTGGGGAATATTATTCTGTGATAAGTCGAGAATGAACTGAAATTTTCTATTTTAGAGTAGAAAATCATTCAAACAGCGCTAAAAATGAATAATTTTGTATCCTGAAACAATATTTTAGAGGTTATTATCAATCTTAGCATATAATTAACACAATTTAACATTGAAAGCTTGTGATCTGCATTAGATTCATCTTCAGATTGATCTTCAGATTGAAGAATGAATGATTTTGGAGGTTGTTTAGTGGCAAAGTTAGCCTTAAATTCATAACATAACCTAGAAAGATGGAAAAAGTCGTTTTTCTCCAAGTTTTGCGTTAATTTCTTTTGAAAGTCGCTTTTGAACGCACCATATTGATGATATTGAAACACTTCCACGGAGTTGTACACTACTTCTAACCATAATATCTCCCCCTTGCTGTGCGTCTCAATGAGAATGGCATGACGGAAGGTGAGGGGGTGCTTAGAGAAAAATTAACCTCAATTTATCATTTCCAGCCATTTAATTAATTGTTATCCCCCTTCATCCGAACAAGTGGCGCAATTCCCATCGCCTGAGCTGACCTCAACTGACTACAGCGTATATCATTTGAAATTGTTTTAATATTTATGAAGTCATATAAGTGAAAACAAGATTGGAATCCTGCAGCGATACAGAGAATTTTGCAGATACATATACAGTCTGTATACTTATGGGTACAACAATCTACTGCTCCGTGTTATATTCTCAAGACAGCCACTGGAGTTGAAGAGAGGAAGCTGAGGAACTCCGGGAAATAACCCCCTCTTCGGCGCATGCAACTTGTTTTCTCTTCATCTAATAAACTTCATACATTTTGGATCACACAATTCGGTAAAATAAGCTTTGTAGTACGATCTCTTAGATTATTTTATACACCTCTTCCATACACAACTGGCACAAAGGGAAATTTTCGAGAGTCCAATTTACAATATCCAATTATGTATAAAATATTCCGAGGAAATTTCTTCACATTCTTTCTACACTTTTCACAATTCGTTGCCGTGCCGGGGATGATACATCAGTTGAGAATATATGCAATCATCCCCAAGAGTACACATTTATTATATACCCAAGTTATTCGCTCTCTTCTGTGTCATTCAATAAGCTTCGCACCTTTATCTCTGGATGTGTGTTGTATGTGAATTATTCTATAGCACTGAAGCATTATGCTTATTAGGTCCTTTCAATGTGGAAACATTAAATCTGAATCTAATATCACAATTACTCACGAGGCTTTGTCTTGGAGATAAAGACACAGCAGCAATGTGAGCAAAAGCATGCGAATATCGCTCACATAACCTGCAAATATGACTGGAAGCGTAATATTCATATTTCCAGAGCGCTTAATCACTATTATAGTGTTTCATTCAATCATCCAACAGCACCATTCTCTGTGGAACAATTAAGAATTTTCCGTGGAACTTCGGTGCTTGCCTTTGGCTTTGAGCGATGCTGAAATGTGAGTTCAAAAGGTTTTCGCTCCTGTGGAAGCAATAGAGGACTCTCTTTATTGGTTTACATATCCGTCCTTTGTGAAATGAGAAGTTATATTGCTTGAAAACTTCATGAATTTCTCGGAAATTCACGGATCATTTTCCATCGATTTTCAAAACTTTTAGCCAATTTATTTACAATTACAGTCAGAGACCTAAATACAAAATTATTTATACCATTCTATCAAGCCACGTATAATGAGTATATCTTCATTAGAGATAATGATGTTTTCCAAACGAGAATTCTTGTATTTCCAATCAATTACGCAAATAACGAATATGAACTCTTATGAGGTATCGTTTTGCTAATGATTTCGTTAATTATAGAGGCCCATGCTTTACATATCATTTAGAAAACAAAGCCAAATAGGAATAATTGGAGAAAAAAATTCAGAAAGTCCGGATTTTGTGCCAAAATCGTATGAATTTTATCTCATGGCTTTACAAAAATACATTAAATATAGTCAATAATGTCTAATTAATTATGTATAAGTGGATAAAATTAAACATTTTACTCTTTCTCTCTGTGTTTTTCAATTTCACAGAAGCCTTTTCCCATTGAAGTTGGTGTACAATGTTTGTGTCACTTGAGAAATTTAGAGTAATGCATTTACTACACTCTATTAGTAATTGCCACTCTCTCTCCAAAGTGTATTTGCAATTCGACAAGCCTTTGCAACATATCCAATTTTGCATCATGCATTATCAATGATGCTAATTGCAGCCAAAGAACCGCCAATTCAGCATGCAAGTTATGGTTTCGAATGGAGTGCAATAATTCAAACAATTAAGAAGTTAAATATTTAAGAGTCTAAATGGAATTTTGCAATTATTTGCACTCTCCCGTGATGTGATAATGGAAGTGGGCAAGAATCATTTTATTCACCTTTTCCATCTGTTTTCCAATGATTTTGCGGACGACGGAGTAAAGTTTTGGCAATAAGGTGAGTTTGAATAAGACTCGGCTGGTGGGAATTTTGAAATTTTAATGAATTTTCCAGACTTTATCCGCCAAGCCAACTTCTGGGGAAGCTGCGGATTTTAGCTGGAATACTAATTTAATTATGAGGAGAACAAAAACAATGGGTGCTTAAAGATTTTCCACAGAATCATGAATATGTGATAATATTTCCCAAACGTGTTGTTTGCACATTGTATTTATTTATGAACCTTATAAATTGTTGGCAAATTTTATGTTTGGATATTTATTTATTACATTAAAAGTTGCGCTTTTTTGATGAAAACACGTGTAAAAGGTATGGATTGGAAAGTAAAAAATACTTCCCCTGCTTTATTTATGTACTCTAGTAGTGTTTGGCGTGGGTCAGAGTGAAATTAAAACTCACTCGGAATACTTATTTTTCACCAAAGAGAGAGAGAGTGCAAAACTTTCTTAAGAATTCAAAGCATATCCTGGGAGTTTTCTCATTCTAGGGAAATATCGCCGGGAAGAGGATTAGGGTTGACGAGGGTGAGAGAAAGTTCAAAAGCATGTTAACATTTCACTGAACTATTTCGCCAAGGATGTACACCAAGGGGAAAAAAATCAAGTTGCGGAAAAGCGGGAAAGTGGCTGAAACAGAGAAGACACGTCTGTGGAAGGACGAAATCCACTCGTGGCATTTCATTATCACTGGCGGAGGAAAGAAACAGTTGGCAGTGTTCATAAATCTCGGCATTATGTGGCAAGTTGATTTGGAATTACCTTTAGGTATCAGTAGAACATGCTCGAGATGAGTTAATTCACTTGACAAATGTACAAAGCCCTGTTAATATTTCATGTTAATTGCCACCCTCGGGCGATATTCTTCCAACTTTGCGTCATCATGTCGTGTCATATTTATAGCCCAACACATAATTATTTTGAATTATTGGCCAACATGTAATGATAAAAGAAAACCAATAAATTTCCCCACGGGCGGGGGGGAAAAAAAGCGACTATATGTGAAATAATCATAAACTCACACAATAACATGTATGAAATATCTACAAAGTTTCAGGCTATCTTTTACCATAGTGAGAATGTCTCTTTTTCATACTGAGAAGGTGCAATATTCACATCACTTATGCATTTAATTACAAAGTTTCCCATTGAAATTGTGGTGAATAGAAGTGGTGGTGAGAATTTTGAGGTTTCACCGCACCAATAAACTTCTGTAACTATAACAAATTCAACCATGAATGATGGAATTTCTTGTATAGCAAAATCTCTCCACTTCTTCAACTGACATTCATTGCATGTGTGAGAAAAATCAGATTTGCGATAATTGCCTGAGGAATTGCTTTGGGAAAGTCTGTGGTTCAACTTTTCTATGCCATCTGGAAGTTGAGTTTCTCACGTGTGATTGAACCTTAAAGTTGAAACACCTTCAGTGATCTATTCTGAGGACTTTCAGCAAACTCACTGTGAGTCTGACAAATTAGGAAAGCAGAGCAGGAAAAGAACATCAACTGAAAAATGTTCTACAAATCAAGATTTTTTAACAGAGAAAACTACAAAATTTTCTGCACAACTTTTCACTGAATTCGCTCAGTGAAGTAACATTATGTACATCGCGCTGATTTATGTTAACACCCCAAGCAACACGGCAGCCTTTCGCATTTATTCACCAAAGTCTTGAACTACTACAAAAAGAAGCCCAAAAATTGGTCGGTTCTGGGTTATGGAGCATACATTTGTCGGTCATTTAGATTACTCATACGACTCGATTCCGACCAGGAAGTTGACACTCGGGCTCTGTTCGGCACCACTCTTTGCCGAAATGTGACTTTAGAACCATTTTAAGTCATGCATTTTCGATAAATGGCAAATTGCGTAAAATCGCACATTTAAACACTTGTAAATATG